TGTACATTCATTGGGATACTCACTTAACTCTGATAAGTATGCAGACATGATATATAATGAAAATGAGAAAATGAAAATCAAACATAAGGACTCATCTCTCTGTGAAGGGAAGTACTACTGTCTCAGACCTTCTGTTGGAGCACAGATTGAGGGGAGGTTTCCTAGCATATACAAGTCTGTGCATAATGGACAGTGAGTGGGAAGCCTGCTGACTTCTTACCTTGGAAACTAGAATTCTGAATTAGTCTTCTGCATTACTGCATATTTTTATTTTTCTTATTTGTTGTAATTTCTCTCTCTCCTCCCCGCCCCCATAGGGGAGAAGGGTGCCTACCCCACAATTATCCCATTATATTTTGTTTTTCATGCAAATTTCAAATTGAGGATAGAATTATGGGGTTTCTGCTGTCATTCTCTGAAACAAGATAGATTTTCTGCATATTTATACACTCAGAACTGGAGAGTAGCATGGAAATGGCCTTAAAAAAAGATTATTAGTCTTGCTGGACTACTATAGTATACCACTACAAACGGTGTGGGTTAAATTTTAGAAATTTATGTTCTCATAGTACTGAATGCTAGAAGTCAGAAATCAAGCCAACAGGGTTGGGATCATCCAGAAGCCTCTCCTCAGTATGCAGATGGCCATCTCCTCTCTGTCTTCACATGGTCTTCTATCTGTGCATGTCTGTATGCCAGTTTCTTCTTACCAGGACACCAGCTCTAACTGGATTAGGGCCCATCCACTGGGCAACCAAAGGCTTCATCTTCCAGTCCTATTTCAAGGCACCAGGGGCGGGGGCTAGGGCTTCAGAGTATGCATTTTATGAGGGACGGACAGGATTCAACCTGTAACACGGACTGAGCTTTTGCTTTGGTATTTAAATACACACCTGGTATTACTATGAATACTGACTAGAGATGACCTTGATATTACAGATGATGTGATAAAAAAGCACACTTGGGTGCTTCAAGTCAAGCCTGTCAAGGTGGCAACATTAAGGTTTTCAGTCAGAGCCCACTCTGGGTTGTCATCAGTTCCCTCTATTTCATACGTCTCTCAAGGAATTGAGAGTCTTTCAACACCTTCCATGAGAACTTCCTAGTAGGCAGACTGGTCTTACTTCACCACCCAACTCTTAAAGCACAGCATTGCCTCTGGAATCACCATAGCACAGAAAGGCCTCTCCGACCCATAAATGCCTTTGTGGTGGACATTCACCTAGCGAGATTTTCCCGAGATGAATGCTTATTTACAAGCATTCACTCAGTTTGCACTTCTTCATGTCTCACAGATAATCTTCTTCCTAGCTGTTGTGTGCCTTACTTCTAGAATTAGGAAAGAGAAGCTGCTTTCTATGGAAGAATTGTACCTGCCAGTCACAGGGCAGGAGACAGAGCCCATTAGGCGGGGCCTCTTGGATCTTTTATTCAGGTTTTTTTTTAAGTTCTCTTTATCTGATTTACAATGTACTTCTCCTAAATCATATGGGTTAGTCTAGGGCAGAGCTCTGACCCCCAACACTCCAGGCAATTTGGGCTGGATCGTACTTAGATGTGAAGCCGTTCTGTGTATTGTGGGAAGGTAGCAGCAGCCCAGGCCTCAACACACAGATAAAATGACAAGAGTATCTCCAGCTGTGACACCCACAGGTGTCTCTGCACATTGCTAAATGTCTCCTGGAAGAGGGACAAAACCATGTGGAGTGTGAAGCATCATGTTAGAATGTTATAAAAAAACATTTTAGATCTAAACTTTCTGGGATATATGAATTATCTATTCTGTTGGTATTAATTGAAAATGTGTGCACTTTGCTAGGCCCCAGGATCATTTTAATATTATATCCAACTGCCCTGAAGTGTACACATTTCTCAATTTAATATCTCTTTAGCCACCACTTAGGTGGAAAATACTCTTAATGCATGTAGGAAGATAATAAATATTATTTTTCTTTCATTCCTCATCTTTCCCTTCTTCTACCAATTAGGTTTTCTAGTCTGATGATAATTTTGTAATTCTTGCTTTGGGGGTTTTAAATTAATTGCATTTTCATGAATCCTGGGGATTGACTTGAATTTCCTCATTCTTTTCATGGACTTTAATAGCAAAGTAATTTGTTCATTTTATTTCAGAGGCCTGCTCAAGAGCAGTTATAGTTACAAAACAGCATGATCAATATGATCCCAGTTTTGTCCAAATATTCCACATATGCACACATATGCATGTGCAGAAAATACTCTGGAGCGGTATGTTCTAAAATATAATAGGATTCTTAGTGCTTCTTCATTTTGTCCGTTGGTATTTTCTAATTTTCCCTGAAACTAAGATGTTTGTTTTATGCAATTAAAAAAAGAATACATGTTTTAGATATCATTTTCAAGCTTCCTTACAGTGACAGTGCAAGATGCGGCATCTGTCCGCTGATGCTGTTAATAGTAATGAGTTTTATCTGAAGTGACACTTATTTTTGGAAAACACAGGGACAACTGAGTCACCTTCCATATTTCAGGAAGAAGATGAAACAGGAAACCCCAAAGGAACAGGTGAAGATTTACTAGGCAGATTTCTATTCTGTACCAACCGAAAGTTTTTTGGGTCGAGATATATGTATGTGTATGAGCTAAGATGGAACTTTCCTGTTCTTACAAGGGGCTGAATTTAGAAGTGAGCTAAGGCTCTGGGCCACGTAACAAGTCCTCCAGCAGAGAACTGCTAGTGTAACCTGGGACTTTGTATATTTAAAAGCGGCCCAGCAAGCACAACATGTTCCTAGAGCATGCTGGGCTTGCCTGTCTCCAAGTGGCTTGACGATATTAAGAACTTCCCAAGTGCCACCAGCTTCTTCTAAGCCAGCTCACTGGCAAAGGCCTCCAGTGCCTTCATGAATGCCAGCCCATTGGACGGTCAAGTTTAACCAAGACATGTCTGTATCTGAAATGTGTCCTCATTGCTTACTGTGTACTTTTATAAACAAAAGTGGCTTTTCTTAAGTAGATCGGTGCTGGACTGGACACACATCTTTCTGGTCATCCTGTGCAGAGTAAGATGCTTTTATGAAGTGAGAGGTGGCTGTGATAATAGAGCTTGTGAAAATGGTGGAGGGGAAAGAGGATGGATGCAGGGGTTTAACACTAAGTGCACAGTTTGATCAACAGTGTATCTAGCACCTGTATGGGGTGCCGAGAAGGAAGGAGGAGTACAGGCTTGAAGGACGGACATACTAGATTCTGAATGGATTTCCATCATGTATTATCACCCCTACATTATAGATCAATTATTTAACTACTTGCAGCTTCAATTTTCTCATTCACAAAATGGGAACAAAACAAATGTCCTCTTAGATTTCTTTTTTTGGTGAGGAGAAAGACACTGAACACATTAAAAACAGTTTGATAAACAACAGACATCCAATGTCCTTCCCTGCTGTTTACTTTCCAGGTTTGTTGCTGATAATTAGCACAGACCAAGAATTCACAAACTTTCTTTGGTAAAGGGACAAACAGTAAATACTTCAGGTTTTGTGAGACAGGAGGCAAAATTGAGGCTAAAGCACACATGCTTGCATAACAAAGAGAAAACACATTTCTGATGAAATTAAGATGATAGTGGTAAAAGTGAAGTACAAAATTTCTAAAATAGATTCATTGATGAAAAAAACTTTCTTGTTGGGGAGATAGTATTTCACTTAATTAGAACTCAAAATAAGTGCCCCTTGTAATCAACTTTATGACTAGTGTTCATCTGTACAAACTATTCTTGACTTGTGGGTCACACAAAAACATGCAGTAAGGTGAATTTGCTTTACAAACCATAGTATGCCAATCCGTCCTGTAGATCATCTATTAATAATGCCAATTTTTGCTTGTGCTCTTAATCATTAATGAGTAAATAATATAAAATCATAATTTATATATAACCCACAGTTAAAGGCGATAGTCTCAAGAGAAGGCCGAAGAATTAAATCTTTAAATAAACAGACTCTTGGAAGCTAACAGAGCACTTACTCCTATTTAATCAAACAATTCTTAAAATAATATGTCTCCTCTTGTGGTTGAAATCTGGAAAACAGTAGGAAGAAATTACCCAGCCACACAAGCTGACCACCTACAAAGAGAGATCAAGCAGTGAATGATTATGAAAGCAGAGAGTTACTCAAAGAGATTCTTTCTGCTTTTGATCAAGTAAGAAACAGACATGCCGGCTTTCAGGGGTGATGTTGCTAAAGAGGGGTTTACATCTGGCAGGGGGGTCCCTTCCTGTTGCCCTTCCACTGAACTGGATACACAGACTCAGCTTTGTCAGTTAAGATATGTACAGATGCTTGAATGCAAGTAGGATCATAAAAATATTATGAGGTTTATTTTTCACACAAAGGGACTATGCCTTGGAGAAAAACTACTATGTGGTGGAAATTTATCCAATGAAATAGAGGAGATTCTAGTTAACCAAGTTACCAGAGAGAAGAAGGCTTGTATTTTTGAATACTTGAGAGACGGATATGGGCAAGGATTGAAAAAAGCAAGGAGGACTCAGGTATATTAAAAAGGATTAGCTTGGGAAAGCTGCTCTTCACCATTCATGTGACAGAAAGGAATGATCGCACCGCAGCACACAATTTGAAATGCATTGATGGCCTATGGTTATTAACGAGCCTGCCTTGCCAATTGTGCTAAGGCTGTTTAAGGCAAGAATTTTAAAATTTTATGATACTTGAACTGGGAAAATGCTACAATTTGCAATTTACTGGAAAATAGTCAATTTTGATGCAAAAATATTTTAAAGTGCATTGATTTAGCTGAATGTTAGCCAAAGAATGTTTAACAAGTGAGCTTTGGTAGTTAGCTGAAAAATATTACCATTCTGAGCTGGTATTTAGCATGCATTTCCTCCGTTTATGTGTCAAGAGAGCACAGAGCCAATGCATCTTCTTAATTTTAACTAACAAATGGAAAGAACACACAATTATGTAAAGATAAATGTCAAAGAGGAAAAACTGAGGTACATTTCCAAGCAAAATTTATTAGATGTCTACTCAAGAAAAACACAATGATCTTTGCTTGTAAGAATTCAGTCAATTACCTGAAAGTCAGGTATGAGTAGTTTTCCTTTTAAAATCCGATACAGAGAATAGAAACGGTACTTTTTCTTAAGTAAGACAGGCAACAGATTTTGAAGTCTTGTCTCATAAATGGCATCAAAGAGAATTAGTCATTTATCAGCAAAGCTGCATGCAGTATTCAAACCCAAAGCCTTTAAAATACAAAGCTGGTTGTGAACTGGACAATAATCATGGTCGGCTACCCAAGGATGCTCCTTTACTTTTTTCCTAGTGAAATTCCTCTGTAATCAGTGTTTATGTACATTTCAGTTTGGCTTCTAAGACATTTTCAATTCATAAACATTTGCATATCTTACAGAATCACACTATCCAGGGGGCGCTTTGATCGATGTGGTACGTGGAGGATAACCTTCTGAAAGTGTTTTAGCTTTGTTTAAGTGCAGGATAAAGACCAAATTAGGAAGTTCCCCGGTTTTCTCAACAACTAAACAGTCTGTACAAAAAAAGAACAAACATATATACAAAATACTACAATCTACATATTGTGAAAAGATCAATCACTGTCCATGAAGAAATGCCATAAAAAGTTTTATCTGTAAGGTGCTCAGATCCAAAGATGAACAGTTCTTATGCAAATTCATAAGAAATACAAAGCTAGTTTTCAGGGTATATGCAGTTTAGGCACAGTTAACCCTATTAAATCTTTCAGGCTCCGCTTCAGGGTAGGAAAAAAAAATAACCTGAATGATTTAACAGTCTCTAAAAAGTGCCCAATTTATTCCTAGGAAATATTTTACATACACCAGGAAAATCAGGCTCAACATATTCCTGTTCGCAAATGTAAGCAGGATTCTGGGTTCCATAGAAGAAAAATAATTATCATAGTAAAAATAATCGTGTTGACCATAATTCTTGCTAAAACCAGCCTTAATACTTGTGACCCTTCTGAAGTACTCTATTTCTATAAAATAATATGTAGGATTCTTTTACATTTCCATAAAATGTACAACATATCATATAGATTATATGTTCTCATACAATCTCAAATGTGTATGTGTACACACAGTGAAATCTTACCTACTAATATTGCTTACGGATACTTTCAAGTGTCTATGTTAGAATAGAACTCTGCACCTCTCACTAACACTGCCTTTACTTAAATTTTATCAGATAAATAAAACACTAAGAGCTCATTGTTCATGATGCTGATTATTACCTTTTAATACAAAGTAGCAATGCAACTTTACAACACAGTAATTTTTTCTGTAGTGTACCTAATCCTTTTTATTCTCATGTTAATTACCAAAAGCTCTTATTCATTCACTGTTTGTACTTCTAAAAAGTACAAAAAATTGCAGGAAAAGACTCCTCTTTGAAAACTTACATTCAATTAACAAAATTACACCCATACAAGTTAACTTTCTTACTCTTAACTTTAGGTTTTGTGATCACGGTGCATATAACAACATGTAAGTGCAGGCAAAAGATAGCTGAAGTATGGTTGTCATACAGTGTAAACCAGGACACTAGGCAAACTTGTGAAAGGAAAATAGACTGCCAAGCTAAGAAGGTTAAAATGCAAACCACGGGGGTTTGGAAAAAACCATCTTCTGGTTGCCTGGGAGAGGAGAATCTTCTGGAGTTGAAATACAGGCAGGAGACCACAGAGCCTCCTGGAGACCTTTTCTTTTTTTTGTTTTCTTTTGCTCAACTACTTTGTTCTTTTCAAATATAATAATTTTCTTTCTGGTCTCCCACATTGACTTTGGAGTTTAGGGCAGAGAGGAGGAGGACGGACTTTCCTGTGGATGCAGGTCTGCTGTGTCTCCCCCAGGCTCACAGCGGTAGTTCCTCTGCTGGTGGTTTGGTGGCAGCAGGTGGAGATGGTGATGGCATATTGGAAACCATAAGGCATGACAACGAGAGGCCTGTGTGGATGTTTCAGGCAAGTTTATGCAGATGTTTTGCTGACATGTGGCATTAAATAAGGAGGGAGAGTAATTCACAGCCTCTTGACATAGTTCCCGGGAAAAGTACCAAAGAATTTGGTTCTTCTCGAGGTTCCTGAAAATAGAAGCAATAAATGAAAAGGTATAATAACAACGAAATATCACCTCATATGTGTGAACTTGGCCACATAAGGGAGAGAGACCAGAAGGGTTTGGAAAGGAAGAATGAAAACTCACTTTAAGACACTAGAAGAAAAAGTAAGCAACTTTAGTTATTTTGCCTGACGTGCTCATTGCCTCCTAAGCATATGTGATGTGCTTTAAGCTAAATGAAAAAGTGGAGCCTCTTGGTCTGAAGGCAAAGATAATCCTGCAGAGGAGGTGGGCAGTGGAACTCAAATCACCATGACTGCTAAACAAGAGCAAGGAATAAAGACCCAAAGCGAGGGTTGGCAGTGTGACAGGATGACTGGGGAAGCCCAACAGCTAGGGTTAGGCACAGAGGTTAGAGACAGAGGCATTCACAACACAAATAACAAATTAAGGCATTGTCTGGGGCACTGGCAATATCAAAAGTTTTATTATCTCTTGGTTAGTGCTACCTTATTCATTTAAAAGAAAGCATTGCCAGAGTCCTTAACAAAATATAGAAAATTTGAACAATTTACAAAGTCACTAAAGGAAAGATAAGCTCACTATTTGTGTGGAGGGTAGGGAGTTCAGTCACTGAAGACTATTTTTAATACGGTGCGTTAAACCAAATACACAAATGGCTTTCATTATGATCACCACGATTTCAACACCATGATTTCTTGAGTACTTTTTGTAAAAGTCAGTGCATTAAATTCTCATTTGAAATTTCCAGGAAAAGTAGTGAAATAGGTTCTTCAAAATTTGGTTTCTCATTAATACTCTGGAATTTATTATGCTATTTGGTGACGTCCTCCATCCCCACAAATAAGCCATTTTGCTTTTCCTAAAGATGAATTAACATAAACCAATCAGAGGCTTCTGGCTGCAGATATGGCCTCAGTGTTTTCACATTTCTCAGTGCAGCAGAATCTGTCCATGCCCTCATTTCCTCAGAGTTTGCTCTTCTCTGACATCCTACAATTTTTTTTTTTAACTTTTTCTGTTGTGCTCTGGTGTATAATGTCATCTGCAATTTGTGTGTATGCGTGCGTGCCGGGGGTTAAATCCAGGGGGCTTCCCTGCTAAGCAGTGCTCTACACGTCTCCACTGAGCTATACACCGGCCCTCTAGGCTTCTTTTACCATGGTAAGAATGCGATTGCTTTTGAAGTGGTAAAACTGGAACTTTTTTCCACTTTTACTACAAACTGGAGCTGAGAGGACTCACTGGACTTTCAGGGTAGCTCTATCAGACCTTGGAAATAGGTTAGTTGTTTACTCTTCTCACTCTGTATCAAGTGAGATTATCACTGTTGAGATTGTCCACTGAACAAAGCACTTGGGGACATTTATTGCTTTTGTTATTATTAAATCACAGTCTTCCCTGATTGGTGTTATTGAAGGAAATTTTCTCTTCTCAACTTGGTTGGATTAAAACTAGCAGAAAATCAGATACACTTGAAGCAGTAAATATTAAACTATATTAAAAATGCAATTAGGATTATATAATGCATGCAAATGTTTGAAAGATCATTATGAATTCAGAGAAAGACTATCACAGTGAAACATGCAATTGGCCAAATTCAAGCAAATTATAAAACAGACAAATGATTCTGGAAGGAAATATACACATACCAACAAACCATCCATCGTCACACTTTTCCATCACATCAATAACATCACTTTCTCTGAGCTCCAGCTCATCTTCATTCCTGGGAGTATAGTTATACAGAGCCTGAAACCTTCAACAGGACAATGGGCATGTTTAAATTCTTTTTACATATTTGTAAAACTAGAACTTTTAACATTTGTATTCTTATCTACATACAATCCTATATTTGGTAGTGTAAGTCTTTGATAAACATGTAATGTAAATAGAAATTTACTTGGGATTTTTGGATGAATAGACTAACAATTTTTTTTTTTTTTTTGGTACCGGAGATCGAACTCAAGACCTAGAGCCTGCCAGGTAGGTGCTTATGCGCTGAGCTAAATGTCTGCTGTAGACTAACAACATTTCATACTTACAAGGAAGAATATTCATGGGTGATTGTAATATACATGAATCGGGTTAGACCATTTTAACATTTGTAGGTCAGATTTGTATTTTAATTGTCCAGTAATCTAATGTCTATCATTCAGACACTAATTATGCAGCTCTATAAAAACAAGATGGAATCACAGCTTTCGCTAACCATAATCACAAACAAATAACTGAGACTTGCAAATTGAATTTTCACATGATCCTCATTTGAGATACATGAGCAGACTTAGATTTATGTCTAAATGACTACGTAGGAATTAATTTAAAAGGGAAGTTATTCTCATCAAGGGTAATTCTTGAAAGAAAATTAATTTTATAGTTCAAACTCCTGTTTCCCAAACTCCTAGGATTTGAAAATCTGATGTAGCTCATCTATGAAGTTTAGTGGCTGTCTCTGCTCAGTTAGCACAGAGTCAACCTCAAATAGTAGATCATGGATCTACATTCCTTCTTAAAATGGTTGGTTTTAAGATTTTTGAAGAGATTGGTTGTATTTAAAAATACCTTTGAAATAATTCTATAAGAAAGAATTATTGATGGAATGCTATCACTTGCCTTTCCCTGCCTGAATTGTTTGAGAGATATATTATGATGACATTATCAATTACAGATTCATACATTGAATTTATGGCAATAAATAGCAGATATTTTAATGAATATCAACATAAACTGGTACTTTAGAAAGAAAACATGGAAATGATAGTGACTGAAAAGTTCAGGAAGTACTTGAAATAGTTAACATGAAAACCTGCATAGTACTAAAAATTATCAATACAATGAGGGGGATTATTTGAAAAATGGATAAATTTGTTTTTGTTGATCTTTGTAACTGTCATACAAGTCTGTTAAGGTTAGACAATAAGAACAACATTTTGGGGTACTTTGAATTCCTTTAAGAAGCTGATGATAATGGATTCTGGAACAAAAAAGATTTAGTTCTAATTGTTTTCTTGAGTCAGGTAATCATGTTTGGCAGAATAAAAATATTCTATTGCTTTAATGCAAACAGTATGTTATAAGTAAAGAACACTAATCCACCAGCTTCCCTGTTGGTAAAGGTGTTCAATCGGCATATCAGGATAAAGTTGTTTAAGGGAATCCAGGAAAGAGCTGGTAGGATATGGTGCCTAACACCATCTACCCAAAACATTATCTTCCCCAGCGTGGTATCAAAGCCTAAAATTCCAACATTAGAAATTTCTTCCCCTGTTTAATATTAGCAAACTATTTGAGCCATTTATATTTTTTGAGACTAGTCTTCTGAGATCTTTTCTTGGGGGAGGATTCTAACTGTGGCCAAGGGTAGAAAAATATAGCCCGAATCCCAGAACAGTAGTTAAGGAGACTGGCAGTGTCAAACAGATTTGGGTGATTGCCTGGGCCAGCCTTAGTAGGAGCAGTAACCTTGTTTTGTTTGTGTTGACTTGGTTCTGAGGCTGGCTGGTCAGGAGACGGAATGATATTTTTTGTATATTAATGGGAAAAGTTGATTTCGACACAGCCGAAACTGTGATAGTTTCCCATTTCCAAGAGATGGTCCATTCTGGGCTGGTCTTTCAGGGGTACACATAGCTCTCTCTTTGGGGAAAGTGCCTCTCTGAACTGAGCTTCTCAAGGTTCAGCCTTCAGCAGGCACATCTCCAAGAGCTCATGCAGACAGGCCTATTTAAGGCCACAAACCCCAGCTGCCTGAAGAATCTCAAGGTTCCCAGAGCTAAACAACCTAAAATTGGCATAACCTCTACTTCACTTTTGCATGACGAGAGCCAGCATGCTTGTCAAAATTTACTTACCATTCTGGATTAATTAGACTACAAAAAAATTTTATGGAAACATAAACAAATCTTCCGGAAATCTTCCTATCTCGGCTGGCTTTCAAAATCAGCATTGCACGACAGGAAATGAAGTCAAATTACAATGAAAAATGATGTTTTGGAACATGTGTTGGGTGAGATGAACGATCGTGGTGAGGTCAGGATGCCTCACAAAGAAATTTGTTTTTTAAACGGGAAAAGCTGAGCCAAACTTGATTGTGTAACTTGTACTTCTTTCTATAACACAACACACTAAGAGTGAATTGTATGGATACAAATTTATGCTACTTTTGCTTCAAAACCTATGCTTTTTCTTTTGGTTTTGGGGGCTCAATCTAGGATCTCACACATGCTGGGTGAGCTGCATCCCCAACTCAAAACCTATTTTAAGATGATATTAAACAACATCTTATAATCCTTCTAGTTAAGGCTGTCACCAAATGGAAATGTGACAGGCCCTTGGGTTCTGTGGTTTTATACCAACCAAATGATCACAGTTGCATATAACATAAAACAGTGTAACAGAACAACATACTTCTATGTAGTCATATATTTACATAAACTTCTTTAAAACTGTTTAATAGAACATGCTGGTAATGCAATACAGTTCTGGAATTTATTTTTATGGTGTGATCCTATCACCATTTGCATAAATAAGAGAACAAACAAAAACTTTAAAGGCAACATGTAGTACTTTCATGTAGTTTAATTTATATATTAGAAAAGAGAAAATTTAAAAGTAAAGTTTGAAAAGGCACATTTTAGATACTGTGGAAGTGATATATAAGTGAATGATAGTATTTTAATATGGCTATTTTCAAAAGACACTTCTAAGTATGTAATTTTGGCTGATGTTATCAAAGTATATTAGGTCTACTTTCAAAGTATCTCCGTAGGTGGAAAAACCTTTTCTTGTATGTCTTTAAAGCTGTAGTTGCTAGTTACATAGCCAGCAGAGTAAGGGAAGAGACAGATTTATAAATCTTTGGAATCACTGCGAAGTTGGAAATTCTTCCTAGTGCATAAATGAAAACCTTCTCTGTTTTAAAGATTAGTGTTTGATCTCTGTCATAAAAATGGAGAGCACCGCAATTCTTGTAAGTCGAGGATTTCAAGAAACTTATTTTGATCTCTATTACTTGCAAAGTTGTAATCTTGTTTTGGTACCTCACCTATTTTGTGGGTCAAAGTTAGTCTTGAATTTAGAAGATAAGGAGAATACTTACGGTTCCCCCCCACCTTGAATGTTTTCATGAGTAAACACAGGACGCTGTGGCTGAAATGAAATGATTTTCAATGTAATAAATGTTTGAACTGCTACTAATTAGAAGATAATTTGGATAATGGCATGATATTTTTCTTGACATTTAATATTTCCTGTTGTAAAAAACCAAGAGGAAGAAAAAAAATCACCAAATAAAGGGCTTCTGAAGGATTAATAGCTAAAATATTTTGAAAGGTGCTTTAAATTAAGTCAAAATAACCAAGGTTCTAATGTTTTGAGCCCATCCACAATTAGTCTGCTCAAGCTTTAAAGATTTAGTCCCATTGATTTTTCAGAGGTCAGGAATATAGCAGGAACATGGACACCAGACTAGCAGGATAGGCAGGATGGACACCTTCATACAGCCTTGTCCTCCAGACCTTTCTCACACAAACAGAGAGTAAGCCACATTTAGTTTAGCAGCAAAATATCCACAGTCACTCTGTAAACTTCCTTCACAGACAACATTTCCACACACAGTACGGATGAAAATATTGATAGGCAGACATCCCATGCTACATTCGGATTGACATTCTCTGTTCTCAGTGTGGAGAGGGCACATGCATTTTTCAGAAGAGAAAACAGAGAATTTTAAATAAAATGTAACAAACAATATCCAGGTAACATGTAACATTTTACCTTAGAAGAGAAATATTGGTAGAAATTCCCAGTGCACTGAACACTCAAAAGAGTTTCCTTTCTTTTTAAACTAAGCATCAAGACCAGTATCTGTAATAGATACTTATAATATTGGAAATGACAGGCCTTAGCATCCCGCGTAGCCACATAAATACTTCAACAAAAGAAAGTTAACGCATTTGTTGAATACATAAAACTTGGTGTAACTTACATGGAGTACCTATGTGTTACTTTTGAGGGGAAAAAATGAATCCAACTCATTCACAACACACTTCCACAGCATTCTCTTCTACATGGTAGCTACACAGTGCAGGGAGAAAATCAGAGTTTGTATGGTAGCTATGTAGGTGACTTTTTGATGGCTACTGAATTAATTACTAGATCCATATAATTAGACGTCAGGATTAGTTTTTGAATTCTCCTAGTTATTACTAGATTATTGAGAGGCTGGGAAGTTTTTCCTGTATATTTTGTACAGAAACAACTAGTTCAAGCTTAGATGGGGAACTCTGAGGTTCTCTTTAGTCTGAGACTATTATCTGCCCCATTCTAAAATTCTCTATTCACTCTCTTCCTAGTCATGCTGCCCACAGAGCATATTCAAAATACTTTTACGACCAAAACTTCAAGCTAATACTTGGAGGTACTCACTAACAATATTCTTAGAAATTACACGGAATAGGCCTTCAATGGAATACATACACTCAGAACTAAGGAGTGGGAAGGAAGGAATGAACACCCAGGTGATGTAAAATTATCAACTCAGTATAAAAATCCTGATGAATCAGCATAAAGTTACTAAAAGTATATCTGCTATTAAAATTATAAAACATATTATTTTAAGAATGATTAAGGCTAAAACATTTTCAGACATTTTGAGATGAGGCTATTTCTTCAAGCTCTCTTTTAATTAATTAATAGAATTTTGTATCTGTGTAAAGCGTTGCACACAGAAGAGTTGCATATATAAATCACCGTCAGTGCTGTTTTGAGACAGTATTGTTTTCCCAGTTTTCTCTTTCATCTTAAATGACTTCAGAGTAATGTTCCGTCACATTTGTACCTACATATGATAGTTTTCTTAACCATGTCTCTCTCTTTTTGAAGACTGGGCTAATCTTTTTTTCACTATCATAAATAACAATATTATAAACGTTTCTATTCAAAATGCTATTTTCTTCTTTTGGGCTATTCGTTAGAATATGTTCCTGGGAGTACAGTTTTTGGTATACATTAAATTATACATTAAAGTCACATAATTTTGAGTGTTCACGTCCATCATTCCAAAATACTGTGTATGTAAAAGAAATGTAAATAAATTCCATATACCATAATTCAAATCACAACCAAAATAGCTACTGTTCTTTCAAATAACAATCAGAGCGCCATTTGCAGTGCACAATAAAATTATAGATATGAAAATAATGTTTTTCTTTTTTGTTTATTATTTAATTAAAACATTTTAAACTATATTTCATTATGTTTTTAAAAACTACATGCCTATTTCCACATATTTAAATCATTCTAAAATTAAGTAGAAATTGTAACTTACATCATAGCATTCAGAGCTTGGTAAATTCATTTGACCTATTTTCATAGGATCTCTTCATTAAAATGTGAATATCATTTTAAAAAATTAAACCATTCATTAATAAAAATAGATAAGTTTTAAGGTCTGTGTATATCCCTTGAGTTACTACTTTTAGTTCATTTAATTCAATCCACTTCCTAAATCATTCAAATGAATCATCCTTTGACAGTTAGGAGAAGTGGGCTACTTCTCTAAGTGTGCAGTTCTTCTAATTCCACAGATCTCTACATGTCAAAAATGTGTGTCCCTGGGCATCGGCCAGCAGGGCCCTTGCGTTTAACCATCTTTCCCTTTTCTTCATAGCTCTTAAAACTTGCCTTTCCTTGCCTACCTCTAAACTGTCAGTTTTCTAAACTGTTGATGTACTTTTCAGGTTTGTCATCACTTTCGTTAGCACAGAAGTTGTGTATCTCTGATATAATGTGAGTTTTAAAACTTTTCAAGACAGTGTTTGACTTTATTTTAAAGCATTTGAGCAATAAAGGAATCAGTATTGTTAATAATTATTTACAAGGGTACATTTGTGTCTTTCTGATTTGGGCACTGAGTGCTATGCGCAGTGGATGTGTGCTAGCATCCTTATCTCTAAGCTCAATGAGTTGGACAAAATAAAGATGATTCTTGTGCCCCTTAGGGAGCTCATAAGAAAATCCATGTTTCCTCAGAAGGTTTCCACGCCTGTATGAAGTTGTTTTTATCAACATGCATTTAGTCGCCAGTGAGCTGTTGCAACTGACACTTATTTGCTAATTCTTAATGTGTTAGCTGTGTAAAAACAATATTGGCAATAATTGAACTTCACTTTGCACGTCAGCAAAACAAAACCCCAAGATGCTAGTTTCTTAAATTGACAGAAATGGAATGACAAGTTTGACTAGCACTCTGCCGAATGAAATATTATAATGGCTTAACTTGGTGAAAAGTCAGCATCATTCTTTGTTCCTGAGATAAGTGCTTATATCTTATATGGAGATTCAAACAAATTCATCTCAGGAGAGGATCCTGTGCCCTCTCTGCCTAGTGTTGAAACTGCACACGCAGCCCAAGACTGGCACGGTGTCTGCTCTCTATTGCCACCTAATGGTGACCAATGGCAGCAACAAGCTCGCAGTTTTGCCCTTTGGTCGCTTAATTCCTTCAGGCTGGATTAATTTTGAAAGGCTCTTTTAAAGACCACAGAATAATGTGGAACAGACATTTCCACATTAGGTCTATTTTTCTGGCCACCTTTTTTCTTTCCCAAATTTCAGATTCACCGGTACTTTTGGTCTATGTTCATTTCTATTTTAACTGTCTGCTCAGGCATTTCTGTTACTCCTAACTTCTTAGCAGTGCTGAGATAAATATAGAACAATATACATTTGTGACATTCAGAGAGGCTTACATGAACTGTGATCTTAGAAGATGGTTTTCAAATTAACACATTACTATCACTGTGCTGGAAATTTTGAGCAAGAATTTTATCATACTTTATTTCCTTGATGAGTCTTAAGAGTACAATAAAATCTAGAAAATCTGATGAAGCATCATACCACTCTCATGATGTCCTATAAACACTTCGTTTTTCCTTAGCAATATAAGAACTTTCTCCCTCCTTTTTAGTGTAGCTATTTTTTAAGGCTGTCAAAAATGGACACAAAAGAGACAGGTTTTAAGCATGTGGTAATTTTCAAAGTCATTATCAACTGTAAGCCACTGTTCCTAAGGCAGTTGTTAGGAAATATCCCAGATAGCTCAGTGACATCACTATAATATATAGTTAGCTGTTTCAGGTTATGAGAGATAGTCTGTCTGAAAGCCATCAAGTAACACTTCTGCAAAAGTATCTCTAGAGGGTCGTTCTATCTTGTTTAAATAACTTAAATAAGAGTGAGTTGTTACTGTAAATAATAGTGAGGAAAAATCTTTGAAACAAGTGTAAGCAGTTTTAAAGTTGCTATCTTTTCCAGAAAGTCATAGTTGTAGTACTGTCACAAAAATTAGACGACTTTCTTCTAACAACAGTACCACATTTATAGTTAGAGGCTTATTTTTTCTTCTGAAATTATGATTCTAAAAGTACAACTTGCATTCTCTGAAAAAAACAGAATATTTATGTCATACAGACACATATAATCTAACATACAAAGTTATAAAGATCTGACAAAGAAAAATGTTAAGGTGACCCAAAGCATATCATGTTACTGACCAATGAAAATTTATGGATGGGCTCTGTTAATTTGGGAAAAACTGTGTGTGTGTATGTGTGTGTGTGTGTCCGTCTGTCTGTCTGTCTGTGTCTTTGTGTGTGGGCTCTGGAAGGCTGTTTAAGTGAGCCTAAGAGTTTGTACAAATTGACATTCCTCTTTCTTTATGGCAACACAAGTTCTGCTTCAGCAACAAAATGTTATTCTGCAAAACATAAAGCACAAAATGGCATAAATACAGAGCAGAATCTACATTTTTAAAAAGTGAAAAGGAAGATTTTTAGAAACATAGCTATGTGGTACAGCAGTTAAGTTAAAGCAGGGTCCATTAAAATGGAAATGATGAAAAGAATCCTGCATTTTGCGTAAGTGAAACTTCCCTAAATCTTTGACTATATTCTTCAGAACTGACTACCATTTAGAGTTCATTCATTCTAAAATGTGACGGATGCTACAGAATTGAATAAAGGGAAAGGAGTGGATTTTTAAATTCAATCAGAGCTGTGAAGATCTGAGGAGTGCACAGACTCCCGAGAGCAGTACTGGACCCTGAGTGATCTTACTACATATCATTGGAACAACAAAATATTTTGAAATGACGGATGGGATTAAAATAAATCCAAGTAAACTGAACCACACAGAAGCCAATAAGATGGGAAGTAAGTGAACTGCATATATAATCTGCAACATTTTTGTTCTTTTCGCTAAAAGCAGTGAATAGAAAGTAGTGATTTAGTATAGAGGCATGAGACTGATGTAGAAAATAACACACACAATACCCTTGTGAATGTAGTGGAAAGTTCCATTGTCTTTTTGAGCCTGGGAAGCCTGACACACTCAAGGAAACACACTATTTAAGACTTAGGGTAGCATTTTCCTGTTGATCTGATTGCATGGCTCTCCACTATTAGCTGTTCACATCACCTCAAGGGTCTCTCTAGACCCACTTTACTGCCAGAGCAAAGACAACTAAGAACGTGCTCGTCCACTGATGGGAAGGGCGGCCAGGATGCTGCCGTAAGCGGGGTGGGGGGTCTGACCCTACCCTGTTTGAACTGCTGCCAGGTGAGCTGCAGGATCTCTTAGCCATCACTGGGCTACGAGGAGGCTTACCCAGGACAAATATCTCACTTTTTAAATCAGCCTGGAAAAGCCATAAGAAGTTAGTTAGTTCTCATTGTCATTATTCAGCCTTCTGGAGGATTTTTCCTGTTTAAGTTTTTCCATGCACAGGCAGCATGCCAAAGCCCTGACCAGGAGCAGAGCAGGGAGGGTTACCAGTCTGCAGGCAGCTCTTCTGGCCACTGCATGATTTCCACACCCAGACATGGGCTGCTGCTCTGATATGGGACTCACAGACACGGCAGGCAAGATTTATAGGGGCAGGCTGGTGCACGAAAAGATATCTGACTGCAATGTGCTGGCCAAGGCCAATGTAAGAAATGTTACACTTCAAAAATGCTTCACAATCAGATTCAAGATATTCGTAAGTCTGACCTGTTTTCTGAGTGCTTATCAAATAGATGCAAATTTGAGACAAAGATAAATTTGGCTTGATATCTATCAAACTTCATGGAAAGTGTCAAATATTTGTTTCTAGCAAAACACATAAAAAGAAAATAATTTTTTAAAAAAATGGTGAAATGTAGTTAAATACTGCCTCATACCCTAATCAAAAGTCCGTTTTCATGTAATAGGGAACAAGCTGACTTTCTTGTATGGTGGTATATTTTATTTTCATTTCAACACAGGTCAGGATCTAGCAATGGAGTGTCTGATAATTTATTTTAAGAGAACTTTGACGAGACTAAGAAACTTTTAAATAAAAATGTGGTTTTCTCAGCTCACATTTAGGAAAAGTTTCATAATAACTAGTAATAACTGACTTCAAATCCTTGGCATTTTGGGATGAAATGTCCTTGGCACATTAGCTAAAGGGTCATGGCAGAGAACACTTGGTGTTCCCCAATATCCACGCTGTTCTCCATCTTTAGTAATGGGATCAGGGTGTGATGTAGGCACATGGTCTTTCCGAGTGCAGTCTATGCTTCTTGGCCTTCTTGTACCTCGATGTGCTAAAGTGCCAAGTTTTAAAAGCTGGGATACAGGCACTTTCTGGGCATCACCTGGCATCTCTGTGAGTGTCAAGCCGTCATAACAGTCTGGGATGATTTGCATTTAATGGTTAAAAGAAATGTAGTTTTACTTTCTTTAAAATATACTGATTTTGAGTTTTCTGGGACTGGAGCTACTCAAACGTTGACTCAGAGGTTCTACAAATATCAAGCTTGTAGGAAAAGATGGTGTGGCTAACAAGAGTTAAAAAGATCCCCTGAACATACCAGGCAGAATCAAGGTCTAACCACCCTGTGGGAGTGATCGAGGAGGCCTCCTTCGGCTGGGCTTGCTTGCGAAGGATAAGACCTCCTTATAGCAACATAATAACTGAGCTTCTTGGGACAAACCCAAGTACTGGTCCTGCTCTCTCCTTACGTGCTTCTGCCACAATTGGAGACCACATCCTACAAGTTTTTTATGAAATATTTTTTTGAAGGAATTGGAAACTCAGTTTAGAACGGAGCTGAGATTTATAATAATTTTATTGTGAAAAATTATTGTTTTAAAACAGCTTCCTAAAAGGCCAGGGAAAACATCAGATGCAGATCTTCACATCAAACTCATGATTCATCTTTCAGTTCTATACTCCATAAAGTAGCAGGAAATTTTACTTTAATAGAAGATTTTGGATTATGTATGATAGATTTTTCATTGTCTTTGAAACCACTTTCAAAGAATAGTTGACAAGGAGTTAAACATTGGTTGATGGGGTTGATCAAATTTGGATAGTAATAATTTCATGTAATATCTATTAAATATTATTATAATTTTATTAAAATTTGATTTAGAACTAGACTATTTTCTTTCTTTGTAGTGAATATAGAATGTGGGATTAATTTAGATATACAAGAATAAATACCATTAGTCAATTTATAATTTATCAACAGAAAAATCAATTTAAAAGGCATTTAAAAACCTCAATAGTAGATTAAATATCAACATTTGCTCCCAAACAGGGAAAAACATTTTTGGGAGTTAGTTATTTCACATTGCTATTAAATTATTCTTTTTTTTTTTCATTCTTCAAATAGTTGAAATCTAAAGATCATTGGAATTGAGCTTGGTTTCTGCACAAGAATAAACTTTTCAAAATTCTAGTTTTGTCCTTAATGGTCTAATGGTGAGTCCTCCACTTCTAACTTGGACAAAGTAACTCTAAGTTACTTTCTCACTTACTGATTATGTTTAAAGGCTGAAGGACAAATAATAAAAGGTGAGGAATAAGCAGGTTGGCTTTAAAAATAAAATCACAGAGGAAAAAGATTTTTAGCCAGACATTATATAAAGTGGTATTATAGTACTTTTTAAAACCCTTACTTATTTTATCCCAGCTAAGATTAAAAAGCACAAGAAAAATTAATCTTAAAATATTTATTTTTTCAAAAGTTCCTTTCACACCTAAGGTGAATTTGTACAGATGGACAGTTTTAGTGGATAGAATTGGTGACGGGTTTTGACGGTTGTATAAATGATTTCTCACTTCCTAATATGGAAACTGGGCTGTACAGAGCTTTAACTTTTACTTATCTGCAAAGGCCCTCATTTCAGATTTGTAAAACCAAACACGAGGATGAGTGACTATCTGCAGCCTGCCACCTTTTGTCCAAACGGAAAGCTTTCAGTATTATTCTAAGCATAGAAACAAAAATTTGGGGTGATGGACTGATTTCACGCCACCATTGTCATTCTTTTTCTCTTGGTAAAAATTTGTAAACAGTATCCTTCAAGGAGAGTTAAATGGCAATAGAGCCACCAGGCTGCAGGTGTCAGAGCTGGATGCTTCACCAACCAAAGCATCATCCTTGCTGCCACATTTACTTCACCTTTGTGGAAGAACCGGGCTCAAGATGATCACGGCTAAAGCCATCCTGTCCCCAGGCTCTGCTGAGTCCAACAGACGGAAAGTCACGGGAGGCCTGGAGGCCACCAAGGAGTGCTGACTCTTGAATGGGAAGATTCTCAAACTGATTCCCACCTTTTCAAAAGAATCTAAGGATTGCTTTTGATTGTGACGTAAATTGTAGTCTGTTTTCCTCCTCTATCTGGGTATGGCTGCTATGCAGATACAGATATTTGGGCAGAGGCCATGCTAATGATGTTAAAAGTTAGCAACTGATATTCACATAACTTTTTAGATCTTGTAAGATGGTTGGAAGGTAAAGGCATACATCTAATTACGTTCACGTAAAGACATGCAATAAACCACACTCAAGATGCAGTTACCTTTAATTTTGGTGAACTGATCTCCTGCTGATAAGAGTATTTAGAGAGGAGAGGAGATGAGGAGGGCTGAGTAGGCTGGGAAAGTGTAGAGACCAGGTCAGAGACAGAGGCCAGGGGAGAATGGAATGGAGGGGAGGAAAGCAGACTGCTGGGCAAAGACGTACTCATTCGAGCTCTTGAAGAAAATGAAGATCGCTTCAACATTGAGGAGAGACAAGATGTGATTACGCTTGTGTCCAGAATTAAATTACATGGGCGTTAAGGGCATCTCTAAACTGAAATAATTTTAAAGTTACTACCAAATACCCAGGGTCATGATATTTATGACAAACTCTTGCTTTGAAAGCAGTAACGTTTTATTTTGAAATTGATTCATAAATCCTAATGAGTATAACCATTTGGATGAGTTTTGGATGTGGGTGGCAGAAGACAAGAATACTTATACTCTAGTTTTTGATTTTTGTACCAGGAATCAAACTCAGGACCGTGCAGGTGCTGTGCCGCTGAGTTATATCCTCAGCCCCCTAGTTTTCTAGTATATTTATAGAAGGGCTCTTTCTAATGTGAAGGCAAAACTGGACCTCAAATGCTGTGATGACTCTTTGTAACTTGATTGTAAGTTGGTTTCAAACTGAGTAGATTTTTATCAAGCTGGGGAGGTTCTGACCTCTATGTGCATGGTGCAGACATGTAGGTGAGAAGCTCACACCATGCCCAGGGGACTCTGCTACATGCAGACAGGACTGCCTGGGAATCAAGCCATCTGATCGCATCTTACAACTCATTGTATTAAAACAAAAATCCTCACTGAAGTAATTCACTTCAAAGGGAACTGAACTTACTGCAGGGAATTCTCTCTATGATTAAGTAGTGTGTCTGTTTTATACAAATGTAGGCATGGCTGGGTTATTTGGAAACAGAGCAACCAGGAGAAAAATGACTTGCACCTGTGGCATAATATGAGCCATTTCTTTTATTTCCTAGTTTTAATCTGTATAAGTAACTATACCTGATTTTTAATTCATATTTGAGAGTATAATTTTTTTATTTTTGTTGTTCTTTTTTTAGATAGAAATTTACAAGTTAAAGTTTTAGGGTATTCTTTCCTTTTGTTGATTAAAATCATTGTTCAAGGTCCTTTGTTTGAAAGATGAAGATGTAGGACCCAAAGCTTAAGTAGTTACCAACTTGAAGTCAATGACCTCTTCAGATGAGTCAAAGGGGGTTAGAGTAATATTTTTTTTCCCTTTTCTTTCTTGTTTGGCAAAGTGCCATTAGAACAAAGATATGTTGTATTGTTCTCTCATCCTAGAACTGAACTATCTGTCTATATATTGGTTTTCTTATTTCTAAGGTGGGGATAATAATATTTTCCACCTCACTGGATTTTATAAATTAAGGATGTTGAGTTCTTAGCATAGTCCTTGATACTCAGTAAGAGTCAACCATGAGCTATCATTATTAATATTGGAAAACTGAAAAGATTATATAAGTTATGAAGCCTTTTGAAATGTGAGTTTGTACTCATAAGGTAAGGCTGGGTAATGGGGTTGTTTTATATGCAGCATTTGTATAATTTTATTAAAATATGGTATGTTTCATACATCCCTCTACTTCTGAGTTACATGATGCTAATTTTTCTTGTAAGGAAATATTTTAAGTAGTATTAAGAGAGATGTTATTAATACGATTGACTATCTTACTTAACTGTTGTCAGACTGGTTAGTTCTTCAGCAATTAGGCAAAATTAAAATACCTCATTACTGGTTTCTGCTGCACTGCTGTCTTCCTTAGAGAGGCTGGGATTTGTAGGAGTGCCTACTGAATATGTAAAGCGCACAGGATTCTCCTCTTCTTTCTCCTCTTCAATGTGTAGCTCTGCTGTCACCTCTGTACCTCCATGCCCACACCACAAGGCATCTTGTTCTTGAGATTCTAGCCGCCATCTTTGGATGTCTGAGGTGACCCCCTCACCAATTTCCTCATCTTCCTCTCCAATGACGGGGAGGGTTATAGGCAAGGGACCCACACTGGTGCATGCTGAGGCAACAAATTTATCACCTAGCATTTCAAGAACCCTTTTAGCATCTGAAGAGCCCCTTCTCATTTTTTTCAAATCTGTAAATTGGTTGTGAGTGGTCTCTCTGGGATCCTGAAGGGACCTTGCATTGTAAGGTTGGGCTGTGGCTGAGGTCATAATTGCGGGGGAGGGAGGTGGCAGAGAGATAGATGATCCTGCAGGTACAGATGCTGGAGGCAATGGGAGGAGAGCAGAAGGCTCTTCCTTAATTTCAAGGATGGTTTCCTCCAGCACGTCAGGTTTGGCTTGGTTGACTGACAAAGTTAAAGCACCCAACTTCTCTAATTCAGCCAAGAAGTCATCCAGGAAAGAAGATGGCATTGGGACCAAACTGTTTGCTGCTGGACACCCATTCGTCAGGGACAGCCACTCCTGGGACTTTCCCGGGAATTCTCCTTCATCTGAACCAGGTGACATTTTATGGGTGGAAGGAAGGGCTAGTTCACTGGAAGCCAACTTAGAAAGAAGCAGGGTTTATGAAGTTGGAAAAATGAGCAAAGAAAATAATAATAATCAAAACAGACAAACACAGGAAAGGTGTGGAAGTGAACATAAAACTTTTTTTATATTGAAGCACAGACATAGATTTGAAAATATTTATGAGTTCTAGGGTTGAATAAATTTTGTTGAGATTCAATTACCTAAATTCAGTTATGCTATTTAAAAAATTACTTAAATGACAAAACTACAGTTTTGGAAGAAGTTCTAAGTGTCCAATGAGAAGGAAGAGTTGTTAGAGCAAAGGACAAATAGTGAAATCTTAGAGATTTAATTTAATAATTAACTCTTTTAGTATAAAAGATATTGTAGCTTTCTAGCTATTGATTCAGTAGTATAAATATCTCTAAAAAGCTGTTAATGGAGAATGAAAACCAACAGCTAAGCGTTTTTATTTCCTGAATTTATTTACCATTTTTTCTTCCTGTGGGAGTGCTTGAGCTTTTGAATGTTCATAATTTTCTCATTGATGTTTGCAATGTTAAAACATATAATAAAAGACCATTATACATGAACACAGTTCCAAGTGAATAAATTCCCAAAAACGTTTCTCAAGAACAAAAAGCCACTGTCAGAGTGGAACTGAACTTACATAACTGCTGTTTCAAAGTTTTAAAAAAAATCCAAAGTAAATGTTTATAAAGGAAGGGAGAATAAGACACTCATAGAGAGTAAACTTCTGCTATGATTCCCAGTCTCTCTCAAAAGAGTGACATTTTATGTAAACTAAAGGAGGTATAATTAATGAATTTTAATCTCTGAAGTAAAAAATATTTTTCTGTGTATCTTAATATCATTGGTGTATTTTGGATGCATCAAACAAATGTAGATTTTTATGCAAGCTCATTAAAAGTAGTTAGATGTGTTGCCTAACAACTTTTAATATTCAAATCTATTTTTGCTGGACAAGAAAAAAAAAAAGAGAAAAATGCTATGTATATGCAGGCCTTGAGAGGCTGGTGGAAGATCTTCTACTCCAGTGCTTTTCAAATAAGTGGTTTGAAAGAAAAAGTACTTCAAAAAAGGTTCTGGAGATGCACTTTTTAGGTGATTATTCAGGACACTGTACTTCACACGGGCAGCCAACCTCCAGGGAACTGAGGCCTTACTCGGGATAGGAGCACAATGCATTCTCCACTTAACTTCTGACTTCTGAGTAGGGATGGGGCATTAGTTGAATTTTTTAGATGTTCTTATTCTTTTTTAAAGAAACATAATTTCATTATAATTCAAACTTATAATTTCACAATGGTACAATGTGTCACAAAACTCATGTGAGTACCTGCGTACAGGACGCAGGATTTAAGGATGCTTAGCATCTGATACAAAGTGAGATTGTACATGCTGCTTGTGACTGCACTGACAGCTACTTCTATTTGTAGGTGTTGAATTTTTGATAAAACATAAATTGTCTAAGTCTCCCCTGATAGTCTACAGAACATCCCATATTAGTTTAAGTTCTGCTTTGTGTTATTCGTTAAACAACAAACAATAATTAAAATATTAAATTCTGTAAAATATTAATTTAATATAATTATTTTTACTTTCTCTTTTGGGCAGGACCATTATGTGGTTGAGATAGAAAGATCTTTAAATTCCATCACCATCACTATGACTACCGTCACTGTCGCTATCTGTTGCTGCTGTTATTGTGTCATTAACACCAAAGTCACCTATATATGTGCTAGCAAGTTAAAGGTGCTCAGTTTTACAATGAACTGGATTATATATAAAGTCAAGTTAAGTATCTCAAGCTACTTATATCACAAAAATGTTACAATAATACAAAAATCTTCCCTTCCAAAAACATTATAGTTGGATTCTCTTGTACCAGAAACAGATACAACAGAAGCAATATCAATTTATATTTGATTGTCCCCTAAATAGAGATAAAATATCAAAAATGTTACTCAAATATACAAAAAAGTAATGAAAAGTTATTAATGAGTTTCTCTTTGTTTTGCAAATATCCTTAGAAAATAGATTTAATTTAATTTTGGATCTCATCATCTAGAAGCGTGTAATATTTTTCTTTCTGGAAATGATTTAGTGCAATGCTAATGAGCTTTCAATATTAAGTAAATGACACCATAACGTGCATTATCTGCTAGAATAAAATAAAAAGTGTTTTTAAAATAAAAATTATGGACATAATCTTTCTTCATATTTTCCCAGGAATGAGAAAAAATTACTAATTGCTTATTAGCAAATTTTTTATATTCTTCTATTTAAACCTGATATTAAAGAAAAAACAAGCATACACTTAAATGTTATTCACAATGATGATTAAAATATTAAGTTCTAAAATATTATATTCTCATTGTTAACTAGGGCATGTGGCAGAAGTTCTTATGTGCTAAATAAGCCTTTGTAGACACATACTTTTCTTCTTACAACGTTTTATTTAAAGATACAGTCTCTTGAGATTTATCTGGAAATCAAGAAATTATCAATTTTTAGGACTGAATTTTAGGTGGATAAGACAAATGCATAGATGAAGATTCTCATTTTTTATCAATAAGAACTACTGAAAAAGGACATGGATCTCTAAATGCTAAGTCCTGGTAATAAAGTAAATATATGTAAGATGGTTTTGGAAAACTTCATAATCAATTAAATAAAATTAGAAAACACCAAACAGTTCTGTTATCTAATGATAAAGAATTGAGGGTAATTACGTGCAGCTGAAATTCAGTCTTCAAGGAGGATTAAAATGCCTAAGAATAGGGTTTTAGTTCTTTTAAAAGAAAATGACTCTCAAGATAGATTCTTAAAGCATTTACTTATTAAGATGCTTCTAAGGTTCATTTTCCAGGGGGTAGTTTTGGTTACTTAGGAACAGTATCTTCAAATGATCTTGCCCTGGGAGATGAAGTGATCTTACACTTTCATAATGTCTAATATGCTATTTTACTTTGTTACCTCTGGTTTATTTTCCCATGTCTTAGTCTTGATATCAATTAAAACAACAAATAGTGTATCTTTACATTTTGAAGTACTTAATATTTCAGGAGTAATTCCTTAGCAATTTAAAATTTTACATTTGTAGTTAATAACAAGGAGAAAGAAATTCCTATATACCATTCATGAAGTATAATTTAACAGAAAAAGTTGAAAAATCACACTGTAAATAAAGACAGCAGAATAGTTTTTTATACCAGTTCAGGAAGGAATTTCCCTTTAAGTTACATAATGAGAAGGATAGCCATCTTTAGCTGTAAGCTCCATTGAACAATAGAATTTGTATAAGTTGCCCTAATACTCATGAAATGAATTTGAGCACTTCTAATAATCTACATTTTCATTAAAACTGATAAAATAGTCTCTAATTTTTAAAATTTGGCATAAGCTCCATGTCTACATAAAAATGTTCAAGACTTAAACAATTTGGTCAATCTTATATTAACCATGTGTTCTTAAGATATATATGTATTATATATATATATATATCTTAAGATATATTATGTATATATACATATATATGGCATTTTTTGTTTGTTTATATATTGCATATTATAAATGACAATTGTATTTACATATATAGATACAAAATTAAATTTATTTGTATAAGCATATGATAAAATAAAATTTACATATTAATTAGGCTTCAGAAAAAAAGCAGAAAACATATATATATATACACACACAGAAATACAGATATGTATCTTATAGTTTCATGACATTATTTTCCTTCTCTTTTAATATTTTAACTTGAAAGTGAATTAGCAAGACCAAGCATTAATCCTTTTTATATTAAGAAAAGTTAAATTGTATCCATTGGTGAGGAAGTCGTATGTGTAGAAACATAATGTGTAAATCCCTTTATTTGTGAAAGACCTGATGTTCTATTAAATATGCTAAAATCACAAAGTGCTTATCTTATTTCAAGCTCCCAAGTATTATATTAATATGACAGAGTATCTTCTTACCTTGTTGGAGCTCAAGCTGTGAATTCTATCACTAGAGTAGCTGTGGGGTACTGGAGGGTCAGGGTAATCCTCAGCACCTTTGGGGTTCTTCTTGACAACTTCTACATAGGAAACAGGGAAGATCCCTTGTCTGGTGGTGCCTGGAATTTTACCTTCATACCAGTTTTGATCAACTCTTTTAAGAAGGATAATTCTATCTCCCTGTAAAACAAATATTACAAAATATGTTATAAATAGAAACATAACAATAGGAAAAGTACAACTTCTATTGTTTCCTAGTAAATAACAGTTTTCTATTTGGGGAAGTTTTTGTTTAATCAGACAAATACAAGTAAGACCTTAGTGTGTACCAGAAAAACACAGATGATTAACATATATGCGATTCAACCATCTGTTCTTCAGAGTCACTTCTAAGTATACTTGGTTAGTGCGAATAGTCTCATACATGGTTCACCATGGTACCATGTACAGGGATTTGTGCTTTATTTCAAAAACCAGACTAGCTTAGCAAGTAACATGTCAATGATAGGAACGTCATTGTATTTCTGTCAGATTTCACAGATTGTCTTTCTGCAGGAAGGGCTTCAGAATGTGTGTTTGAAATGGGTTGCAGAAATCAGCCTCTGGAAGGATAAAGTTGAAGACACCTTAGTTTTCTTTCTTAGTCTACATCCTCTGAATGACAAAAAGAGTGAATATAAAGGGTGGGGACAAAGATAGTGCTCTAGAATATCCATAGTTGTAGCCAGGTTTTATATTCCCCTGGCCTGCATATGGACACTGTAACACCGGCATTAATTCTGATGGTTTGGTGGTCATGTCCCACCAGTCATTAAATACTTGAATAGTGTCCTTGGCTTTTGTGGTGACATGACTTTCTACATTTACTTTTCTGCTACCTGCAATCATGCAGAACCTAATTTCAATTTTAATTCAAAATCACACATGGCTCAGAACTAAATCAGCAAGCTATTGTTAATTAGCAAAACTCCAGCTGCACATTGACAGCTGATACAGAGGTTTGGGCAACTGCACTTGGGTGATGGAGGTGACTCTGAATCAATAGCTGCAGGACTAGTAAGGTACCCCGGCAGAGGCACAGATCGTCATTGAAGCTTCTCTTTTTGTCCCTCCCCTCCCCTCCCTCCCCTCCCCTCCCCTCCCCTCCCTTCCCTTCCCTTCCCTTCCCTTCCCTTCCCTTCCCTTCCCTTCCCTTCCCTTCCCTTCCCTTCCCTTCCCTTCCCTTCCCTTCCCTCCCCTCCCCTCCCCTCCCTTCCCTTCCCTCCCTTCCCTTCCCTTCCCTTCCCTTCCCTTCCCTCCCCTCCCCTCCCCTCCCTTCCCTTCCCTCCCTTCCCTTCCCTTTCCTCCCTTCCCTTCCCTTCCCTTATTTTCTCCTCTTTTCCATTCTTTTCACCATTAATAAATGGTAAGCTTTTACATTCTTCATTTGTTCTTTCCAACTCTTTGAAAAGGGTAGTAAGAGCCTGGAAAGACCTACTAGTCACCACAGTACCCGGTAACTCTATCTTGTTTGTGTTGTGTGCAGCACAAGCAAAGATATGTCATTGTATTGGAAACAATAAAGATAATTCATGTGTTCTCAACTATGCAAAGTAGCACATCAAAAGAGTTCTTGCAGAGCTGTTAAGAAGGGATGGTAGTACTGGCAAGTGAAATTTGGGTCAGCCTGTGGGCCAGGAAAGGATGAGCAAGGGAAAGCATCACACAGGCAGATCCCTATTTGAAAGGCCTTCCAGAGAGGTAGTGTTTTGTCACTTTGGGATCACTACTTCATTCCAAGATAGACAAAAGCGTGCACTGGAACACCTTCTTAAAATATTTGAATCATAAAGCAGCAGAATGATAGTATTTTGAAGTACACTGAAATACTGTCTCCTTTTGATGCTCCCACACGTCTAACTCTGAGATGTTCAGCCAAGGCACCTCTTGGAGAGGACCTGAGGCCCTGCTTCCCAGCCGAGACACAGGGAGAGGTAAGGCTCTGGTCCCCAAGGAAATGTCTCTGGAAGGACACAGGCACTAGGAGCCCGAGTGGCGCTGCACAGCCTTCAGGGGCCTTTTTGGAAAATGGAGAAAACATGAAAATGTCTGAGGAAGATGATAACCTACTTTTGTTTCAGAATTACAATATCTTCTAATGTTCTTCTGAAGAAAACAGCCAGCTTACCTTTCTCAGTGAGAGCTCCACATTTGTGTCTGCATTGAAATTGTATTTCGCTATAGCTTCTCCGATTTCTCCAAGTTGGGCTGGGGGAGGTGGTCTTGCAGGTTGTGCTTTTTCAGGAGGTGTGAGTTTCTACAAAAAACAAAACAAAACAGTGGTTTATTCTTGAACTTGCGATGACTTTTAAAACCACCACCAATGACAGAAGGGGAAAGGCACATACCTCTACATATGAGATTGGAAAAATGCCCACTCTTCCATGATGCTCTCCCTCATACCAATTTTGATCAATTTTCCTGAGGATGTAGACAGTGTCACCTTTCTTAAATGACAGCTCCCTGGAAGAGATGTATTTAAATGTGTTTTTTCCTTAGGTATTGCAATTATTCTTAAAATAGACAGCATTGTTATCTCTATGTTAGTCTGGAAAATACACTTCTAACTAATAATCTCTTGAGCTTAGTTAGGTAAGAATTTTCCTTAAAAATTCCTAGAAATCATTGATAACTTTAGAAATAATTTTGAAAAGAAAAGTATAAGCCTGACAATTGATATAAATCACAGAGAGATTAATTGAACATTTAATAGAAGAGACAGGCTGGGGATACAGCTCAGCGACACAGCACCTGCCTGGCAAGTGTGGGTTTTTAAGTTTGATTCCTGGTACCAAAAAACAAACAAACAAAAAACAGAGACAGACTGCTTAAATTTTTGTAGTTGAAATATTGTGAAGTTTGGCAAACTGGTGGACTAGTATTGCCCTGATTTGTTTTTATCTGAAGCTAACTGTTAGTGATCACCCTACCATCCCCATCTGCTTTTGTTTGCTAAAGGTTACATTAAGGAAAACAAACATTGTATATCTCAGAACAGAAGTGTCAACACCAGAAAGATATCTGTGGATCTCTGAGGTTAACAGAGAGGTATCTAAATTGTACTTGATAAGGAATTTATTTTGTGTAAAAGATTTTGTGTTTTTATTTTTCAATGGGATAAGTCAATAAATGGTTTAAATGTGAAGACACAAATGTTTGTTATTTTCTTTACATATTTTATTTTAAAAATGTTTTAAAAACACTAAGTCAATCTTTTCTATTTTGATTTTTCTAAGAAAATTAGTAGGTATACTAGGTATTATAAGTTCTAATGAAATTATTCATTTTGAATAACTCATACCTGTTGGTCATACTGGCACACTCCTGTAATCCCAGCACTCAGGATGTTGAGGCAAGAGGATCGTTGCAAGTTCAAGAACAGCCTGAGCTACAAAATGAGCCTAAGGCCAGCCTGAACTGCACAGTAAGATCTTGTCTCAAAAAGATAAAAACAAAAACCAACTCATACCTTATCACCCTCATTCCATCAGTGTTTTACAACTTCTTTACCCAGACTGTGTTGGTTCTAACTTAGCTTTCTGAGTTATACTTTGATGAAGGGCATCTACTTGGTATCTTCTTCCCGAGCCCCATTTTTTTTTTTTTTTAACATATCTGCCTTCCACTCTAAGCTTTCTACCTCATTTACTTCAGAATTTTAAGTTGGATTACTTATTAGTGCAGGATAAATAATGAACAGATGTTTACATCAAATGTAGAATATTTTCATTGACTGAAATAATTCATTGAGTGCTGGGGGTTCAGCTCAGTGGTGTAAGTGCCAGCTTGGCAAATGTGAAGTCATAAGTTTGATTCCTGGTACAAAAAAATTAATTGAAAAAGTTACACATTAAAAGAATGATTACACATTTAGAAATGCTAAAATCTTTATCTCTGTTGTGCATTAAATTTTTAGAAACTATAAAGATTTACAAAGTTTCACAGGCAAAAGCTTTACATTCAAACATAGTATTTTTTTTTTTTTTGGTAGCACTGAGGATTGAACCCAGAGCCTTTCCACTGAACTGCATCCTCAATCCTTTTTCATATTTTATTTTGAGACAGTTTCACTAAATTCCTAAATTGCATAAGTTGGGCTTAAATTTGTAATCTTCCTGCCTCAGCCTTCCAGAGTTCTGGGACCAGAGATGTGCACCACCAGCCGGATAGCACCGCCTGGATAGTATTTCTCTCTTTTACTGAAATATTTGAAGCAAAAAAGACAGAAAACAAAACAAGCTATATAATGTTTCCAATCCAATAGTTTTATTTGTATCAGGAATATTTTGTTTCTGAATGAGATATTTTAAGTAAGCATGCAAATTAGGGACAACTAATCATTATCTTTTAAATATGAATAGTTTTTTTTCTATTTGTAGAGGATTGCATTTAAAATTTGTAAGTCATTTAGACAAAGGAAAGTCAAATCCTTCTCCAGTTTTCAGAGCTGTGTCTGTCTTATTTCAGACCTAGAGTCTCATTTTTTTTTTTTTTTTTGTCTTTTTCCTTTTTATCGGTACCTGAGATTGAACTCACGACTGCCTGCTTGCAAGGCAGGTGCTTATGCCGCTGAGCTAAACCCCCAGCTCCCTAGAGTCTCATTTTAATATCAGTTTTTTTTCTTCACTTTCAAGGAGTGGCTACTGACAAGAATGGCATTTTATCTTTTTTCTCATTTAAAAATGGAGTCACCATATTTATTGAGTTTCTTGGCTATATTTTTATAATTATTCATAAATATTTTCAGTAAAGAAAAATGGTTCTGACATTTTGTATTGTGTAGTATCTTATTTCACAAGATGTTGATCATCAAAAAAGCACTCCTATAAAACTACTGATTAAAATGACGGGGGTTCTCCTATAATTTCAGTTCCACCTGAGTCTGAGCCTTCAAAAGCCTCACAAGCCATCCACCACCCTGATCTTTGTGCTCAACATAAAGTGTAGTTGGGGTGACAGATAACTGGTATTTTCATTTCCTATGAACAGAACAGGAGGAATGTGATTAAACTGTGGTAAGATCAACTTAATCCTGGTGTTACATAGAAATACTTTCCTCCTACAGTTCTGAGAGATAGCGTTCATGGATGGCTGTTTCATCTTCTCAAAAGGCTTCCACAGATAAAGTCTGCCAGGTTGCAGACCTATTTGTGACCTTGGTGAAGGGCCGAGGTGGTGCCCTCTGTCTGCGCCACGCTGAGCTGTTCACACTCCAAGGTAGCGTGTGGGAAAAGGTCTCCCTGAGCTTCCCTGCACTCAGGCACTTGCGGGGGGATGCGCCCATGCAGGAGGCCGAGGGGCCCTTGGAATCCACACAGTCTACTGATACAGTCAGCACCCTAGCACCCGCCCTCAGAACTATGCAGCATCTTTCTCTTTGAATTTTTTTTGTTTTTAAATTAAGACTTGATGAAACACTTTGTGAGTCCAGGAAGGCATTCTGCCTATTTTATAGGCTTTGTTATTCCTCAGGGAAGTATATACTTGAAGAAGTTTTCTGGTTCATTGTTATGAAGAAGAAAAAATTCATGCATTATTTCATAAAATACATCCCACGAACTGTCACATCCTACCCAGGTAATTATGATCAGAGCGCACAGGAACAAAGCAGAGGCTGCACTGCAGGCTGAACCCAGAGGTCCCCTGCTAAAGGCTGAGTCCCAGCTGAGCATTCCTGGGACACACTGGAAACTGTAAGAGGCGGTGCTGCTGGAGGGCTTCCAGTCGCTGGGGTCACGTCTTTGCCTCGTGACCTTTCTTAATCGCATCCTGACCATGCAGTAAATGGTTTTGCTGTGCCACATATTCCTTGCCATAATGTGCTGTTCTGCTCCCCAACGAGAGTCCTAAAAGCAGGAGATCTGCCCCATCATGGTCTAAAACTTCCAAACTGTGAAACAAAGTTCCTCTCTGTTCATAAGTCTATGATCTCAGGTATTTTGTTGCAGTAGTGGAGAAATAGCGAATTACTTATCCAGTCAAAAAGAAGATGTAAGTTTTCTTCAGATTCTTATTTTTTTATACCAGATTTAAGCCATATTAGATATTTTATTTCTAAAGAGCATTTTCTTTTAGTTTTTTCTCTCTCATCAATTTAACCAAATTCTGAGTGGTTTTATTTTTTGTATGTCTTCTGCCAGACACAATTTCTGAAAGTAGTGAATCATATTGTATGCATTTTTAATAAAATATTTTGTTTATATATGTGTGCATATATATATAAATGTATACATATACATATATACATATTCAATTTGAACAACACAGTATAATTTGGTGGCAATTTACAGTGAAGTATATCTTGAATTCTAATGTGGATCAAAGTTTCTTAAATAAGTTTTGTGCATGTGAACTACAAAAGATCCACACAATACTTTCTTATGTAAGGCTACTTATGCATCGATACTAACCTTCCCCAATTACATCCAATTGGGTGAAGGAGTTCCTACAAAAACAGGACAAAAAAAGAATAATAACACAATACAGGGCTATGAAAACACCAACATGAAAGAACCACAGGACCTGTGCTCAGGTTGTCCAAGCTTTGAGTCTGAAGAGATGGAATTTCACTACAGGAATTGTTTTGCTTTTGTTTTTGAGGTACCAGAGATGGAATTCAGGACCTCGTGCTGGCCAGGCAGGTGCTGCACCCCTGAGCTACATCCCCGGCTCACTACAGGAACTTTTGCATACAGTTCTAGACACAGCTGGACAAATGAATGCCATCAAATTCCCCCAACTAGTGTTAATTACTCCTCCTTATGAGGTAAATGTGAACGTTCCCCAAAGATTCATGCATCAAAGGCTTGATTTCCAGTGCAGCCATCTTCAGAGGTGGTTGGATCATGAAAGTGTTGCTCTCCTCCGGGGACCATTTCATAGTTGAGTGGGAACCAGCTGGAAGAAGGAGATCACTGAGGGTGCACCACAGGCCTCCTCTCTCTCTCTCTCTCTCTGACGTTTTCCCTCACTGGTTCCTGACCATCACGAGGTGAGCAGCTTTCTTCTACCATTTTGTTTTTGATTTCAAGTCAATCATAGACCGAAATCTCTGAAACTCTGAGCCAAAGTAAACCTTTTCTCCTTTCAGTTGTGTATTTTAGATATTTTGTCCTAGCAATTGAAAGGTGACTAAATACGCCCCCACCATTTATTTTTCTTTTTAAAATCACTTTATTTTTAATTCTTGACACAAAAATTCTACACAAAAAGATTCCTCCTTTTCTTTGAACTCATTGTGCTCTAATATGCTTAATGTAATTTAAAATTCAGTGTTTCAACGAAACTCAAAATGAGAATAAAATTACTCCATCCTAATTAGTAATTCCAAAGGAACAAGGCAATTAAGGTGAATTGCTGAATTGGGAATTAGATTTTATTTATAGCATATCCCACTGTAGTATTTGTTTCTTAATGTACTATTAGCATATTAAAGCCAACTCTAGTCATATGATAAATACTTATTTTACTTACTTAGATGTCTGTGCCTTAAAATCATAAACAGCTTTTGCAGGAAATTTCTGGAAAGAAAGATAAATAATCAGCACTAACTTACAATTAGAATTTCTTGAAGTTTCACAGAAAAATAAGACCTCAGGGATGATACACACATATACCCGTACAACACACACAATATAAATCCTATGTGAAATTTACAGATAAATCAATTAGTTCTACATTTGGATATTTAATCTGTAATGGATATAGTAGCTGATGTCTTCACAATCACATTAATCTTAGGAAATAATGTCATGATAGTCTAGTAAAATGCTTGTAGAAGATTGTTAGATATAATTTTGGCTATTACAAAGGTTTTTCAAGGGATAATTCTGGAGGGGCAAGAACTCTTTGGATTGAAGGAACTCTGAATCACTCTGTCTCACAGCCACTGGTCGCTATCAGAAATCTGTAAGGCTCATCTAGAGTGACCATTAGCTCAAGATCACCTTTTAGTTTCCATCTACTCTCCAGATTCCAGGACAGTCCAGGACCAGAGCATCAGGCATCAGTTGGCACATGTGCTATTAAGAACTGGCTGGTAGGGCTGGGGATTTAGCTCAGCGGCATAAACGCCTGCCTTGTAAGCAGGCAATCCTGAGTTCGATCCCCGGTACCCGTAAAGAAGACAAAAAGAACTGGCTGGCTAAACTACATTTTTTCAGTAATCTTCTCTAATAAAATTAACCAGCAAAAATGATTTGTGTAGAATTCATATTGACTTGCAAATTGTAAAGAAACTTTTTCCTTCAGCAAGGCAGCCCAATTCAAGAAGCTTTCAGGTCACAAATGTTAATTCACAGGTGTCACTGGAAGGTGCAGGAGGCTGCTATGGGGGGAGGACGGGAGCTGCGGGCAGAGCGCAATCTGCTTTCAGTCCTAAACCCAGGCTCCGAGGAAAACTCTTTTTAGCTTCTCAGTGGCTGTTTTTACGTTTCAGCTGGGTTCTTTACCGACTTGGGATGTGTGTTTTACTGGTCAGGGCGCTATCGTTTTAAAAGACTGCAATGCTGATCAATGTACTACCTCTTTTTCTGGAGTTCCTCTTCTTTCCCTTGATGCACTTCTCCCCACATCAGTCAAAGTGGATGAGTAACTTCTAGGAGACTCTAGGTCTATGGGAAAGGAAGGGGTCAGTCCGAGTGAGAACACATCCATTCAGAGCAGATTTGGTCAGCTGTTTTCCCTGTGACAACCCCCTTCCCTATGCCCCAGGGTTGAAAAGACACCACTGTTGAAAACACGGTCCTAAAACTCACTGCTAACTCTAAAGTTGTGACGAAAAACACACAAAACAAGAACATTTCAAATAGGCTAGCAGAAGTATTATACTTATGTAGGTAAATATATTGCTAATTGTTGATTCATTATACTGTTGTCCCTGGTGTGGATAATTCAGAGTTACAGAGATTTTTCATATCCAATAATTTTTACTACTTAGTATTTCTGTTCTGTTCCAATTTATAATTACTAGTAAATGGCATGTACAGTATGGGGATTTGAAAATAACAGTAATTTGTGGAAACAGAAACATCTGTGGAACAATAATTTAAGGTAGCTATGAAAAATAAAGATAAAATTAAAGAATGTATGATGATGTCAGGAAGATAGTCATGTCTGCTCCTCTCTCTGTCTCTCTCTCTCTCTGTTTTTTAGATATTTACTGAGTCTTAAGATGTCACCCCCTTTATCCTTTGTGCCCAGTTGATAAACTACTTTATCAGAAAGTAAATATTTACTTAAACCACAGAGAGATAAACAGTCATAGTGGGTGCCAAATACATGATGAAACATTGAGGTTTCTGTTTATCTTACAGTAAAATAGAGATAATTATATTATAAAATTGTGATTGCAAGTATGCCTTAGTAGTATCTTGTATTTACTATTACACACTTTGTGACTTACATGTGGGTGTGTAACTAGAGGTTGAAACCATCTCAGTAAACTTACAGTGTAGAATTTAACCAGTTCAACAGGGTTGAAACTTGTCAGTTCTTTTTATATCTTTTATGAATTTAGTTACATTAACTAATGAGAAACATTATAATTTATTTTATCCATCTCTGAAGGAATTTAAAATGCTGATTACAGGAAGAAAACAGGACTTGACTACTTTGACTAAATGAAGAATTGACTGCTTCCACATGGGTTATCAGTTGTACAACCTACAAGGATAAAGGACTAACTTTCTGTGAGTTATGTATTCTAATGCCTTTAGGTTTATGAAGGTGACTTGGCTGTAAATGTTTCAAGTAAAATTTAGTTATTTTCATTCATTTTAGAGGACTATGTGCAGTATGCTTTTATTCTAAATGAATATACTTTTATGAACATAACGATTTCATAATGATCATACATCTTAAGTTACTTTTACTTTAGACTATTTGGAATATAAACTGCTTATTACTTGGGTTGAACATAATTGAAAAGCAGATGTTTTATTAAACAACAAAATATTCTTGCAATACATTTCAAAGCCTGTTTAAATCAGGCTTCAATAATGTACTTTATCTTCATATAAAATTGAGACATGATTATATTAAGTATTAGAAAAGTGTTCCAGGTAGCTAATGTTTTTAAAAAATTACATATTACCATATCTCAGTGTGAAAACTTCCAGTTGTTAAAATTGACTTTAAAAAACGTAACTTACATACTTGAAGCATGTTGAATAGTATACATGAAAGATAAATGGTAATAAGTATATTTATACAATGATAATCAACAATTGAGTCATGAGTTACACTAATGAAATTTAAACTATGTCTCTTTTTATCTATAGAAATATTTTATACTACTAATTAGGGATCATCAGGAGTTTGAATCTCTTATTACGTGCTATCTGTGTAACCTTGAGCAAATTTCTTGTCCTGTGGGGACCTCAATGTCCTTAGCTGTAAAACAATTCTTACAATAACAGGTCTATTCCAGGTTCAACTAGATAATGTACATTAAATACTTTGTAGTATCTGGTGTATAGAAGAGAATCCAAGTTTCTACCAGAATGTTTATTCCTGCTTTTTGAAATTCACATAATAAAATGTTATACTTTAAGAAGTAATGGAAAGGACTGGATAAAACTATTAAAAATGACTGATTTTTTAGGTTATGTCAACCTCAAATAAACATCTCTGCATTTGAATTGCTATCTGTCCTTGTGTTGCCACTTCAAAGTCATTATGAAAACAAAGTTGAGAGTCACTTTTAACCTAGTCTAACTCGAATGTCAATGTTGGATTGCTTTAGCAGAAACAAAACAAATAAGTAATGGGAAAAGTGAGAAAATGAATGCATTGAGTGATGGAAATGGGACTTTCATGTATACAGCTTAAAGATACATTCACAAAAATTTATATCCTAATTGTGTGCTTTAAATGGAGAAAGTTATTAAATAAATCCAAATGTCTTTGTTGTTTTTCAGTTATTAATCATATATTTAGTTTTGCTTCCCATATGTTTTGACACAGTATCTTCAATACAGAATATGAGCTGCCTTAAGCAAATGGCTATAAGAGATTAATATAAAAATAAAAGGCTATTTGTTAAACTATTAGTTTTGTTTGATTTTACAGTGAAGAAAGTTCTCCGTAAGGATTTTGATATTCACGTACAGTTTCTGCCTTGAAATAGTTTTTTTAATTTGGTAAATCATTTAATTTGTTGTCTCAACATAACAGTTATAATCCTAGCAAAAAAAAAATTCTCCTTTAATTTTTGAATGAGTAAATTTTTGTGAATCAACGCTCACTTTAAGCCACACATAGAGCGCAAATACTACACAGGCGAATGAGAAATAGTAGAAAATGCTACATGGGCGAATGAGAGAAACGTTGGTACAACAACACTTGCTCTAAAACATAGAACTATGCCAAGTGGTCTCACGGTTTAAGAACGATGAGATGTGGGAATGGAAAAATGAAAGAGCTGGAGGGTGGGTGTCTGAACCACACGGAACAAGAAAGAAAAGTTCGTCCACCTTGGAGACTCAGGGCACTGTCATGGTCCTGGTGGTGGTAGCTGCTGCTGGCCATGTCCACGTCTGGGAAAGAGGCACTGTGCGGCATTCTCCCACAATCATTCTGGTACAGTGGACAATGAATAGCACCGTCGTGAGGCAGTGGGTGGAAAGGCTGGTGCGTGGGGCTCCTTTTCAGAGCTCTAAGTGATGAGTTCCTTTCAGGAATATCTGGCAGCAGTTCACTGATAAGACGGTGCAATATGCTGTTGTCTGGCAAACTTCCTCTTCGCTTTTCAGCTTTGATTTGGTCACAGATGTCTTTAAGGGCAGAGTCCAAAGCCTCATATACAGATGCTTTACATTTTGCCTTTTCAGTCTGTTTTTTGGGAGTCACACTTTTTTTCCTCCGGAAAGGCACAGGGCTGACTAGGAATGCAAGTTTAGACAAGCCGGGGTCCAATTCTTGTCTTCTAGGCTGTTCGACACCTTCCTGCTTAGCTCTTTCATGCTTTAACATTGTGGTGAATCGAGTGTACGAGGCAGGGCACCGGCCTTTGCAGGAGCTGATGAGGTGCCGGTGATGGTGATGGTGGTGGTGGTGGTGGTGGTGGCTGGACCCATAGAAACTTTCAGAAGATGTGAATGAAAAGTGATCAAAATCACTTTCACTGCAAAAAGATGACCCTTCCACATGAATGTAGTCACTGTGATCAGACACAACTCCATCCTGGTCACTGTCAGAAAATTCCATGTGTGTTCTGGGCTGCTCATCGCTGGTGACTTCGATGTGAATTGGCACCAGAGTTTTAGACTGGTAGCTCCGCTGAACCTGAGAAGGGTGCCTACTCTGATTTTCTTCCTCCAGCAAAGACTCAATGGAAAATCGCCTCTTGGGATACAAACCATTTTGTTGCGGTTCCAGGGTTACAGGAGATAACATTTCGTCTCCTAAGTTTGGCATGGATTTTGATTTTTGAATCAACTTTTCAAATTCTGAGATGCGTGTGGGCACCATGTCCCTGGGCACCTCCTCCGTGGAGGACTGGCTCCATCCGTGGAGCAGGCCCTTGTGCTGTTGCTCCTTTTCATACTGCATTATTCTCGACTTCACCGAGCAGATGACCTCTGAATTCATCAAATCTTTCCGGTTAATGCGGTGCATTTTCTTGTACATTTTTAGGAAGCCAGGGGCATTGTGGGATGACCTGTGTCTGATCCTTGATCTGCTGTTACCACGACCCTCCTGGATGAAGGAGGAACCCCAGGTCATGGGGCAGCTCTCTTTGGAATCCTCTTCACATAAAAGGGAGCCCATACTTTCTGACTTGGTTTGGGGGTCAGGGAAGCTATCACAGTCATCATTTAGGAGATCATCACAGCTACGGGATTTGATTTTGGGGGACACCGACTCTTCAGTGCTGCTCCAGATCTCTGCATTTTGCCGGGCCATCTGCCAGCCATTCTTGAAAGTGATAGCCCTTTGTGAGTCCCTTGGGACATCCAGATGCTGTCTATAAGGACTACAGTACTCTAACTCACTGGAGGGGGTGCCGTTGAGCCCTGAGTAACTGCAAAGGGATGGACACATTTTGCTATCATCCCCACCTTTTAATCCAGAGCAGCGTGGCAGGAGAGAGACATTTGGAGAAGTTAAAATGTTCACAAAAAGGACAGTATGTCAGTATCAGAGAGCACAGCAAAGAGAAACCAGTTAGTGTGGTTAGACACTGATCATTAATACATGTAGCTTCAACTTTAGAGGAAAAAGGCCTAATTCTTAAGGGTTGATAATTTTTCATTGAACGTAGTTTTGTAGACTTTCGAATCAATTCATACATCTTTCTGCTTATACAATATTAAAAAATAAAACAAGAAACAAAACAATTGAATCTCTTCAACTCATAGAATGCCTTGGTAGTAATTTAAATGTTTAACAGTTTACGCCAAAACTGTTAACAGACTTAACCAATTTAATAGGGGAGAATTTGAAGCGCATTTGACTTTAATGATACATAGATAAAAGGTAATAAAATTTTACATTTAATTAACACTCTCATAACTTTACTAAATAATTTTTAATGGGCATTGGGATAGAGGAAACTGAAAAGTATTTTCCAAAGTTGTAAAATCAAATACTGTGAACTATTGCTGCCAATATTTTTCCAAGAATAAAATAACTAGAGCCTTCTTAAACAAACTAATTTATTTTTTTTAATTGTTCACCTTCAACTTTTTATTAGGTACATTTTTCTTTTAAGGATAATTGGATATAATGTAAACTTTATTAGTGGTAAATGAATCACGGTTCTTTTTTTTTCGTAAACCATTCATTTTTCTATTCACTAACAGCAAGCTAAACTTGATTGCAATTTGGAACATCTATGGGAATATTCTTTGCTTTAGCTCTGTTGAATTATTTAATAAATGAGAGACCAAATTATTTCTAACAGGGCATTTTCTTCTATACAATAAGTGAAGGAAAATACTTCTATGAACAACTAACGACTTATGTTCCCTTAGTTCTTCAAAAGTAGATAAGCACATTAAATTGATATGTAGTATTTGGGAAAGGAAGTTGACTTAACACTCCCTATGATAAGCAAATACTTAAATTCATTAGAATGTTTTCAAGTCTTGGACAGTAGCCAAGAACAATGAGTTAATGGCATTTCATGACTTGTTATCTTAAGGTATTTGTGTAAATGAGGAGAAGATAAAGGCATCTCTGTTAACCCATGAAAGGTGGGTCTCCCTCTTTTCTTCTGAAGCACCCAGCTACTCTCCACAGCTTTACTAGGCCCTGGAAGGGCCAGGCCTCCTGCCTAAACACAGTCAGTTATTCTCCCTCCTCTGCCTTTTGCACATAAACCAGCTACTAATTAGCTTTAACTGCTGGGTGGCAACAGTTTTAGGGCCTACAATTGATCTGTGTAGCTGAATCTGTCTTTTTTCACAGAAACTTCTGTTAGAGCTCATTTTCTTCGCACGTTTTAAAATTGGTCTCTCTTCTGTTCCAACTCCAGGAGACTGGAGAAAATTATGGGGCTCCAAATTTGATATGGCCTTAAGTGTAAGTGGATGTTGGTCAGTCTTGTCTCTCCTTCTCAGAAACATTCCTGACAAGGCAATGATACACTAAACGATCTTTCAGAGACCAGAATGAGTGACTTACTGTCTTCCAGCACTTAGCTCCCTGCGTTTCCAAAGAAGAGAAAGGATATTGGAAAGGTGGCTTGTTGATTTCTAAATTATAATTATGAGTGGAAACCAGTTCTTATTGTGGAGTGCTATGAATTGACCATTGTATTATGTGGTAGAACATGAATACTTTAGTGTATACATAGAGATTGACTAAAATACAGACTAAATTCTTTAAAAAATGACTAATAGGTTAGACATTTTTTTACCCAAAATTTAAAAATGAATGTTTTAGGTAATAATCTTCCCTGTTGCTACTTGTAATTCTCAGTGTAATTTTTACTATTTGTAAATGTTCGTAAATGTCATCTTTGTGGATCTGACCGTAAAGTATTTGATACTTTGAACTTGTTTTAAAAAACAATTTATTTGAGTGGGGAAACAAAGCATCAACAGATGCTAGTCTACTCCTTTAAGCCCTCCAAGGGGTTCACTAATTTGAGTCAGATTGAGTAGAAACAAAGTTAGTGTTCTGAAGTGACATACCACTGTTGCTACAAAGTAATAGTTTTACATGTATTCTAGGCTAAAACTTAAACTAATAAATTGCACGTTTATCAGTGCTCACCTTTTGCTCTTGAGGGGGAGGAAGGAGAAGAACTAATGAAAGATTTTGTCAAGGTGGTGCTCGATCCTGGGAGGTCCATCCTACTGGGGCTGGTTCTGCTTGCAATCTGATCCCCCAAGCCCCTGGGTGGACCAACTGCAGGCTCACTCTTCCTCCGCTTCCTGAAGTCACTAGCCATGCTTGCAGAACTGAAAGAAGGGGCAGCATCAGTGGACCTGGCATTGGAAGAGGTTAGCAAGTGCCCTGCAGAGACTGGTGGAATATGCCTACGAGACTTAACTCCTGAACCTTCACACCCAAAACTGCAGTATGAGGAACTCATTCCTTGACATTCAAAAGGGTTTCTTGAGAATCATCTTTTTAAAGAAATGTACAGATCTTATTCATTTTCAGAGCAGTTTCAGGCTTACCGGAAACTTGGTTCCAATACCCAGGCCTTCCATACCTGTGGGTTCTTCAAGCAACTTTGATTTGGAATAATTTAAAAATGTGTCTGAACTGAACATGTGCCAATTTATTTTCTTGTCATTATTCCCTAAGCAATACAACATAACAAGTGTTTGTATAGCATTTATATCTAACTAGGCAGTATAATTAACCCAGAGATATAGGATATGGGAGGATTGCATAGGTTATATGCAAAAACTATGCTATTTATGAGATTCGAGTATCCACAGATTGGGATCCTCAGGAGTCCTGGAAGCAGTCCTCAGCAAGGATTAAATCACAACTGTATAGAGTTCTACCATGCCAACTTTCTTTACTCTTGCATATGCTTCCTCCTATTATTTACATCTTACATTAGTACCGTACATTTGTTACCACTGATGAATTTACCTTGACATGTCCTCATTCTAAGTCCATGTTTACATTATCATCCATGCTGTGTACCAAATATTCTATGGAGTAAAAGTGTCTTATAAGATGTGTTCATCACTAATGTATTGTGTAGAATAGTTTTACCACCATCAGATTCTCTTGTGTATCACCTTTTAATCCACTCCTCTCTGCTCCTGCTGCTTGGGGACACTGACTTTTTCATTGTCTCCCTGCTTTGTGTTTTCCAGAATGTCACATTTGGAGTCATATAGTATATAGTCTTTTTGGTTTGACTTCTTTCACTAAGTAATGTACTTTAAATGTCATTCCAGTTTTGGTCATTAGATAGCTCACTTCTTTTCCTTGCTTAATAATCCATTATATGGATGTACCACAGTTCATTTACCCATTCATCTACTGAGGGACGTGTTGATTGCACTCAAGTGTTGGCAAGTCTGAAATCAGCAGCTATAAGCACCTGTGGGCTTTCTTTTGTGTATGGACATACGTTTATAATCACTTTTAAAGTAAATTTTTGCTATAGTGAACAGATTTTTATCAACACTTAAGTCTTGTGATTTATATCATATCTCTTCTCGATAAAGAAGAATTCCAGTACCATGACAATTTCTGGAGTGGAGGGTGTGTTGAAATGGAGGAAAGGACTAGAAAAAATGCAGTCATCTAGGAAAACAAGTTTCTATTTTTTCAAGAATTTCCTGTAGCTTTTTCTAATAACTTTAGCTTTAGGAGACATTACACTGGAATCCCAACTTTCTCTATCTAAATAATGAATGACCAATAATCTGGTCAGCAGATAAAATATTGAAGATTCCTTTCACCTGGTTGTATAAAGAGGTGTTGATAGTCTATAACAGAAAGGAGTTCTTATCAGGGTTCTGAGTTTGAGTATAATATCACTTAAGAAAAACACTACTGAATGAAGAGAAACACAATACAGGATATGTGGTCTGTGAAATTACTAAATGAACTAGGTAAACAACAGTGACAATCCTAGGTGTGGTTCTTATGGAACTCACTCAGCAGGATTTATTTACACGTTTGTCTTATTTAGCCCATATAGCAAATAATAAGATATCACAGGCTATCATATCCATGTAAATGAGCAAACTAAAACACAGGTCTGAGAAGAACAGAATTAGAGCCAGTCCTCAGAATCTGTCTGCATTCTCTCCTGCAGAGGGCGCTCCAACTCCTAGACCTGCTGTTGCCATGATTGTTCAGCTATATGATGGTCTGTGCCTTTACAGTAGCCCTTAGGTCAGACTGAAGCTCTAAAATTCAAATATTTCATACATTTTTTAGGCAAAGATTAAAAAAAAAAGATTAGGAAAGTTCCTTTCTTTGCAGTAGTAATGTAGCTGCACGACACTCATGAACTCAATTTGTGAAAAACTCAACTCATAAAGTTTTCTACTGATGTTATTAGAAATGTATAGAATGACAAATTAATGTTATAGAAATATTTGTTGTTGATACAAATATGCCTGGATGCTTACAATATTCAGGGCTGCTATTAAACTATGTTTAAATTTCAGTAAGATTTTAAAATAAGTGTGATATCTGAAGCCTTCTAAGAGAACTTTACATTTGGCAGGCTTTGAAGGCAGTTAAACTCACTGGCACGCTCCCGTGACTCAATTCTGTTTTGTTTCTCTCACTTCTAACTGTGGAAACTTGGTAAGTTCATGAGCCTAAGTGTTAGTTTCTTCGGAAATAAAGTGGGGACATGGTCTTTAACTCATAGTACTGTCATTGGGTTGAGTATGTACTTTATACCAACAATAAAAACATATTTGTGTGGTAAGAATGTGATTAACAAATACATGTAAAATATTTTTAGTTTTAAAAGTCTCCCAAATATCATGTTACCTAACTAGTATAATCCCCATTTAAAGAAAGAAAACTGACCAAAACAAAGACAGGGAAGAGAAGAACTTATCATTCTATGAAGGAATCTAGAATTACTTCTACTTCATTTTCGTAAGTTCTTGAATGTGATACTATATAATGATGCAGAAAAAATAAATCTCCTTCATGAGGAATAGTACTTACAATGAGTGATACATAACCCTCACTGCCATTTCACTGAATAACATATTAAGAAAAAGTCTGGTATAAACTATTCTGGTTATATATTGCATAATGTAAGGGTATGCTTACCTGCTGGGCCTCTCCAGGCTTCTGTCTATAGAAGATTGATATATGGAGGCCTGTGAAGACAGAACAATAGCTCCATGAAATTTATTACAATAACAGATTTTGTCTATCAATATTAAATTAGGCATTCTGGAAGGATATTATAACTATTGAGATTGGAAGTACCATTTATTATGATTATAGAAGTATCATCCCAAAGACAAAGAAATTAAGCAGCCTGACTTTCAGATTGTTCCTATACCTTCACTGATGTACTGTCTTGCAATATTCTGTGTAATTTAAATTATCTACAGCCCAAGCATTAATTTCATGGGTAGAAAACAAAATCAATAACATTTCCTCTGAGATACCAACTGAATACAGAGCTGAAGTTCACAGCATTAACTTCAGAATCGTGTCTATTGATCAAGAATTAAGAAATCTCTTACATTAAGGAAGAGTTTGATTTTTTAAAAAATATTTTCAGTCATACTTCAGTCTTTATAAAACATAACTCTTATTTACAATTTTCTTCTGTCTTTGTCAAGTGTTATCATTAAAATATAACACATTAGCAGAACTTGAGATACCTTCTTTTTGTCAACACAGACATACCATTTTAATAAAATTCACAGAATTTCACTTGGATCCAAACTACCTTGGACTTCAGCCAGGTACGGATTTATAAATTTCAAATAATGTGAGTTTAGGGTTACTTTAAATTAAATGATCGAAAGATAAAAATATAGCTTTTAAAAAGTGTGCTTTAAGCATTTTCCTTTATTCTGAACAGTACACTGCACAACTAAGCAAACACAATAGACAGGAAGCTCTTATTTTTCACGACCATTCACTGGGACAAATGCTAAATTATCTAACAGGCAGGAAAGGATCAGTACTGAGCTCCTGAATATTGGAGGTACACTGCAGTATGCCAGTGGCAGTGATGCAATGTCTAGCATGCACAGGGAAAGGCACGATGGCTTTAGATAAGGCTTCAGTCACTACTGGTGCTCAATTCATCATCCTAGACAAACTCTGGTTTGACTAAAAACTGAAAGTCTAGTTTGAAACTTTTTGTATGAAAGCTTTAAATGTCAGCCAGAAACACTTGACACATTTATCCTATCAAACAGAAATATTTTACTAGAAACATTAAACCTACTTAATGGATATTAAATCTCACTTCTCAAGTGATTTTTGAACTGTTTGCTATTAATTGATAAATTGGTCACAATTAAATAATTAAAACATTCATACATAACTTTTTAAATGTAGATCAATGCCATTCTTTACGTAGATCAATCTGACATACCTCCTATGTATAGGTCAAAAATGATTTCTAACTTAATATTTTCATTTAGCTGTATTTTATTCAGTAAGAATGGACTCTTATTCAGCAATAAAAAACATATCTCAGCATGATAATATCCCCCCTCCTTTTAGACAGAATACTTAGAATTCTAGGTTCTCAATGAATAGAAAATTAGAGAAAATATGATATGCTAATTTGATAAGCTTACATCGTTATTTTAAGTTATTTTAATTTGTTAGTTACTGGAAAGACAGAAAAACATAGTAGAGAAGAGAGCAAACACTAAGAAAAGACAGATTACAATTTAGAAATTATTGGTTCTTTATATTTGCAGAAGAGCAGCACTTGAGTCTCAGAGCATTGCTGTCTGTGTGGGCCATGGATTTCTTGGTTGATCACAAAAAGGAAAATTCAGAACAGTCTCAGAACATCCCAAACTTCAGAAATTTAGAACTGCCAGATTATGATGAGCCTAAACAATATTGTAATATGAAATGAAACAGGGCAAGAACTGATAATTATTTGTACTGTAAAGTTAGTTCAAGAAACTATAATTATTCCTTCTTGTACTGGTTTTCACATCCAAAATATGGTAAAGCTAGTTTTTGAATTTATATATACTGAAAAGGAAGCTCAATATTAACAGTTAAATGTATAGTCTTATAACTAAGAAAAAAAATATAATAATTATAAGAATGATATCCATTTTTGAAATGGAATTGTCCCCAGAAATTGCAAACAAGCTCTAACAACCTATCTTATTCATATATTCATATATTACTATTAGTATTCATATATTACTATTATTTTAACACACCTATAAGGTTATCAGAATGATGCATAGACACTGAATCACTCAAAGTGAATAAACTTTGCTTAAAAATTTTTAACTATTCATTAATACCAGTTTCTCATTTATATCTGTGGACTAAAAAGTATGTTGTTGAATATACCAGATACTTGATAAATGGTTATTAAGAGAATGTCTAATCAATTACACCTTTACCAGAAATGTTATCAAATGGTTATTAAAGTCAGAATCCATACACTTTTAGGAGTGTGCTTTCATATATTCTAAAAGACCATGATCTTAAAACACTTAGTTAATATGCTATTAAATAATACCACATGTCTCTCAGTCCCAAGAGATGATGGTAAATAGTTTAATACTAGCAAAATGTTTTTTTATGTGATCAATTTTTGCTACTACCATGATATTAGAGAATGCATAGAATTAAGTCTTTCCTATTTTTGTGCCTAATAATCTATATTGCTAATTATAAGAACTCATTTCACATAAATTCAATAGTTAACAAACAAGTATTAAGTGATTAACTTGTCTGTGAAAAGTTTGAGCTCTAAACACACCTCCTTGAAGTGGTAAAAAGTATATATAGAGGAAATAATGCTGAAGTGACAGAGATCATTGTTTTATTTGTTTATTTATTTTTTGATTGTCAACAGATGATTTTGAACATACTACTAAAAATGGTTGCACTGTATTTTCCTTAACTAGAAAATGAATGAGTAGGATATAATGATTTCTGAAGTTCAAATAGTCAATGAGGCATGATTTTAAAAACATCCTAGAAACACGTAACCAAAATATCTGACCAAATTTAATCTGGAACTACTTTCTTGGGCTATCCACATGTTGAAATGATATTTCTTTATACATGAAGATAACATAACATACGGAGTAGACTTGCTTATTTTATTTCATTTTGTTCGGAATGTATTTCTGGTTTCAAAACATAAGTCTTGGAAAACAATGAGTTCTATACCTTAAAATGTTAAATGACATCTGTTTTTAAAATGTTATTCCATTTAACTTTTTATTTAATATGTAAGTATTTTATTTATTTCTCTGTTGTATCATACATTTTTATGCTTACTACTGGGGAAATAATTTGAAATTGCAAATAAGCCCTAAAATCTTGGGTATTTCTTCCACTCTATACTTGTAATTCCAGTGGTCAGTAGTTACATGGATTACAGGATTAGTAATGTCTGCCAAGGGTCTGGGATTGGGAAGTTGTAACATATATGCCATGTATTTTTCAGACCTATTCTTGTCTGGTCTACAAATTGTAAGTATTTAGGAAGGAAAAGGAAGAACAAAAATAAATATTAGGAATATGTGGATTATAAGTATCTGACTATCTAAGAACCAAAACCTTTATTCTGTATGTCTAAGCATGCTAATAACAACTCTTTGAGAAGCCTAATAGTATTTTAATCCAGCCTAATAAAAATAGTTAATATATGCACTAAGACCAATATTTTTCCTATGTCCACTTCATGTTGCTGACTACTAAAGCTACAGTGGTCTTTAGTTTTGACTTGTGTCACTAAAGATTGAATCCAGGGAGTACAGTGCTGCATCCTATCCTTTTTAGTTTTTTATTTTGATACAGAATCTTGGTAAGTTCCCTGGACTGGCCTTAAACTTGTGATCTTCCTGCCTCAGGCCCCTGAGTAGCTGGGATTACAAGTGTGTGCCATCACACAAGCCTTTCTCTGAGTAGTTTAACAGAAGATTATAACTGCAATCATTCCTGACTTGGAGTTCAGAAATAAGAGGCTTTGTTATAACTGATGTCTAGGCAATGATACTGGATGATACAACACAATGATATGAAGATAGATTTCCACAACTAGCTCAGACACTATAGTGAATTATTTAGCACACATGTGCAGATTCTCAGTAGCACCTTCCCAGGCAGAAATCTGAAAAAAGAGAATAATTTGTTTTTACCTCATTGGAAACACCAGAAGAATGATCTTGAACATAGTCCAGAGCCTTTTTAGGAGGCTGGGTGCAGAGTGCAGAGATGGAATGGAGGAGAATCAATGGCAGCAAGGAATGGACATGTGGAAAAGGTGACAACAGTTTAACAGTTAGAAACCAAGTGCTGATAGCATCAGATACACATAAAGAGTGACACGAATGGAGCAAAATGGGGTAGCCTAGGAGGAAGAGCACAATGTTGTAAATATTCTCAAGCACTGGGCAAAAATTACTAGTGTTCAATTAGTATATTTAAAAACTCCTTTCTCAAATTAAAGTTAGTACTCCTAGTCTTTGGCCACAAAGGTATGCAAGGCCTATTAAAGACACATTAAAGGAGCAAGTGATAGCATGCTGGTGAATTTCCACTGTGTGGCTGAAAATGATTACAGAAGATGCTGACTATTTAGACTCGTTACTGAAATTGGTATAGTCTCTGTAAACTGTCTAATCAATAAAAACAGTACATATAAAATAAGGCTAGAGAATCTTTTCCCTCTGAGGTAAAATGCATTTATGCTAATACTATGGGACAAATTAGAAAAAAAATGAGAGAAAATATTTTTCCTGTTAGGTAACAGGAATGCTAGAAAACTTATTTAGCTTATATTCATTTAGTCACATTTGATCAAGCTCAATAAAACACAATGAATCTATTTAAATCTCTTTTGCATTTAAATGCAGGAAAGGGACTACCAAAACCACCTCGAATATAATGTATGTTCAGTGTAAAAGTATATAAATCCAGATATGATACGGTAAAAGAAAGATTATGCACTCTGGTATCAAATAAAATCTATTCAATGATTGGCATGTAACATGAGTTAAAATTCATAAAACATATTACTGACATCCATCCAAGGCATTACCATTGGTAGCTACAGTTCCTAAGTAAAACTCAAATTATTGAAGGAGGCTTTATTTGAAGTTTGAGTTAACTCTTTATCCTCACCAATTTCCATAAGGCCCAACAGAGAGCTTCCCTGGTGGGGATTAGTAGATCAGAGAGAGTTTTGGCTTTCAAACCAAATCAAGGCCACAGGATTTCTTAATGTTTTCTTTTCTTTATTCTGGCAGCATAAAAGCCACTATACTTGTGGAAACTGCCCGGAAGAAAGTTTTTGACAGGCCTGGGTTTACCTTCTACCTCTGCCTTTTACTGTTTTGGGAAGATTCTTGGATTTCTTGTTATTAGAGGAGCCCCAGGAGGAATCACAGAGTTAATGAGTACAGAAGCCAGCACTCTCCAGGGGTTGGTGATTTGTCTATAAATGAGAGCTACAGTAATAATGATTATAAGTGCAAGGTGCTTTTGTTTGAACTTGACCAAAGTGAACTGTAAACAAATACAAATCGTCTATTAAATTGCCTAAATATTTCAGAGTAGAAACTACCTCAACGTACCAAATTTGCAATTACTTATATATAAAGAAGTCCGAATGCATGACTTGGAAATAAAAACCATGCAGAACTGGCCAAGCAGATAAAAGCATTTGGTATGGAGGTGAATGTGGCCGAGACATACCACACATCGGTATGCATCATGCATTCAGCTTCGGTTCAGTAAATGACAGCTCTCTCCTCTGACCATAATAGTTCTGTTTTATAAATCAAACAACTATTTGTTTCATAGTAATAGTCTAGCCTCACTTACCGGGCGTCCAAACTCCAGTTCTGAAAAGAATTTATACCAGGGCTCATTTTCTAAATCTATGTCATCTGGATTTATGCGATCAGTCTAGAGCAGACGTGAAGGAAAAGGGAAGGAAAAGGCACACTGAGCGAAGTGAGGGCACGCTGTGCGGTATGAACAACACGCGCGCATCTACACGCAAACATGCACGACTCTCATCCAACAAACCTCAGCAGGACAGAACGGAGGAGGTAAAGTAAAACAAGTACAATCAGGATATGAAGATGAGCGTCCATGGCAACGCTTAGATCCCTGCTTCTTTCCTCTCTCCACCATTTCTAATGCTCTCCCTGAAGCAACTCGCAGTGGCAGGGACAGAGTTATGGTAATAGGTTTAAGGATGCACGGGGGCGTCGCTCTGCACCCTGTCCTCAGTGGTGACTAGCAGTCCCTGCACTTGGGGCCACAGCTGCAGTCCACGGACTGGGGCGCAGGCACTTAGGAGGGCCCGGGCTGGGAGTCGTTGGGGAGCCATCAGGAGGCGCAGGGAGTCGCTGGGCGGGCGGCGAGCTGCGCGCAGGGAGGTGCGGCCTAGCCGGCCTCCGAGTGCGCCTCGGCAGCGGGCATCGGGGCGCTGGGCGACCCGGGAGCTTCCCGACGGGGCTGGGAGTGGCAGGAAGGAGCTCACCCGGACGGGGCCGGGAGCCGGGGCGCCCGCGCGCGCGGCGGGGCCGCCACCCCGGGGCGGAGGGGAGGGGCTGCGCGCGGCGGCGGCGTCTCCGGGCGGCGCGGAGGACCCGGGCTGCGGGCCGGCTGCGGTCGGCGCGGGCGTCGGCGTCGCTGGGAGAGGGGGCTGGAAGAAAGGGAAGCAGACACTGACTCGCGGGCTCCTCGTGGAGCCGGAGGAGCCGGAGGACCCGGCCCGCAGCGCGCCGCGCCCTGGTTAGGCCGGCGGGGGACCTTGGAGGAGGCCGCAGCGGGTGTTCACAGGGGGCGCTGCGGACAGCAGGGGCAGGACAGGGCGAGGGGCGAGCGCCGCCTGCGCTTCCTCCCCGTTCTCGTTCAGAGAGAAAGTCAATTGTTATAAGTGACTCGCTCCTCGCTAGTGATTTGTAAACAGTGCATCTAAGAAGGAAAAACTAGCAGCGTTAAACGGTTTAAGAAAATTCATACAATTGCTTTCTAGAAAAGAGTGTTCACCTAACTCACCAATAAATCCTTAATGTTTCCCAATAGTACACGCCTGACTCGATGGACTTAGGCTGCAGGTTTTGTATTAAAAGTATTTAAAGGACTACATGAGTGTTACTCCTTTACAACTCTCAAGTGACACTAATGAGTTGTGGTACAGTTGGATAATACAGAATACTGAGTCGGAAAAATTCTAAACAATTATTTGGTACCCTAAAAGCCAGAAGAGCTGTAATACTCAGAACTTACCCCAGGAAGGCTCCTAAGCACTCACTGCTTCAAAGTAATTTTCTTACAGTTCTTAAGGGAACTCAAGGACTTCCAATGAGTAGCTACAACTTAGTTCTGAAAGAAATGCTGTATTACTTTGGTAATGTTGGGAGTTTTGAAATATTTCACATTCTCATAAAAGTCACTATCCTGACATGTGTTTGTCCTCATGTTTTATCAACTTGTTGCATTTACAAAAGTTTTGTGAAGAATGCCATTTACATTGAATAATAAATTATACCTCACTTGCTTTTAGTGATGTGGTTTTGTTTCAACGTTTTTAAAATAAAAGGCTGTGATAATAGCTATGTACAATATCAGAGAGTTTGAGAGATCATAACAAAATAGAGCAAGGGCCTATGTTGTCCAATATATGTAGTGATTGTAATTATGAAAGCTGTGTAGTAACCCTGGCAAATATTTGTGATAGGATGCCAGGCAATAAGAATATGAGCACGTATTTATACGGTAGGTAAAATAGCATTTCACAGCTGGTATCCAGATGGACACAGTAAAGAAATGTATACATAAAAGGCCACAATGGTGTTCCGGTATTGATAACGTTTGGTTTTTGTTTCATTTAAGTATTAGTTTACTTTGTTGTTGCAATGCTATTTTTTATACATAAAAAAGAGAACATGCATTATGTATGGGAAATTGCTACAGAAGTATTGAAATATTTTCCCTGCTTTGCCAATATTATTATTAGTGTACATTTCAGAAGTAATAGTGAAATTAGTAAAAAGATATAGTAACTAATTTGCCATTTTCTACTTAATTTAAAAATTTGTTTCAACTATTGCATTCAGAGGTATTAAGATTTTGCTTAATGGGAGAAAAGGGAAAGGAGAACAATGGAATTAAAAATAAGCAAGATATGTTAAATGCATGTATCAATTTCCCAAAACAAATCTCATCATTCTGTGTTTCCCAAAACAAATATCATGCTTTAATTTAAAATTAGATTTTGGAACTACTAAAATATATTTCTCCAATTATTATTTGGCTCATTTTTTATGCAGCATGTAATTATTTTATAGAACAGTTTGCTATAGCTGATTTTTTAGGATAATTGACATTAGAATTGTCCAGTGGCTGTATTCTGTTTAGCAAGGCATAGTATTTCTTCCATGCGAGAATAAACACTTTTTCTTTCAAAGTTCATATGTCTAGTGTTACATAGTTGGAGATTACTGACTCTTGATTTCAGAACCATTACTTTTAAGGATAATATTTCGTTTTGCTAACAGGCGATAAAAACTTCTCTTAGGTGTAACAAGTTTGCTAAAAACATTATGGACAGCAGAGGGCAGCAAATTTCCTAAACAAGTTCATTAGTCATAATTTCACTTTGATTTCCACCTTAAGAAAATAAGTAACAAATAGTTAAACTAATATCTAATTTAAAAATATATTTCTATGATAGAATATGGGATACCTTTTAATGGAAATTTCTCATTAATTATGATTTGACCTATTAAAAATTCCACTTCTAGTTACAATGGATAACCACATAGAATCCATTCCAGTAGAAATAGCAACCAGAACATTAACTGGCAATCATCAGTAACTTTAGAGTATAATAAATGACACAGAGTTCAGCAGAGCCTGTATTTTAAAGAAAGAATAAGTGGCAGAACTAGAATTTTGCTTTTGCTGTGTTTGACCCACTGGATCCCCTCGGCTATGTAACAATTAATATATTGTGTAGCAACCTAGGACTGTTACTTCACCACACAGAAATCTCACTATAGTCAGCAATAGATATGCAGATGGTCAGCCAACAGAAATGTGTGCTCACTAATCATCTCTCTAATTCAGATTAGAATTTGGTATGAATGTTAGCATGCAGAAACCCATTTGAGAATTATTTGCTTTACTCTAATTGCTTATAAAAACAAAAGGGCAGAATTATCTTTGCAACTTCGTTTTCTTTAACTTTTTATTTTTAAAAACTCTAAACTTCTGCCTAACATTAGCTTCACATCACCAAAAAAAGAAGGGTTTAAGAAAAGCTAAACTACAAATCACAAACGATCCTTATTGAAAAGCTACCAAAGGTGAACAATTTTAAAGTTTTTATGTTTTCCACAATTTAAAAGCTTTTAGCTGCTTTTAATTATCATTGTCATCAGTCTTCTGTTCTATATGTTATTCCAAACAAAAATGCATGAACATTAGCTCTTATGCTTATATATATATATATATATATATATATATATATATATATATACACACACACACACACACACACACACAGAGTAAGTACTAAACAGATTGTTAGTTAGGATAATTGTTATGGTTCACAGCATCAGATAAAACTCAGCAAATGTTTATAGCTTTAACTCTGAATGAATTTTTGTTGATAAAGAAGCTTATATCCTCTTCTGATTTAAATTGCTTTTCAGCTCTGTACAATATTTTCAATGCTATTTTTGCTTTTATTATGTGTGGGTTTAGTTATTATAGGGAAAGGTCATATCTTTGGATCAGTTTTTATTTTATCAATCATAAAGAGCTCCTAAACAAATGCTTTTTTAAGATTAAAAAACATTTGAAATAACTTGTCTAGAAACATATCCAGTTTAGGTAATATATAAAATTTTAATATAATCCACTAGGAAGTTTGTGTGATTGTCTCAAGGAATTAAAAGCTTGTGGAAATACAAGTTAGATATATGGATAAATTCAATTAAAGATAAATCCCTGGTGCTTCCAAAAATCCTTTTCAAGAACAGGGTTATGCCCGTTCAGTCAACATTTCTAAATTTATAGTCAAATGAATATTTATGAGCTTCAAAAAATTGCACTTACTTTTGCTTTCAAGTTAAAGAACATAAATGCATATGCCATTGGTTCCTAAGAAGAAGGGGATCTTTCAGTCAAGGTTTGGGGTGAACTTTTGTTCACACAATATGATTGCCTTCTCCACCTCTTTTGTACCCCAGACAATCATATGAGTTAGTGCCACAGCTACCAATAATAGAGCACCAGTGACCTCCTACCTGCCTTGATGGAGACTCACTGGGCCTTTTGTCACTAGAAATGTGCAGACCTCATAAATAAATGACAGAAAAAAAGATTCAGTCTCTCATCAGATTTACTCACTAGGCACAAGGTAAACCCTGTGTTTATTCTTTGCTTTACTTAGTACATAGTTATTGGACTCCTACCATACTCCAGGCACTATGTTATGTGTCAGGGATACAGTGCTTCACCACACATAGTCCTGCCTTCAAGGAGCTTGAAAATCTAGTGAGGGACACAGGGCTAATCAGCAGGCCACTGCAGCTCAGTGTGGTAAGGGAGATTTGAGCACAGTAAGAAGAGCTTTACGCCTTATGCTGAGGAGGGACAACCGCCTATCCTGAGACCTGAAGGTTGAGATGAAGTTTTCATGTGGAGGGACAGGTGGAGAAGACAGCTTTCCTGCCAGGAGGACTGGGCTGTAAAGGGTTCAGCAAGGAAGGGATTGTAAGCTCTCTGTGTGGCTGGCACATATGTAGGCAGAAAAGAGCTGGGGCCGAGGAGCCTCGCCAGGGCCAAATGCCACATGTTTGTAAATTATGTTGAAGAATTTGGATTGTGCTCCAGGGATAACGGAGATCCAGGAGGAAATTTTGAGCTTAAGCCTTTATAAAGATTTTCTAAAGATGGCTTTAGCTGTGTTGTGGACTAGGTCAGAGAATTAGCAAAATGGCCTAGGTAGATGTCACTGTAATCCAGGCAGTGGACTGGGAGAGACATGCTTCTGGCATTTCTCCTTGTGTGTGGGATTTTGAGTTCACTGAAGAAAGCAGTATCCAAGATGATACTTGGAAAAGCTGGACTAATAGTAGGGCTATCCAGGAATTCAAAATAGCAACTCAGAGTTGCATAGCTGTTACAAATAATTTTCAAAGATGAGAAATGAAAGGGGCAAAGGAATGCTCCCAATTTTGGCATAAGAAGGCAAGAGGGTGTGTTGAAATCCTAAGTGCTGACTCCTGGTTGTCACATCAGTATCATTTAGCAAGCCTGCTCTGCATTTTGTGTGTTCAAGACACTCAGATTCTTCTATCAACTACACTAATACATAGTCTTTGCAACACTCCTCCCCTCTTAACCCTAAGTTTTTTTCTGATTTATAGAAATTAGAATAAATTCAGAGTTGATTAAAAAGAGGTAATAGATTAGTCCTATCATGAAAAAGCCTGGTCAAAATGACACATAAGACTCGGTCACATCACTTTGCGTAAGCCTGGCTCTCAGTAAAACTGTTTAGAAGGGTTGGAAATTTGGGTTCTTTCCATTTTTGCATAAGATATTTGTTTTTGTTCTCTTCCAAGTTTCCTCCTTTAAAAAAACATGCAAAATAATGCTAATAATCAAGAAAAAGTTATCGTTTTACATTTAACATTTTTCATAAAATATTAGAAACCTCATTATCAGTTATAATCATATAAATAAAAGTAAAAGAGCAAAACTAATATTTGTGCAAAGTACATTAATTTAAGATACCAGATGCTGGCAACCTGCTTTATTTCTTTTTATAAAATATGCCATTAGTAGTTTGAGCATTTCTTGCCTTCTCGTCATATAACTTATTATATGCCCTTCTAAGTTTCCGGGTTTCTTTTACTTGTCTTTTCTTGTGGCTGAACAGACATACATACATCTAAATCTCTATCAACACCATAGTTTCTGACATTTCTATGTTTTAAAGACCAATTAGGTAGATTGATCTGTCCTAGTAACTCAGGGCCCAGGTTTCTGATACATAAAATCAAAGAGACTAAATTTACTATATTAAACTAATTTATTATAATAAACTAATTTATACAGTAAAATAATGAAATAAACTAAGGTGACAATGACTTCCAGCTAAATATTTCCTACCCAGGCAACTTGACAGAGTAGTGACCAAGCATGCCATGCATGAATATTGCTGGGCTCAGCCCCTAGCTCCTGCATCCACCAGTAATGAAACTCTGGGGCAAAGTTAGTATGTACTTTATTTTTTTCCTTTACAAGGTGAGAATACCATGTATATATGTTGTGGAGTTATTGGGAGTGTTGCATGAGATAAATTGCTAATTATAAAGATGGTATAATAGTGCTTAGTAAAGATTTAAAGTTACTGTTATAATTGTTGCTATTTTTTTTACTTTAAAACAAGAGTCTTCAAAGATTTCACCTGAACACTTAGGAATGTAGGCATTTCAGTCCCAGTGATAGGACCATGAATGACCTCTTGAGGAGACACATCGTGGATTCCTGAGATGCGCCTCCATTTGAGCCATTTAAGAAGCTGTTTACCTGTGGATCTAGTTATGTCATTACGTAAAATGATGAACCTGAAGTTCCTCAAGGTAGAGGTTGCATCTTGTTCCCCACTGTGTCTCCAGCACCCAACATAAAGTGGGGTGCACAATTTGTTGATTGCCTAATGAGTTTTGTTGAATGAGTAAATAATAGAAATATTCTGATGGAAAAGCTTCTAAAATCAGTCCTGTTTCCTTACACCACAGCTACATAAACATTCCAGTACAATATTTGTCATCCTAACAGTCTCTGGTAAATTATTAGAATGATCATTAAAGCTTTCCCATTTACATTTAAATACAAGATTCATTATTTTTGCCTTCAAAATTTTTTTGCAGTGGTGACACTATGGTCCATTAAATTCTCACCCTGGAAATATGCAAAGTAGCTTTATACAACCAATTTTAGTCACGTAACACAATAAATGGGTTATTAGTTTGCAGTGGAACCTCAAATCAGTGATGTCCCTTTTTTACTTAGTTTTTTTTAAGTTCTGTTATTCTTTTAAAAAGTGAGTTATTTGAAGAAAGAAAAAGAAGACTTAGATAAATATCATGTTGAAATTATGTGATTATAAGGATTTAGAACATATTTCTCAAAAACACAGCCACAAACGCAGGGTTCAAAAATGAAATTAAGGACACTCATATTGGGTGTGGTGGGGCAAAGTTTCCCATTCAGTTCCACTGCCAGCCTTGATTCCATGCAACAGTGACTTTTTGGAAGCTCTTGAAGGATCTAGCAAAGAAAACTTTCTTTTTCCTATTCACTGATTCTAAAATTCTTCTAAGGCAAGGACACAAGTAAATGCTATTGACATAAAATGTTTTTCTGGAAGCAGGTTGGAGAGTTAGAGGAGCTACAGAGTTTTGAAAAGAGATCTTGAGGGGGGCCACTGAGCTCTGAGTGGTAGAGAGCCAGGGAAAGAGGAGCGGGGAAATCAAAAATGAAAGGAAGAGCCTATCTGTGAATTTGTATTCCGAGGAGTCAAGGAAGTCTTTTCAAGTTTATATATCTTTTTGTTTGTATATAATTAAAATAAATGACTAGAAAAATAATGCAGAGTAAACTATAATCTTGAGCCATTAGGATGATAATTAGGAAATATGAAGTATAGTACCCGAGAGAGATTTAATGAGGATCAATAAATAATTTGTTATAAAAAGAAATATTTAAACAATTTCTCCTTAAATGAAAGAAATATTAAGAATACAATGTGGGAGAGAAAGGATGTATGTGAGTCCGGATGTATGAGAGTTTGTCTATGAGATGTGCAACAGTATCAACTGGGCTGAAATTCACAGGGACAAGCCAAGCACCACTGTATGAGTCTTCTGATTAGCAATCTAGAATAGAAATTAAATGGCACATTTACGATTGTTCTTTTAAGATTAAACTTAGGTTCACAATCAGCTCGAGCCATAGTTATAAATTAATATGAATCCTGCACACATGCCATACATATGTGATTATTAAAGTGAATCTTTCAATTCTAAGATGTAGAAATCATAACACCAAATAAACATGATTCCTAAGTAATGCTAAAGAAATATTACTTTTATGGCAAAAATTGCTAAGTGACATGAAGTTTAGGTTCTTTGGGGAACCCTGGGAGACAAGTTAGCAGCCCTTAGATCAATGACAAGTGCTTACTGGTCTTTCATGTTGCAGAATTGATGATTTCCCAGGCTCGTATTCAAAAATACTCCTTGGCTCAGACCGAAATTTTCTGGTATCCACCTTTCTGTCTGGAGGATCCCAGTCATGCCTGAAAATAAACAGCAAACCACACATTAAAGTGGTCCTGTATCCTTCATCATATCACTCTCTATTTGTTTTCAAAGTTAATTTTGGCATAGATTTTTTAAAAAGTCTCTCAAGATAAAAAGTTAATCCATGAGAAATACCACATTTATGTTTTACTTAATATGAATGAATTAGGTAAAGCAATTTATCTTATTTCATACTATATATTTTTTCTTTTTCATGTGGTTATTTACTGCTGGCTCACAAACTCAAATGATTTTGTTTGTAGACATGCAGACAGTGGCTGTAGTAAATCCCTGTGTCACTAATTCAGCTGTATCTGTTTGAGTTTATAATAAATGGCAGCATGCTCCCTGAAACTATGACAGTTTAACCTGTCTCACTCCATGACTTGGCTTCCTTGATCCAAAGTGACAAGAAGCAATTCACAATTGTTTGATCTTATTTCCTGTAAGTAGCATCAGAGTTTGTTTATTAGATGTGCAACGGTATCACTTGGGCTGAAATTCACAGAGACAAGCCAAGCGCCACTGGAGAGTCCCTTTAGTGTTAGCCTTGAAAAACCAGAGTCCAACGTCTATTTCACTGGAGTTTGCTCTTTTTCTTCAACTAATGTCATTCAGAGGTTGCTAGGACTTCACAAGTCACACTTTAAAGGAGAACTTTGTAAGTCTAGCTTTTCTAGGAAAAGCACTAAAATGTCAGACTTTGGTTGGAAAAGGCAGAAAGGCTCATTGATTATAGATTTTTTTTTTTTTTCTTTTTCGTACCAGGGATCGAACTCACGGCTTTGCACTTGCCAGGCAGTTGCCTGTGCCACTGAGCTAAATCCCTGGCCCAAATTTACTTATGATTTTAGACTGGGGAAATTCTAATTCTATACAATGTAGTAAAGTTCTAATTCTAGCACATGTTGGAAATAGAAGTATTCTAAGAGACAGAATCGGGGAAGGTTCTAGTTTTCTACAACATTGATGAGTAATATTCAGTAGACTCAAGTTTTCAGTCTGATTTCTGTGTAAAACACAGACCATAAAATTGTGTCTGTTTTCCTGCAGAAGACTTTATAAGGAACCAGCATATTTTTTTATGAGACAGTTTTTTTTACTAGTACATACAACAAATAATACATTAAATTCTTTTTGATCCTTTTTGTTAATAAAGATATTGTATTGTGACTAGAAAATTATTACTCAGTTTTAAGACTTCATACATAAATGATCATATTAATGAGAAAATGAAAAATCCTTCAAACATGATATGTGTCCCTTTCTGTAGTGTCCTGTACTCTACTTGATCACTAATTTCTCATAACCTTAAAATGGGATATTGAATATAATTTTTTAAATAAGTATAATAGATGATAAACAATAATCAGTACTAACAAAGACAAATTTTTATATCCTTATTTACTAATTGTTAGTGGAGTTAGCATATGCTTGGATTTAAGAAGAGCTGCATTTGAATCCTAGCTTGGACAAAATAGCTATATGAATGAGGAAAGTGACAATTTTGTTAGCTAGTTTCTTTCTGTAGTTCAGCATATCTCAGAATTAGTTGATGTAATACAGGAAAAGTTCTTAGCTTGTTGCTTGGATTATAGTGAGCTCTCAATAAAGATTGTTTATAATTGAGAATGTTAGTTATGATCCTAATAGAATGTAACAATAGGAATGTGTTCATAATTTTTATTTGAATGTAAATAGTTTATACAAAAATGTTTCCGTGGAAAAGTGAAAATTAGAATCAGCTCTAAGAGCTGGTAGAAATGAGTCATGGATAGACACTCATTAACTAAGCCTTGATTTAGGATTTGTGAATAACTTTTCCTGATTTCAAAAAGATACTTTATTAACAGACTAAATATTCTAAATCTCAGGGAACTGAAAATTTAACTGTACAGTCTCTATTATATAGCAAAGAAAGCTCATTTCATTATTTATCTTTTATTCTTATATGCATTTATTGACCAAAAAGTAGATTTATGTATGCAGTGTGATGGAAAAAGCACAATGAATACTTACATTTTTAAAAAGCTATTACAGCATAAGATACATTGCCATTCATCCCCTTCTGAACACTCCCTCTTGCTTCAAACACACGTACCCATTATTTTTGCCACTGTCTGAAGCAGTCCGGAAAGTCTGCTTTGTGTCTCTGACTGGGTTGTGGCTATCTTGCTGGCCCTTTCATTGGTCATTTTCACTTTGGGGAAAAGCCAGAAGTCACACAATGCCACAATCAAGGGATAAATACACACCGTAATATTTTTACAAGCCTGCCTTTCTGTTGGATGGCACTCTGCAGCATCATTTACTATGTTTTCGATTACACTGCAAACTCACACACGAAAGAGGACTTCAGAGCTGCTGCAGACAGTGGAAAAAATAATGGGGCACATCTATTTAAAGTGAGAGGGAGTATTTTTAGGGGAATTACTGACAATGTGTTTTTGCTATAAGAAAATTTTTGAATTTAAGCAATCACCAAATATTTTGATTATGCTCTGAGTTTAATTTAGGGTACTGTGATGGCAGGACCCAACACTGGGACGGTACTTGCTACAGTTTCAGTGGAAGGAGTCAATCAATGCGTGTCGGGACCAGAAGTGTTGTGCATATATTTTGTCTGCACTAACTCTTCTACTGAATGCCATGTGGCTTTGTTTTTACGCTACGCAAATTATAGGCCACACTGGAGGAGAATGGCTTACTTTTCTGTTGAAGAGCGATCTCTTGGTCTTGGGGGAACATGTGGGGGGGGCACTGGGGAGGATGCTTCCTTAAAGGCATCGGTGCCATTGTCAGAGTGGCTCTTGGAAAGAGGTCTGTAGGTCTGAGTCTTTGCAGCAGGGTGTGACTGAGCGCTGTAAGGTGCATTGAATAGACCTATCATGGTAGAAAAAAAAAAAAAGAATACAATAACATTTTTAAAGAGCAGTAAGTTGTCTGTATCACTCAAAATATCTAGTGATTTTTGCCAAAATCATTATCAGTAAGCATATTCATATTGTATACATTAACATACTGTTTAGTAATTTGTTAAGAATATCAATTTATTAATTATTTTTTATGAATTAATTGAATTTGTTCTACACACAAGCACTGATTGCAGTAAATTATCATCAATTATTTTGGAACCAATTAGTACCAACTCAAACCATTAGTAAGATTAAATTTACAGGAATTCAGCCAATTTTTTCCTGGATTATGAGATGTTGGAGTGATCAGAGAAGATATTATGGAATCCATGGCCAGAAGGATTCATTTGCGTGGATGAAAGAGATTAGCAGGGATAGCACAGAGGGGAAAAAGGCAAAAAAAAAAAAAAAAAAAAAAAAAAAAAAGCAAGACATAAAAGTAGTAGGGTTAGGGTTAATAGAAGGGGAAGAGACTAAATCTTGTAGGGCTCTGGATAGTAATCTATAAATGACTGTTATTTTTCTTCATATTTTTAAAAAATGTATTAGAATCCTGAATTTTATTCAATTTGCAACATTTGTGCTATATCTGTGAGTTCATCTGCTTTTGAAGGTCCTTACAAATTTCTATGGCAAATGAAAAGAAACAATGTCTTCACTTATAGTTTTTGGCTCAATTCTACAGTCAGACTTTAGCTTTTGAGTGAAGTAAAGGAGGAGAATTTGGTGTACCCGTGACCATTAGGGAAAGTGGAAGGGAATCTCTTTATGGATATTACAGAGCCAGGACCTTAAACCCGAGGTGTAATAGCTTAATAGAATCATTTTACTCACTTTTCCACTATTTGACTTCTGAGGTGAGTAATAAAATCTCTAACAGTTAGAGGGCCCCAGTTCAGGTGTCACAGAGAAATAGCATCCTGCCATTCAGCTGCCAGGCTGGCCAGAGGATCCCTACATTAGGGCTTAGCTCATGAAGTGACTGCAGTAGTCCTAAGCTGAGGCGAGGCAGTAGAAGGAGGCCCTGAGTGACACCCCCTCCCTAACCCCATTTAGGAGAAAGCAACAAAGGGGATCATTTTTAAGGAATCCTTCACTCCAGCCCTGAGATCAAGGCGTAACATACTAATCTTCTCAAATACAAGTGGAAATGCCCAGGATTCAAATTATTAAATCATATTCATTTGCAACTTTGAACCACAAACATTGCCCAACCTAATGGTATCGTTAAAAAGTCTTTCATTAAATGGTTGCATATGCAAGCAAAAGCCTGGACAAGGTCACAAAACACTTTGATTGACTTGTTTTGGGAAAATGTATCTGAAAGATCTTACACAACTGTAATCTCTCTGCTGATAACAGGAGATTATCATCTTATTTTGTAGTGAGGTCACAGTGTGTTCCTTCACACTTTGGTTAAACATTCCTGAAGCTGAGAATAAACTAACAGTGAGAAGGGATGAGATAAAACAGCATCAGTTCTCATTCCATGAAAAAGGATCAATCTTTTCGTCATGCATCCTCTGAGAAAAAGATAGCAAGCATCCTCCTCATTATGGGAATGTGATCAAACAAAGGGGTAAAACAAGAAATGTGTAGCTCTTCCCAACACTGCCAAGCACAAAATAGTCATTGCAAGCAAGGAAAGCCATCCTACCTGCATTATATGTGTAAGGAGTATTATACATGTCTGAGTCATCATCTAGAAAAATGAAACATAAATATAGTAATACAGATTCTACAGTTGTATTATAAGATAGCAGAACTTCAGAGAAACAATAGCAATTTACTAGAAGAAGCAATGCATTTTTTCCTAGTTCACAATACCACTTTCTATTTCCAAATACTGCTTTTTGCCGGGCCTCTGCAGACTGACTTTTGTTATCTAGCTGCTTACTTTCTTCATAATATGCAAAGTCAGTCCCTTGTCCTCAGTTTCCCAGATGGCCACCTCTTCTGGGCTATGACTTTCCTTTACCAAGTGCTGTAAGACCTTCTGTCGATTGCACTAAGGAAACTCAGTCAGACCGACCTGTACTCACAGTCTTACTAGGTAGAGAGAGGAATAAGGAGTCTGTTGAAGCAGACAACATACCAGTATGAGTGCGAGTAGGAAAGGACAGAGGGATAGACCAGACACCTCAGCAATCCTCAAAAGGTTCCTCCTAAGAGGCGGTGTGGGCCAGGCAGAGGCACAGATCTGTGACTCCAGGGGAGATGTAAGGAGAGCAGAGGGATATGCAAAAGAACGAGGTAGGATGGAGTTCGTTGGGGTCCTGATATTTTTGTGTGAACAAGACCTGTATGAAAGAGGCATAAGCATCATTCCACAAAGATCTGATCAGAAAACAATGATATACACACCTGGCTTGTGCACCATGTGAATCTGTTTAAACATTGTCTTGTACCAGTCCTTAGGCCGGTCGACTGTCTGCAAGAGAGAATGTCCAAAAGTTACAAAACTGATTTTAGGTCATCGTTGCTCTTCAATGTTTTCATGGCTTCTATTTAATCTCTTTAATAGCATATTCTTTCAGTGATAAAATCTCCAGCTTCTGTGCGATTATTTAATGGCAACTTTAGTAATTTATCCACCTATGTGTGCATTTATACATATAAATATAAATAAAAATAGAAATGTAAATATATTGCCCTATGTTTGAGTTTATACTGAATTAAAACATTTAATGTAATGGCTTTACTTCTGAAAATTACAGCTGTGACCAGCATTTGGTACTAGATATTAGTACATATACATTTGTATAAATTCCCTGAGTAAAAGTTATTGCAGAGGTTTGCTTAATTTCTTTTTGGTGATTATAATTATTCTTAAAACTTTCATTGATTGTTCTATCAAGACATTATTTAAGTAGGGAATTTTTTTACTCAAACTACATTTTGATCAGTTTAGGTTAAGGTAAATAAACTTGATATACACTGATATAAACTATTAAAATATCAAATATAGTAGAATGTAATCCAGAGTCCCAGAGCAATTTAAATATGTAGATATTGATCCGAAATTCCCTGAACTGGATAGTAAGGTGTATACGACTTTTGTCTTGATAAACTCTTAGGTCTTTGGCAAAAGATTTTTATGCATTCTGGACCTCAGACACGACAAAAAGATGCAATGGCAAGACAAAATCAGTGTTCCACCAACATTCAGATTACTGTTTAATACTTTCTGGCAATATGAATCTGGGAAAGTTATGTAAACCTTTTGAGACCTAGTTTTCTCTTCTCTAAATTTAAATAATGATATTTGCATCATGGAAATTGAATGAGATAATACATTCAAAAAGATCTAGAACAGAACCTAGAAAATAATAAATGGTCGATAAACAAATAGTAAAGAATCTTAAGTAATTCTCGAAAATTTGTAGAATAGAATACTGATTGAGTCTAGTTTACTGGATATATACCTGTACAGGACAGAAGGAGCCAGCACTCTCCAAGGTACTTTTATTCTGCAAGTGTGTGGAAAGCCTTGCAGCCCCCGATTGCGTCAGGCCCAGGCCCACGGCTGCACTGTTTTGGCTGAGGCAGCTGCTTTTATGGATCTCTTCCAATGGACTCTGTCCTGCAGCCCCTCTGCATGATTCTGCCCCTTGCAGCCTCCATCACTTAAGCTTGTGAGGGGCCTCTCTCCTACCCATGACCAAATGAAGAGTGTGAAAATGTGCATGTGTGAGTTGTGTACATCTTTTTTTGCCTTTACAAGCAATTGCAAAAACCCCATTCCCTTAGCAAATTCAGTGTGGTGTGCTGTTTCTCCTTATGCTTCAGCAGAACTCCTAATAAAGCTTGTTACAGCCTGAACAGATACATGAGGCACTTATAATACTGAAGGCCCTGGCACCAAAAGCCGCCAGCAGCTAGGGCTGATGACACTAAAGGCCCCTAGTGCCAAAAGCTCTCAGTGGTTGGGCTCAAGCAGCAAAGAACTATGGAAAACAATGATGAATATCCAGGAGCTGCCGCCTCTGGTGATAGGAAGAGTTCCGCAGCCTGCTGGCTCCAAGTGGCCAGAAGAACACCGAACACGGAAGGAGCTGACACCACTGGCAGCCAAACAGTGAAAGAGGCATTAGCATGAATACAGTTACACGGAACCTTCAGCTGATTGGCAACATCTCGGTGTGGGAAACCTTCTGGTTAGGGGCCCCACAGGCTAGACAACAGTGAGAGTGACCAGCTGGCTCAAGCACTAGTGCACCTTTGAGTGCCGTCTTACATGAGGCTGAAGACCACACTAGCTAGCAACAGCAGTAGCCACACGTCTTTCACACTAACATTTTGCTTAGCAAGATCTTTATCTCAGCTCTTTCAGAGCCACTAAGGCAAAAAACTGTAATTAAACACAAAGGCTCATCAGAAAGTGTGGTGTGTACTTAAATAAAAACATTACATGTCTTTCTGGGAATGTGATTAAAAAATATGATGCATACTTTTTCCACGTGCCATGCAATAGACAGACTCATAAAGAAGATTACAATATGGCTTCATCCACCTTATTCACTGTATCTGGAACTGTTAACTTTCAGCTCTTCCTAAAAGTCAGAGTGACTGTGAAAGGTTAAGCAGCTAATTCAGGACACGAGGCAGCCAGGACAGTGCCACGACAGACATTCATGAAAGCACACTTCCAGAAATGCTCCGGAACGTGGCAGGGAGCAATGGAGTAAGTTTGTGCAAAGCAAACAGGAGAACTGGAGGAGGATTAATGACAACGTGTCTTTTACTGTAATATTTTTGTCTAAACACACAGTGTTTTTCAATTAGACTTCCTAAAATTTCCAGACAAATCTCTCAATTTAAAAAATTTGATAGGACTGCTATAAAATGTTCTTTTTCGAGTAAATTGATTGGGATTTTATATCCTGACTTTTTCAGAAATCAGTCATTGCATTTTGCATCTGGGAAACAAAGGCCTTGTGTAAATTTACTTTGATCTTGGAGAACAGACAATTCTGGCAATGGCCACAAGTATAGATTAAAATGAAAGGCCACTTTCTTATAAATCACCTCTGCATTCTAGACGCTGAAACGGAAAGTTAAGGGACTGTTGGTTGACTATATAATCCAATGATGGGGATCTGCTAGGAAGGAGCACGGTGATGAAGCAGGAGTCTAACAAAATGCAGAAATGTATTTTTTCATTAAAAAATTTTTTTTCAGTGCAAGGAGTTGATCGCAGGCTATCATGCATACTAGGGAACTGCTCTACCACAGAGCTACATTTTCAGCCAACCATGTGTTATTTTCACAAGAGTTATTTCTCTTTCCTTAAGCTTTATTTTTTTATGGTACTAAAGCCACTAAAGATAGGATGTAACTTTGTGAAAAAAAAATGTGTCTTCCCATACCTGGACCAACCAACAGAAATAAGGAATCTTATAGGAAGCAAGTGATATCACTGTTAATGGCAATGAACTTTACAGACAGGGCTTGGCTTTCTTTGCTTGCTGGAGAGCCTATATCAAGCAGGATCTCACAGCTGTGCCATTTGCTAGCTTTATATGGTCAGCACAGAGATGCCAGGTCAGTTGGCAAAGGAGACCATGAGACTAGTAAGACAGGAATACTGAGACTCAGTGTCCCTTTCTAAAAGCAGTTCTGTCATCTTTAAAGTTCCTTTTCTAAATGCCATCACAGAACTCGTTACGCCCATTACTGAGATTATGAAAATAGAAGCCTATTCAAATTTGAGGAAATTTACTTTTAGATGTGTCCTTCAAAATCATTTTGCATGAAATAAGTAACTAGAATTTAACTATACAAGTATAACCCTGGCTGAATAGACTTCAGTTTAAATATGTCAAGTTTATGAGCAATCAAGGCATCATACAATTTAACATGCAAAGATCGCAAAAAATAAAAGAGACATTTTCTATATTAGGTATTTAGTGATTTTGCTCTGCTTTTGGCCCTTTCTAGCTTTGAAAATGGTCAAGCAAGTGTTATCCTTGAATGACAAGAAAGCAGGAAGGCATCTCGCCTGTCACATAACTAGGTTTTAATTATACAGTCTCATGGGATCTGAGCCCTAGTGATTCTGTTGTTGTTTTTAACAGTGGCAGTAAAAGGCTAACACAGATATCTCTGGTCACATGAGAGAGGTGAATTGGAGCTACCTTCCTTCATTAAAAGGACTCAGAAGTAGTATATATTGATGCCTGCCTTTCTAGAGTTTCTGGACGATTTCAAAAGTTATGTTGTCTTGGTTTCTGCTGTTCATTTAAAATGCTACCTTGGCATGGTACATTGAAATAGTATTGAAAAAAGCAGAAAGTTATTGTGAAACAATTAGAATGTGATACTCATTACTTTCGCATATATGAGGAACAAAAACAACCTTGGAGATTCTTGGCCTGCTGTGGATCAGAGATGCCTGACTCACATTTATAAACACAGCTATACTTGGGGATGTCTTCTTCAGAACTGCAAAATAGTAAATGTAAGAGAAGACTTTCCACAGACCTGAACCTTCTTTGTAAAGTCCTGACTGTCTAAGAGCATGATTGTGCATACAATTATGGTTCCTTATAAGGAACTTCTGTGTTGCTTACTTGGCCTTCTATTTTACAGAAAGGAAATTAGCATATAAATTTTAGTTTATGTGTTTGTTTATACATATTTAAGCAGGCTTTTGATTTGGCAGTTGAATAGCAAGGTAAAAATTGATCTAACCTGATTTTTATTAACCATCCTGAACATCTCAATTTTTCTCTTTAAAATTAACAAGACATTGTCAGTTAAAAATTGTATCTTACAGACAAGAATGCATCTGCATGTCCATCTTTTATATCATTTATTGACTTAAAAATATACCCAGAAATTTCAGGTAAAATTTTTTCAGACAGAATCCATAGCTAGATAGCAAACAAAGATTTCTTAGTTGTGTCTACACACTGTGTAAGACCTATAGCACTATATCTGTTGATAGAGCTAAATATAGAAAAAAATTCAAATTTAACTGTTTTGAGTCAGAAATTCCAAAAGGAAAACAAATGACAAAACACAACCACCAGAAACATACAGTTATCATAAGACTGAAAATATTAATCAACCGCTGAACTTTTTCAGTCACTTAAATATGACAATCATCAGTTCCAACACAGATTTTTAGGACTTTATAATTAGTCATATTCAACATTCTTCCCATCGAATCAGTCTAAAACCCAGTGCCTGCTATATTAGCTTACTTTTTAGGTTTCACTGCAATGTAAATGCTTAGAATAACAAACATATCTCTCCCTCTCTCTCTCCATGTCTCTGTGTATAGAACATGTAGTCCTCATATAATAAATGAAAATTCCAAAAGAGAAAAACCCCTTCTCTCTCTCTCTCTCTTTCTCACACACACACACACACACACACACATTCTCTTTAGTTCTTTCCGAATGTTTCCAATCTTACCACTGCTTTTTTCCCTGACATCGTCCCCATTCTTTTCCTCTATCACTGTCTTTGGCTCCCCAGGTCTGCGTCCCAGGGAAGCAGCTCTTGGCACCCCCCAGCCCTTTCTGTGAGAACAACAGGCACAATGCATGCAGCAGGGGCCTCCCTCCTCACACTCCCCTGCGGTTCACCTGCAGAGATGCTGTGCCTCTCATCCTGGTTTCCTGTCCTGCGGCTCCGGCTACCTTAGCACAGACCTCTTCAAGTGAACTTGGTCAGCGGCAGCTGCCCGCTGTGCTCCCCGCTGCCGGTGCTACTCTGTACTCCACCAGAAGGGGCTGCCCGGACACACTGAGCAGTGCTTTGGCAGAGTTTAAAGACAAGGAAAAAAAAAAATCCCAACACTTTCATTTATCATCCCTGGAGAGCTCTCAGCAGGACCAGCTGAAGAGGGCCGCTGAAATGGTATTGGTCTTCAGACAGATTTTCCTTTCCATGACATTAATTCCCCGCACCCCAATCATCTCACCTCCCAACTCCCAATTCACAGCTCCCAATCTCTAGGTGTTAACACACTTCCATTTCAAGAAACCAGTCACTGGTTGGTTTGCAATGCATGTGGGAATTTAATGTAGCCCAATAATTCACAGGTTTTTTTTCTTTTTTTGATTGTTGTTTCTTGTCTTTTCTCTTTATGGCTTTACCTCTCCTTGACAAAAGGTAAAACAAAGCCAAATCAAAACCAAAACCAAAACAAGACAAAAAAATCTTATCATTTAACACAATCACAACTTTCATAATGTTAATTCAAACTGAAGAAAAGATTGTGCCATTCTGTTCAGAGGACAGTCCTCTTTCTCCGCCACACAGCATAATATTCATGAGCGTCCAGTGGCGCAGAGGGCAATCCTCATTATATAAGGCCCCAGGAATTCACAAAGCCACGACAATCCCTCTTTTGTGGAGCCTGTGTGCAGACCCGGGCAGACGCACAGGCTGGCATTTCCTACCGTCCTAATTGCTGTCGGGATTCCAGATTCGTCCACAGGCCCGATTCCTGGGTAATGCGGGGCTTTGATGACTGTCACCCTCTTCTCTTCCTCAGAGGACCTGTACAGGGGTATTGAGCTGCCTGCGGTGCCATCCAGAGACTGAGCATGCTGGGAATATGTCTCTGAGGAATCTGCGGAGAGTATTTGTTGAACTATAATACGTTGTATTGGGACCACAAAGGACAATAAAGATGCCTCTTGTGCATTTATGCCACCTGTAACAGAGTCCATATTTCCATCACCATGTCTTGTGGCTCATTTACATCTGAGTCACCTACTGTGTTGTGGATACTGGTTGATGCAGGTTGATAATGGAAACCTCACTGCCTTATGAAGAATGGCAAGAAGCAGAGGGACACCTGCTGACTGACCCTGCCAGCCACTGTCACTTAAGAGCTTGATGGGTGACACTTCATGTTTCTCTTGCAGGAATCTTTGGGGCAGGTTGGGTGGGGGCACAAGGCACAAGGCACAATTTTAAAAGCAGAAGCTGAGAAAAGTCTAGTAATTTCCTTTAGCCCATAATTCATGCTAATATTATTCTTGAGATATAGCTGATTGCCATTATTTAAAAATACTGAAATTTATCTTTAGATAAAAGAGCATTTGAGTGAAATAACAGTGATAAATAAAAACAAAAATTAAAAAAATGAAGTGAATCCAAAATAACTGTAAAAAAATTACATTCACACATACTTTTTGGTGTAATGACTCATGGATCAATAAACATTATCAACTGTACATTATTGTATAGAACTGTAATGTTCAGTATTAACTGAACATTATTTAAATAGCTTAAATGGCTAAAATACTAGAGCTTTACTGTTTGTTCTTGGAGGATAACAACTACCCTAAGGATATAAATTAGATGAGATTTAGCAAGTTTCTACGTTCGTGTTGTCTTTATTAACTTTTAATATACTTTCAGAAGCAACGGAGAATACATATATGTGGTATGTATTTCACTTACTCTGAGTTGAAAGCACTTTTGAAAATTAACATGATTACTGCTCACATGGTAGTTATTAATGTAACTTTCTGTTTTTTGTTATTTATTTAATTATTTTCATACCAGGAATGTAACTCACAACCTCACACTTGCCAGGCAGGCACTGTGCCACTGAGCTACACCCTGGCCCATTTTCTGTAATTTATATCAACATTTTGGTGAGCAACAATGACATTTTGTATAGAGAGTTTATGCCATGCTTTGGTAGGTGTGTCACTGAGAAAGTTCTTTTATATAGAAATAGAAAAGTCTATGTTTCAAGACCCGGTTCATTGTTATCACTATATATGTGTGAGGATGCACATTCACATATATGAACATAATGTATGAAAATTTTCTTGAAAAATTTGAATAAGACATTACAAGTATTATTTTAGAAATTTCTCTTGTTTCATAAGGATAATTAAAGTCTGTGTAATGTAAAATCCATTAAAATATTTATAATTGTCATTTCTGTTATAGTCATATTTAATTTATTTTGCAACAGAAAATCATTTTCAATACATTTTTGAGAATGCATAAGTTTAGGAAAAGAACTGCTTATACGTCATTGAATGTAGTCATGTATTTTTCAAACTATTTCAAGTTAAGAGACAATGAAGTATTTGACTCTGATTGACTATTTAATTCTAAAAAGAACCTGGGAAGGTAACTATATGCTAGTATTTCTATCAGCCTCAAATTTTTTTTTAATACCTCAGTATGTGAAGTCCCAGCCTGAGAAAACCATGCTACTCTTTATAAGGGTTCCTAAGACTGCGTAGACCCGTAGGTTAGGCCGTGGAAGTCAGCCCCTATTATATGGTCTTATCTTTGCAATCTTTTATCCTTAACTAAACGCACTGTTTATCTAGGGCAGAGTACACTTACAAATTCTTGTAAATTTTGCTTCTATCACAGCACTGGCCAATTGAAACTATGTAATATAGTTTATATTTAAAATGTACGCTTTGATGTGACCTAAGATCAAAGTCTATAATCAGATATTCATATTTTTCATTTGGTCAGGTGGGACTGTGGGTGGGGACAAAACTGTTCATGAAAGGCAATGAGATAAAGTGTCACACTTCGATTACTTGGGAAAATGCTACAATGAGAATAATTTATAGTTTTATTTTTATGTGGTAGAGTCCATAGTTCCATTACCAAAAAAATCAAATATAGTGGTATTATGATAGCCAACTATGGACTGGTGGTTAGAAGGAAAATTTTTGGCCCCAGGAAGTTCTACTTTTTTATACTCTAAAATGATATCATTATAAGATTCATGGCTGATTCCCAAGGGTAGCACTACAGGAGGCACAAGTATATTTTGACTTTTCCTTAATGAGTCCCATGATTACATAAAAAGTTTTAGAGGTTTTTGTGACCTTAGAAACTGAGTTTTCAACCAGGGCATGCAAGATGTTGACATAAAACATTGTTTAGCAAACTAGGGTTGCCGTATTCTTTCAGGACAGAACTGTGTTGGGAAGGGAGGAAGGGTGAAGTTCTGTATTTTGGGTAGTTTCTGTCACAGACTTATGGTGGCAGAGGATGCCTCTTTGCTTCCTGAGAAGCACATTAAGACTTGCTCTGCTCCTCTTCCTCTCCACTTCTGGAAGCTTTCTAGTTTCTCACTATCAGAGAAAATTTTTCATTTGGAATTTGTATGTTGGTTCAGTTAGGGATGTTCTAAAACCTCTTTTGAGTTTTTAAAATTGAAATTTTAAAAACTAAGAAATATTTATTACCTTATTTTCTAAAATATGCTAATAGATTTTACCACAAAAGGATGGTTCTATCTTTATATAATACAGCATTTTTTCCCTAGAAGGCTTCAAAGAGTTCATGACTCAGAAAAATATATATAATTTTTTAAATATTAAAATGTTCATATGTTCACTTTTCCCCTTGGAGAAGGCTTTATCTCTCATCTAATTCTTAATACTCATGGGTGGAAACTTATCTCTATACACTTATAGAATCATCACTTCAGGGACCTCTTAAGTTTCCTTTGTTTGGATTCCCTCACTGATGGCCTTTAGGCTCCGGTTTACATAGGAGTTTATGACTCTTAGCTAGTGTAGTACTTTATTGCTATACCACTGTGTGAGGCAGGCTGTGCAGAGTAACTGCTAAAACAATTATTCCTTTGCATACAACAAAAGCATGGTCTAAAGAGAAGCTCTTCCACAAAGTAACAACCAGCCTTAATGGAAAAGCGTTCCATTAATATTTTTTGAGTGGTACAGTCTCTCTTCTCCCTAACTGGATATCATATTTTTCTTTTCACCCTATACCTCAAACAAAATAGGCATCTCCAGGTTCAGACACAGAGAGTGTCATTGTCTCTGCATAACTGGTGCCTCCTTTCTACAGTGTCAAATCCTCTGCCCCAGTTTCTCGCTAGGCAGGGTTATCAAATAGTGGAGTGTTGAGCACTTCTGATTCACACTGATGTCTTATATTTCTCTCATGTGGTTTGCACTTGTTGTATTGAAATTGTTATGGAAATCATGGGGACCAAATTACTTACCAAGGGATCTGCCATGCTGCATGATAAGGCTGGAGTTGACGGAGCCTGGGAGAGAGTATGCTGAAGGGGAAAACGGCCTTTGGTAGTAACTCATTGGACTCACAGCACCACCAGAGTTGCCATTCACTGTTATCTGGCTCTGAGAAAAGTGCAGAGATATCTTGTTATAGCACACAGTTCCCTGTCAACATCACTCCTTTTGGTGACAATAAAAGTCCTCCAATCACATGACAGTAATCAACTGCCAAGTTCTTATTTATTTTAAAAACTGATGTCAGGGGAGCAGAGTACATATTTTCAGAGTCTCTGTCTCTCTCTCTCTCTCTGTCTCTGTCTCTGTCTCTGTCTCAGTCTCTCTCTCCCTGAAAATAATTTTTCATATATCTGAGAGCAGATAGGAGGTTTGGAAGGATGGAAGCAGTTGGCCAATGGGCATGCCATTCTGCCAACAGAGGTGGCCAGTAGTATCAACAGAGGTCACTGCCAAACAAATGTGGAGAGCAAGTATACTCTTGCTGATCTGAAGACTCAAGTCATCACACGATTTTATACGCAAGATTTGAAAGGAATGCTCTATGACATGAGAAAGGAGTTAGTTCTCAGACTTAGTCAGAGATGTTCTCTAGTGAATGAATGCTTCTCAAGTAAGGTGACTAACCTAAGGAGCGCATTCACTGCATATATATATATATATATATATATATATATATATATATATATCATAGAGCAATTTATTCCAGAAAAGTCGTACAGCTGGGAAAGCATCATCAGAAAGTCTTACAAAACACTGACTTTTTACTTCAACCTCATTTAGTACTCTATTTTCTCAATAATTTTTATTTTATATGAGTATTTTACATCACCAATGCTATTTCAAGTTTCTTCTTGGAGAGGATCATGTATACGCATCTTTAATAATTTTTATAACATGCAACCTGATATAACAATGTAGTAGGTATTCATGATAGATATTCACATTCACATGTCTGATTGAATTTGAGAAACTTATTCACAGAACTTGAGCTCTTGACTGTCTAGCTACAGCACAACAATGAACATTATGACAATTACATAAATTCATGCAAATGAGACAAAACCTTAGTGAAAAACATTTAGTTAAAATTCTCTTAGAACACATGCACATAAAGACATAATTTGTGAACTTGATCTATTTATTTTGAAATGAAGTTCTATTAAATAAGCTTGAAACATACAAGTTAGTTGTGAATTTCCATGCTTTGACTTTAAAGTGGGTTATGTTTTTAGATGACATAAAATAAATCTAATTTCATTACTTTTATAGTCATATGGTCCAAAATCAATAACCATATGTTCCACAATCAATACACATTTTTACAAGGATTGTACTTATTAAGTACTTTTTAAAGTGCTTAGAAAAACTGCTCTTTTGTATTATAATCAACTATATTTTGGGGAATTTTCTACTTGAAGCAAACTTGAAAATTAAAAAATTGTAAGGCACAAGTCTGATCAAATGCTTCAGAGCCATTATGTACCTCTGATGAATGATTACAGAATATTTTTATCTCTTTGTCCAAATCAAGTTTGGTGAACCTTTATAAAAATAATATTGTTATTAATTAATATTAAAAGTAGAAGAATCATTTTAATTAAATACCACCAGGCAGGTAAGACCAGAAATATTTCAGGTTTCTTCAATTTTGGAATATTTATATATAAATGTATGTTTTTAGGTATAATGACATATCTTGAGAATTGGACCCAAGCCCAAACATGAAATTCATTTATGTTTTATATACATGCTATACACAGAGCCTGAGAAAATTTTATGAACTTGCATTCTTATTGCAACTCAACATATGAGGTCAGGTATGAAATTTTTCACTTACAAAGTCATGTCAGTGTTCAAAAACTTTCGTTATCTAAAGTATTTTGGATTTTGAAATTTTGGGCTAGGGATAGTAAAATTAGGAAACTGGCTCTGAATTGTGTTTTGATGGTTTTAGTATTGATTAGGAACTTTTAAAAACACTAAAAGTGTTATATTTGTAAAACTGATTAAGATTTTATTAACTAAATAATACCTTTAGAATTTTAGGAAATACATTATAGTGAATTATTAGCTTATGGAGGATCTATGTGCAATAAACTGATAACCAGAATTCATTTCAGTTACAAGAACTTCTGATTAGTATTCACAAAATGATAACTGAGAATCCCTAAGAGAATCCCAATGAATATCTCAAAAGACATCCTAAAGAGAAAATTGAAATGGTTAGTACAAATATTAATATATTTTCACTGCTTTGTTTTTTTTTGTTTTGTTTTGCTAGGTCCTGATAGCATTTCTTAAGTGTTTAAAAGTTAATAACCATTTAAAGCACAGTAGGACAAGACAGGGACCCACATCTGTTGGTTAATTGGTACTGGGGGGTATCTGTCATATATGACAGTCTGATGTTAGCTCTGGAAATTCAGCCATGGGTGACTAAGTCAATCACCAGTATCTTTTGCTTCCTTTTACTGTCCTGTAGTTATTATAACATTACTATATGCATGAAAATTATCTTTGATAGAATATAGAAACTGTACAGCACAAATAAAATTTTGTTTATTACAATGTTTATCTGGAATTCTATCATAATATCAATTTGAGAAAAATGACTCCCATTTTTGCCCAAAATTATTTGCCTTTCAAATGCATGCCATTACTTGTACATTACATGAAATTGAAAATTTGTGCCGAATATTTTAAAATATTTTGGCTATTCATAAACTATTTATTAAGGACTGCTTTAAGATCTAGACATACCCCAATAATATAATACGCATGAAAATATTTGCATGTTGCCACAAATGGATGACATATTATTGATATATGAAATAAAAAGTAATACATTTCTATAGGGGAGTGGCTCAGGAAAAATAACTGCACAAAATCATGAGACTAAATTTCTGTAACATAAAGCAAGGTTATTTTCATCACTCACTGTCATATGATAGAGGACTGATATTAACGAAGAAAGAGCCAGAGGAATTAGCATGATGCAGTCAGTAATCACTTAAGTGAGAAACACACTATGTATCAGCCTGTTAGGAATTCTGCTCTGTAAGTCATTTACATGAGGTTAAAATTTTTGAAACATTGTACATTTTTTGTGTAATCTAACCATAACAATATTATGATATACACTTATCTAAATTTCTGAGATAACTTCTTATTAAGGCAAATCACTAAGTAACTCATTAACCACAATAACACAGTAAACTGTTCTGGAATAGCTATAAGTGACTGTGAAATGAATAAAGAGACCATAAGTAAATTTTTAGTGCAAAGCAGGCTTAATAAGAACGACCGTACTGAGTCTCCCTGACAGATGGTGTAGAATCTGTTTACTCATCAACACCTAAGCAAATACAAGTGCTCAGCTGCAGAACAAGATGGCAGAGAAGAAATCAGTCCTTTTCAAAACATTATTGAGGCAAAGGAATGAAGAATAATTACATGGGTGGCAGCAGGGGTGGTTAAGCTGGTGCCATCTGTCACAGCAGACCTCTGACCCCAGGTTGGGGAAGGTGTCTCAGAGCAGTCAGTGGCGTCAGAGTTACCCATCTGCAGCTCAGCCAGAATGGCTGTGGAGGACTCGCTCTCAGAGGGGGAGGAGTCTGTCCTGGGAGCACCCAGGTCTTGGCTGTGGATAAGGCTTTCAAGAGCTGGGCTGGGGTATTTATATAAACAGTGTGGAAAGCTCTGAGGCTTAGACAGGCGTGAAGGTCCCAGATCATCGGGTGCTGATGCTGGGCCGGAGCCACTGCCTGCTGAGAAAGTGGTTTGGTTAAACGGAATCACAGGCGAAGGGCACGAAGAAGAGGCTTCTGGTGTGGTTTGTCTGTATGTCTGTGAAGCATTTACCTCCAACACATTGGCAGTTAATTGCTGATTTCCATGCTGAGATTGAGGAAAAATAGTAAGAAAAAATATAAATTATCCAGGTAACAAAAAACATTTGTTTGCAATATGGCAGACAAGGCAAAGCGTGGGTTTTATCTGCAAACACTTCAAGGAAATACATTCATGGATTAGATGGCAACCACACAGCACAGAAAAAGCATGAAAACACGAAGAAAATGAATCCAGTCAGTACAAGATCAGCTTTCACACAGCACTGCGATGTAAGTTTGGGTAGAGGGGTGAAAGTGTTGACATAATGGTATTTCTTCCTAAGAAGTTTTAGTTATTGTCCTGGTGACAGTGAAATGCTATTGGATTGTCTGTTGGTTAAACAACTAGTTTGATTTTTACAAAAGCCCTCTCATAGCATTGTTTTCCTATCGCCTCCACACCATCAAAATGTCTCTGAATTATAAATCAGTTTGCTTCATTCCCCCGACTTAACTATTTAAATATTGATTAGACTATAAACAGCTAAATGGAAAGAGAATTAATTTCCTTCCTTTCCACTCATTGAATCTGTTCTTTGATTTTGTTGCAAAATACTGAAAGAATTGAAATTTAATACATCTAAGCAATGAAAATGGAGGTACCAAATGTGAAAATAAAAACCAGCCAGTGATAATGGTTAGAAAGTATTCTAGTTGGTTAGAACTACTGTTGGTATGACATTGTAGGTAAAGGAGAAAGAAACTGAAGGAAAAACAAAAAGATTTAAAAATGTTCCCCAAAGCTATATATAATCCAAGAGGTTAACCATGCTGGAGAGATTGTCTGCGCCAGAGGAGAAATGATGGCCTGTTATGTTTTTGCAGCCATCTGCTATAACCTGGAGGGCATATAATAACAAATGTCAACTCTGATGACAGGCCTCAAGCTGGAACAAACGAATGAATGAATGAATGAATGAATGAATGAATGACACTCTGAAGCATTTTCCCTCTTTAGTCTCTACATTCCAGAACAGAGTTTATTGTATTTGAGACAGTTTCAGTCAAAATGGCTAGAAATATTGTGAGATATTAGCGCAAAGATGGAGAACAAGTTAATAAGAAATATATAAACTTAGAAATATTGTCTAGTAAAGATTTAAGTGGTGCCATTTGGTGTTCCTGGCTAGTACAGTTTTCATAACAGCTGATGCTGTGCAGACTGTTGGCCTCATAAAAGCTATCATTAATCTTTTTTTTTACCCAGACTTTTGAGTACTTAGAAAATCCATATGAAAATGTCTCTTCAGGTCATATATCCCTTAGAAGTGCATTGAAAGTTATTGATTCTTTTCTTAGGGAAAAAGCACAAATTCATATGCACATAAAATTCTGCATAAATTTTGGAGTTTCATAGACATCTTAAAATGCATCCTTGATCTAAGGTTAAGAATAAACCAGATAAAAACTGTCATCACCAGATAAAAAGACAGACTTCCTCTTCTATTTTTGTTAGCTTTTTGTTGTTGTTTAATCATGGTCATTTTAATTGGGATACATTTTCTTTTACTGTTTGTATCTTAAATCTCTAGAATTAACTGACAGAAATATTAGTTACTCAGACATAAATGTTTTAATAGGAATTCATCCTTTACATTAATAAATATTTATAATAATTGGAAGTTTAATGGGAGGTAAAGCTACACTGTCACAAAACTGTAATAATTATAGTTTAGTACATTAAAAATTTGCTTTAAACCAGAGTGGAATTTAGGAATAAACAATCTTTGAATAATATTATTGGAATGCCTTATCCAATGGAGTTTTGCTCTGATAACTGCTGCATAAAATGAATTTTTTGAGTTTGGTTATATTTAGTAAAAATCCTATTAAATGATATTTATTTTAATACAGGATTTGAATTATCTTCTGAAGTGTGATTTTTTTCCCTTTGAAATTAGAAGCACAAATTTAATGAATTTGTCTCTACTGATTTGTTCATATCCTTTGACTTGAAATGAATCAAAATCTAGATGTGTTCTTTCTAAAATCACCATAATCATAGATGATATGATCATAAATTTGATTTTACATCACTATGTCTGAGAATGGTCTGCATCTATTCATTTGTTCAGCCAAAGAGAATCTAGAATGATTCCACCTTTCCCTCAGTGCCTCTCGACATGCTCACAATTTTAAGTCTTTGTGTCTGTGTAACGTGAAATGCCTCTTGGTGAATCACATCACACTTAAATTTTATAGTTAAAACTATAAAATTCAGAGGCTGGTCATCTACAGATGCTCTGAACTATCATAGCACAAAGATATCAGTTATATTTTTGACTGCATACTTGAGATCCTTTTACTTTGATCTCCACAGTAATGAAGTACTCTCTAGACATGAGAAGACAGGGAACCATCTCAGACATGATTCCTCAGAAGAACAGTGAGGAGAAAAACAAAACAAAGACAAAGCAAAACCCATGAAAAAGGGAGGGAATAATAATTTTTTCACTTAAAAAATTCTAGAGTGGGCATATATAAAAACCAGGCTGCGTCCCCCATCCACACTTCTTGTATGATGATCTCCCTCCATTCTGACAACCTTTTCTAAGGGGAAGGGAGTGTGCTCAGCAGCCACACCTGTACTAAGAAACAGTTTTATGGCCCCAGAAGACTGCATGGAAAAGAAACGGCATAACCAGACTGGGCCAAATGGGTCCTCTCTTTGTCCTAGGAATTACAGTTATGCAATTCTGAATGTCCCAGTTGGGTAGTTGTGGGTGAGGTATCTAAATAAGAAACCACTATGTCATAGAAATTCACAGACAACTTGAAATAAGGAGAGAGACAAAACTAAGAGAGAAGAGAGACAGAATTATGTAGCACCTAAAACAGAAAGAGAGAACTTACTTGGTCATTCCCTAGTTTACTGAACACTACTGCTTGTGTTTCAGTGGTGCAAGATCATCCTGTAATCTCCTAATAAAAATCGTTTTAACCAGCAATCTTGACAGCCACAGTCCCTACCGCAGATCAGGGTCACAGGTGAACAAACAGGGAGGCACTGCATCAACATTCTTATGTGCGTTACCTTATTTGAACTTCATAGTAACTCTCTGAGAGGAGCTTTATTAGTGCCATTTTGTGGATGAAGAAATGGAGATTCAAGGAGGATAAATAACAGATGAAGGCTAGTATGTTAATACATCATGGAGGAGTGGATGTCCATGTGATCTGTTCATAGTCTTCCTCAGTCCCACTCCCAGAAACCTCCCCTCCCCACTACTAAGTCAAGGTTAAGTGTTCAGATCTCGTCTTACACTTGCCCAGTCCACAGTATTTGCACAGTTAGCCATCTGATTGGCTCCATGACTCTTCCTCCCATGACTTTTAGCAAGCTGCATTTTCCTAGATTTTGCCTTCGTTTATTTGGTTGGTTGTTTGTCTTAGTACTGGGAATCAAACTTAGGACCTTGTGCTTGCCAGGCAGGTGCATACGCTATTGAGTTATGTCCCTGGTCCTTTGCTCCCTTTGAAGACACTCTTTTTAGATTTCCTGGCTGTTTTTTCATTAGTGTTAATTCATGCTCGAGCTCAATTCTTGGGCTTCTTCTTTTCTTTGTACTCACTTCCTGGTGATCTCAGCCACATGGCTACAGAACCATTCATAAGCTGATGGTTTTACCTCCAACCTAGACTTTCCTTCTGCACAAAAGATTCTCATTCAGCTGGACGATCTGTCTTCCTTATGAATATCTAAGAGACAGCTTAAACTCACCATGTCCCAGTGGTACCTCTGGTGTTTCCCCATCCTTCCCCCCAACTGTGGTTGGTCTTAGTTGATGGCAGTTCCATCCCTCGCACTGAAATCAACCTCTTTCTCCTTTTCACATCCCACATGCATCTATCAGAGTGTCTTGCTGGTTTTACTTTCAAAATATATTCACAAATTTGAATTTCTCACCATCTCTGTCACTTTTATCCTGCTTTGGGCCACAATTCTTCCCTACCTGAATCACTGCTATCATTTCCTACTTAACTTGTCTGCCCTCCACCATGCTTCACTCTAATGAATTCTCAATTGAGCTGCCAGAATGGTTTAGTTAGAATGTAAATCAAATTGTAATGGCATGGGCTTAAGTATCATATGGCTTCTCTTATATGAACACCCAAAGTATAAGTAAACTAAGAAGCAAAATAAAAGGTAGGTAATTGGAAATAGGGACACTGATCTGTTGCAAAGGGAAGGTGACTAAGATGAAAGAAGGGGACTAGAAAAGGTAGAACAGGACAAACAACTCATTTAGATTGCAATCTTTTGAAGTTTTGCATGCATGTTACCTAGAAAAATTAAAGGAATTTGAAGAGAAAAAATTTTATTATGTTCATTGTTATGTGCTGTTTCAAAAAACAAAATACAAGGCATAAAAAGGATTAAGACATGTATATGTCCCAACTCCTTATGATAAGTATAATCATTATGTGCTAATGTACTTATAAAAATAAAAATGGAAAATGATATAAAATTAGAAAAAATAGTGGTTGTCTCAAAGTCCTTTAGGTGGTTCTCATTTTTAATGAGTAAAAGAGGTGAGGTCCCGCAGTGATGTACAAGGACTTCTGTAATCTGGCTTCTGTTGCTTCTGATTTCATCTCCTATTATTCTGCTTCACTTCCTCTCCACCTCTCACTTCCTTGCCAGTTCTTGAACCACCCAGCATGTTTCAGCCTGAAAGCCTGAAAGTCTGTCTACCTGCCATATTCTTTCAACTTTCAAAGCTGTCTTCTTTTCACTGAGGTCTATTTTACTGTCCTGGTTAACATGTTAGGTGCTCCCCACATATCTCCTTAATTGTATTTCCATAATCTCTTTCTAATGTGTGTATTTTGCTTAAGTGTTTATTATTGTATAAACCCCCAAACAAGATTTTAAGCACTGATGAATTCAAATCCAGCTCTGTAACTAGAATTCTGACACCTAGTAGAAGTTCAATAAATATTTGCTGAACTAAAAAAAGGGACAGAATCTTACCCAACTTTCACATCATGCTAATATTCTGGGACTTGTATAACTAACTAAGCTATTTCTGGTTAGCCTGGAGAGTGACAAAACCACAGAAACGGAAAGTTATCAAACTTTTGAATTTTTTTGCATAAAACTCTGATTCCAATCCGCAGCCCCATAAAAGAAGACAAAACAAAAACTTCTGTTTAAAGTGTAATTAAATCATCTGACATTACTTTGTGAAGAAGCCAAGAAGAGGAACACATTTCTCTTCTAAAGAGACAGCAAATGTTAGCAGAGTACTGCCCTGAGAGACTTTATATACGTGGAAATATTTACTACCTCAAAGTCTGGGTAAGAAAGGCTGATTAATATATTTGCTGAAGTGACAAATTGATCTTATTTCAGTGAAAATTAATATACTACAGAGAATTAACATTGCTCGAAATTAAGATAAATGTTTCCTGCTAAAACAAACTATAACTGACAATTATTTTAAGAGATTTTGTGTATTTAAATTAACTTAATCCAATTACCAAAAGATCTGATATGAAAAATATCTCTTTGAAATCTAAAAATACTTCATATATTGAAGTAGTTTGCATTGTCTCAAGTGATAATTGGCCCATTAGTGATTTTTAATAAATATCTGAAAGGCGGAAACACGATTTCTAGGTAAAAGATTTGCATGCGTGCATGCATGTGTGTGTACGTTTAAATTAAAAATGCCCAGATGTTTACTTAGTATTTTAGCCAATTTTAAATTGTAAGGCAGTAGTTTCTTTCTCCTTTCCCTTCCTTCTCTACAATACACATGTAAGAAAAGACTGGAAAGTGTAATGTATCACCCGGCAGTCTGAGGACTGAGAGGCCGTAGCAACTGCAGATGTTTGTCTCTCTTGCTGAAGAGGTATCTTTGTAGTCTCTGGAGAAAGCTCAGGTAGCTGTTTGTGGCTTTCAGGATCTTTTCCTGAAAGGGGAGCTATCTGAATGGAAAGAGATGCTGTGTGTATCTCAGGTACTGGGTTAGGGGGTGGTGAGCAAGGCTTTTTGAGAAATGAAGGAACTTCAACAGGATTAGAAAACTGTGGAATATGAAAAGGGATGGTACTTCCCAGATCCTGGTTATGCATTAGTTTTAAGGTAGAAATTCTCTGAGTTTGAGAATCTTGCATGTAGTTCTCTTGTAGAAATGGGGTACTGATGTCAGCAAATGGTGTAGGACTTGTGTTGGAAGCTCCTGGTAGTGGGCTAGTGATTTTTTGGGTATATGACACAGTTGTGTTGGATTCTTCAGAATATACAATTGTTGGATTAGATTCATCATTAGAGTGTGTAATTGCTGGAAGAAACTTTTTGTTAGAAAAAAACTCGGTACAGGAGGGAGTTTGCATGTTGGCTTCTAATGAGTCTAAAATGTGGCCCTGTGTGTGATTGGTTGTCAAGGAGCTATGAAAGCTCTCTTTTCTGGTGGGTGGAAGGGGTGCCTACATGACCAAGAGCATCCAGAAAAAGAAATTACGTTGAAGGAAAAACAGAGAGAAAATTACAGTTAGTTATGAAAGCAACCAGTGTCTGCCCTGATCTTAAAGGTAAAGCTATATTAGATTTTTTTATGCTATGCATTTTGTTGGCTGATTAGCTAACCATTTTCACTGCCAGTAGAAAGCTTTTTAGTTTACTATTAAGAGTGGCTCGGAGGAGAAGATAATATTTTGTTGTTAAAGAATAGATTATAAAGTTTGTCTTCAGCTACATCCTGAGAATTATATTAAAAGTGAACACATTCTCTTGGTGTATTTTTAGACACTGAGGTCTATGATTTAGTTAACCACATTGTTTTATAGCATCTTCACACTTGTGACACAATTTTACTCCTGTCTGCAAAACAGTCCTTTTAATTAACATACTGATCAGTTGCATTAGCTGTATCTATTAAATACATAATGTATTGCTGACCTTATAACTCTGAAATCCAAAACATAAGCAGTAAGCTTTTTAAGAATTAGAATACATACTAAACATTATATTAGAAGCTGACTTATTTTTATGAGCTTATTCAGAGAAAAACAAGCCAAACCCATGAAACACCTGTTTTGTACTTAAAATTTTCTCCATGTTGTAAATGCAAGTCTAGCAATAAAACAAATACAAAAGCTAGAAGATATTAAAAAATGTTTTGAAGTAAAAAAAAAAGAAGGAAAAAACAGGAGAAGAAATTTCTAAGAAAGGTTTCAAGAAGTAGTCTAGTTAACAATGTTTTCAAAGAATAGGCAAGAGCGTGCAGGATTACCTGAGTCGGAGATTTTTTTTCTTGTAGGTTTGGTCGAACCCTTCTGAAACCTTTTGCTGCAAGAGAGGAATATGTAGCATCTCCGTTCAGTGTCTCTTGTATTCGATCATTGTAAGATCGCCAAGCTTTTATTAAGAGAAAACAAATTGGACACAGAAAATATCTACGTTCACTGAAACACTTTTTAAAAGAAAATGTATTTCTACTTTGAAAATCAAACTGCTTTTATCAGCGTTTTAATTTACTACACAATCAGCAGGTGATCTAAGTTTAATATGAGAACAACAATGGAGCCACTCATATGCCAGAAATCCTCACAAAGCATTTGATAATTATTTAGAGTATTTTTTCTGTACCTGAGTCTGGTGATTGAGAGTCACGCCCTGAAAGAAAAAAAATATGTTGATATTAATCCTAGGGTGAAATAAATGAATAATGAAGTAAAAATACTTTCAAAAAACCATATATATTATTTTTGCAGACTTTGTCTCAGTTCTAAAACTCTGGGTACATTACATATAGTAATGAAAGTTTTGTGTGTTAATTTAAATTTCAATGGAAATATTATCTATTTAAAAATAACTATAATATATAATTGACACATATATCAAACATTAATTTTTCATCTTAATAATATTGTAGCCCAAGATGGATACATGAATTTCTGAATGTCAAATTAAAGGGTCATATGGGATCTAGTTTTTAAACTCTGGATACTTTTCACAGTGTTAAATCATCAAATCCTTAGCTGGTAAAACCCCTGCTATTAAACTCCTGTGTTAGAATCTATCTACCTACCTACCTATCTTTATATCTGTATCTCTCTATCTAAAACTTTAAAAAGTGATAAATGTATTTACACTATTTAACACTTTCTAGACTTTAAGCTTTCTTCTTATTGTCATTTAAAATTATCTTTTTACTCAAATGAGAGAGCTCTTACAGTGTACTCCACTGGTTTTTCAGCATACAAGCTATGAAAAATAAATTTCAGTAGTAATAAATAGCTTTGATAATGTAGATGGAAATTATCCAATCATATACATAAATTTATCAATTTTATTGGAATTACACATTTAAGAAACTTTAATATACACATTTGAGGTAACTAAATATACATGTTGAGATTATTATTTTGTTCGGTTTGGTTCTATTAGAGCAAATGGTCATCTTCACTTAGACTCATAGTCTTGACTTTGGAAAGCACCCTACAGGGTCAGTTAGTTTAACCTGCTGTCCAGTTTGTGCATTTCTCTACATGTTCCTTAGGAACATTATTAAATTGATGTTTCAATGACTCTTAGTTTTCCTTCTAATGTTTTGGAAATTATTATTGTGAAATCTAAACACATGAATTTGGAATGATGAAAATGGACTGAGAGATGCAAGTGTCTGATTTTGGATAAAATATTTGAGACTTTTTTTTTACTAAATGAAAGGAAGAAAAATAAATGCAAAACAGCTAAAAAGTACCTTAGAATGACTCCAGGTCACATGAGTTAGATAAGACTAATACATTTTCATTCTGTATGGCATTTGATAACTTATCTCAAAGAAATGAAAATTGGAGAAACCAAATGGTGCACACTGTAAAAAGAACTGAAGAACTGTATGTTCAGTGTTTACGAGATCCTGCTTCTAGCATTTGACAGAGGCCGAACTGATCAGAAGACATCAGTTATTTAATCTAAATGATGAAGAAGACTCTATAAAGTAAACCAACATAGCTTAGCCATGCAGAACAATCTTTAGAATTCTGCTTTGGGTAACTCAGGGAGAGAAAGTCATTAACCATGAGGTGTCACACCCTGGACAAAGAACTCGGGGGACTCAGGCAAAGGATGAAACAATGGAGAACAGCATTAATAGTAATTGTAATTTATATGTTTGCGAATAGAGAATTTATTTTACTCTTGATTTGGCCAAGTTTGTGATAAAAAAAAAGTTTGGTGTGGATGTAGGGGAAACAGGGCCAAAATGTCAGAAGTAGGAAGGGCGTGGATGTCACTTGGAAGAAGAAGGACTAATAAGCTGGTTTGAAGGACAGTTGGAATACACTGCTTCCAACAGATGGTTGGCAGGGCCAGTGGTTTCTTCGCACTGGTGATCACACCGGGGATTATGGTGGTAGACTCAGAGGGCAGGCCCTTAGACTCAGGAGGCTCAGGCACGCTACCAGAAACATGAGATACTGATAATGCTGAACATTTCCTTTCCTAACCGGGTGGACAACATTGTAGAATTAAGAGAAAGGAAAAAAGAGAAAATTGGCCCATGGAGTAAAACTTTGGAATGAAGAAATACTCTAATAAAGTTCCTGTTGGTAATTTGTCTTTAAAGTGTTTGGCTCTTTAAAAATATTGAAGTGCATGCTAAAGTTTCATTAAAATAAATCCAACTATAGATAGAGTACTTGAGACACTCACCTCTGATTTTCTATTTTATTACAGTCTTCAGAAGAACTGGAAGACAGATACTCCTACAGGAATATCATTCACTATTGCCCTATTTTTATTGACATTGGCAAGGGAGGTTTTTGGAAAGGAGGACATATGTGATTTGAAAAAGGTAACAGAAAGTATTCTGGGTCTATATATCAAGTAAAGAGAATATAGTTTACAAAAAATAAAAATTGAACGGTGAATGGTAAATGATTTGGCAGATGCATGGGAAAATAGCCTCAAATATTGAATATCATTGATCATTTACTTCTAAAAGAAAGTCAAGATTCTAAAGACCAGAGTTCTTAATTCCTAGTGTTCTTTACCTGTATCATTCTTTATCTGAAAAAGTGAAAGATGAGATACGTTTATCATTCCTCTGTTTTGCGTCTGAGGAATCTTTTGAGAGTTGAAAACTGTTAAGGTTCTTCCCTGCTAGAAGGAGCACAGCCTATTGTTTAGGATGTTCCTTGAGTGGGGTAGGTGTGTGCTTTCCAAGATCCTTCCCAGCTTTATGATTCTAACATTATGGTTTTTAGGAGCAATGTTGGGGATAACCAGCTGTTACAATATGAGCTCTACACTCAGGTTGTATTTAAATTCCTTTGAACTGATACACTATATTGATGCTGCATTTTTCTTGAAATTATTATTTTTAATTTTTACAACTCATTTCTTTAGAGGGCTTAGGCGCTGTTCCAAATTATTTTAAATAGATGAATTAAATTCAAATCAACTAATTGAGTGCCTACTGTATTTCTAAGTAGCATGAGAAATCTTTTCATTAATTTTCTTTCCTTGCTCTCATTTAATTTTGACAAATCTTTTTGAGGCTGGGAAATGATGAAGTTCTCAGAAAGGCAGGAAAATGACAAATTATATTTATTTCTTAAGGAAGACACAAATGTTATCTCATACAGTCATGCATGTGTGGTGAAATAAAATGTACTTTGATTGCTTTCTGTGGCCATTGTTATGCTTATAGCATAAGTTTAAAACATCACTGTGTGCTGTGATGAATTATCCAGCGGAAATTCATGTCTTGTAAAAGAAAAAGAGAAGACAGACTTAGATAGGGAGCAGGTAGTCTAGGACTCATAGACTTTGTGGTTTGCAAAAGGGAGGGAGGCTTGGAATCTTGTGGAAGTAGCTTAACTTTTGTCCAAAGGCTGCTTCAACAATATTGAATCCAATAAATATTTATTTTCTTTTAGTTCTCAGAAAGAGACTGTCAAACTGAGTTTTCATGGAAACTACTACAGAATGTGATTGGGCATATAGGAAATTGATTTCTTTCTTTAAAATGTAATTAAAATTTCTTTAAAAAAGATCTCATGTATCTAATTAATATAAAGGGTCTGTTTTCAAAACAATTCAAATTTCAGGGAAATTTATTCTCTAAAAATCTTACTCTTAATGATTTAAAATTTAAAATATGTCAAAGCCATTAAATATTGTTATTATTGAAAATTATTTCATACTCCTGAAGTATTAAATACTTTTTTTTACCATTTTGATTATGAAGCATTACATCTTTTGTAATAAGTTGAATGGTGTGAAATTTCTTATATGCTCATTTTGACTTTCCAAAAGTGACAATTTTGAGTTTAATCTAATACTGTTCTTTGATGATTAGTTTTGTAAATAACAAACTGGCACTGTTTAAGTGGAGTGTCACTCCCTAACAATACATAGGTTGTCCATGTATGATATTTTACTTGATTGGAAAGTCAATGGTATTCACCAGTATAGGCATCTAAAAGTACATGATAGCTTGATGTTTATTTTCTCCTTTTCATTCTAATTTCCCTGTGATACACAATATAAATAAATCTGAAGTTTAACACTATTTGTGCTCAGATGCATGTGTATAAATGTATACAAATATATCCAGAGAGATTTTTTAAACAAAGGGAGCTCATATTACATGCATGGCAATGCAGCTTGCATTTTTAAACTTAATATATTAGGGAACTTTTTAAAGTTGGATACTGAAATCCATTAGTGAATTGGAGGTGGTGCGTGGAAATGGAATTCTCTGAATGAAATATAGTTTCTCCTCAAAAAAGCTAGGTAGCTTAGAATCAAGTAGATTTAAAGCCTAGGACACTCTCAGGATTTAATCGACTGTTAATGTATGTGAGTGAAGGACTGATACGAATTGTTAAGAATTAAAATTATTTAAGGGCTCTTCAGTATTTTTCCATTTCTGTTCCAAAACAAATTAACCTTCGAAATAAAACCACTTAAACCTCAAATTGTAACTAACAACACAACAACAAAAGTAACTAACCAAAAACAAAAACAGAAACAGAAACAAAAACAAAAACAAAAACCAGCCTTCAAAAGGTCTGAGAATGCTTCAGGGTCTAGGGAGAGAGTTTTTCTAGGCTTGCTTAGCTTTAGTCTCCTCCTGATGCATACAGTGCCTGCAGGCTTGGTTACATAACAACAGATACTTATGACAAAGAGACCTACTTCAGTGTATGTGGAAGTGTCACCCATGGCCTCGTATTAATTTTAATTGGATAAGACTTTGATGTAGTAGAAGGATTTTTGTTGATTGGACCATAAGAAAGTGAAAGTCTTTTTCCAAACTAATATTTTATTATTCCTTTTTGTAATTTCTGGTGAAGAAGTTGCCTACTTAACACTCATTTTCCAGCAATTCTCTCTTCTTGACTCCTTGCTGAAGAACACATGAATTATCTCAATGGACTGTTATGCTGCTTTATTTCATGAGCTAATGAAAACTTAAATAGTTATGACACTTGCAATTATTTAATATATTTTTGGCAAATGACTGTAGTTTCTAATTAGATTTTTAAATGTTTTATACTAGATATCAGTTTTCTTTGGCTTTTTATGTTTAGCACAAAAACAGAAGAGATAGAAGCTATTTTGGGGGCAAGAAAAAATAACAACTTGTCGAAGGATATTTACAGCCACGATAGTCATCCAAACAAGATAATTCTGGAAAGAGAAAGGTCAAATTAAGCCATCCAAGTGTGACATTTTGTGAGTTAGTGATGTATACCTGCAGCCAATAGGTTTGGAGAACTTTGAACCCTCTTCACAGATGTTAACGTGACAGACATGGCGGCACGTTTGTGAGCACACCCACCGCTATCTGGAAGCAAAAAAATGACATAGCAGAGGCCAAGGCAACAGAGAAAGCACATGCAGTATCATGCATTTTAAGTGTGCCAGACATTCATGAGAAAGATGAACAGTCAGAATTAGTGATCATGGCATACACCTGCAAATTCCAGATCCATCCCCAAACTAAAACAGACAAGACAAAACAAGGGTCTGTTTCAGAACAGATGTCAATGGTTTAGAAAAAGGACAAAAGTTTTTATATTTGACATTCAGCGATTTTGGTTTTTTGAGTAAGGTCTTACTAAGTAGTCCAGTCCAGAGTTAAACTTGTTACGTGGCTCAGACTGGTTTTGAATTTATGAGCCTGCTTTAGACTCCTGAGTTCTGAGATTACAGGCATGTTCCACCATGCTTGGCTCTTGATTTTTTTTTTTTTTTAATGAAAACTCAGACACAGAAGTGAATTGTGTTTATGTCATTTAAATTCAGCACACACTAAATCTATAAGCACTATAGCTAGCTTTTAGAGCTTTGTATTATGCATATTCCTGGATTAAAAGCTGTAGTATATTAATCATTTAGGTTGTATTGTATTCTAGCTGAAGGTGGCTTGAATAATTCTTGTGATAAATGTTATTGCAGAGCATTTGCCTAGCATACATGAGGACTTGGGTTCAATCTTCAGTACCTAAAAAAGTTATTAATTGACACAGGTGTGATACTTTTGATAATGTATAATTTGTAAAGACACACATGGAAATTACATGTCTTTCAATAGTTATGAAAATCATTAACCTAGTTGAAATCAGAGACAGATTGAAATATATTTTGAAAATGATTTATTGCTTTTTCTATATTTGAACAATATGTGTACCATGACCTATAGCCTGTTTACATTTAAACACAAACATGAAGTAAAATAATTGCAAACACACTGGCTATTTTATGTGCTATGAGAAATTTAGATTTCTAAATTTGGGAGACAAGTCTCTTAAAATTGAAAGGTTAATGTCTATTTATGACTAGATTCCATTCCATTCCACATTCCTTTGTAATACGGTATGTGCAATAAATAGTCTTCCTCATTCCTATCATTTTTCTCATTAACTCAAGACAACTTTAATTACTTTTTGAAAGTTATGACAACCGACAGTGCAATCACCAACAGACAGCATGATCATTACATATTGACACGTTATTTCTATTTTTTTTTTATTTCACAGGGAAAAGTATCTAGTCTGTTGATTCCCCATGAGAATTGTGATTAGTAAAGATACATGGACATATGAGTTGAGTGAATTGTTTCTAAGTCACAATTTAAATGCTCTCAAAAGTGGTGAAATATTCTTACATAAAATATATCTTGAAATATACATTTAAAATTACAGCTTTTTAATAGACAAAGTAATTCAACCAGAACTTGACTTGAAGAAACATTAAATGAAAGACAAATAGATCAAAATCTATAATAGGAAATTAAAAAAGAAGGATACAAATGGTAGAAACTTGCATTAGAGATACCATTCAGAGAGGCAACAAAAGCATTTTAACCAACTTAACAAGCCAAAAACAGCCACGAGAAGCAAATGTATCCACTCAAATGGAGACAATGTTATGAATATAGAGTATTTAGTAGCTACGGACTGACCTTAAAGGGTTTTTACTCAAGGATGTTGAAAGTGAAAACTGACAGCACTCTGAGTGATTTTATTTTCCTATTCCTTTAATTCTGAATGTTTGAAAACAAGCAGAGATAAAAATAAAAAATTCCACAATGTATGGATCCAGTATCATTGGTTAAACTCACTAATTATTAAGTGATTCAGTTGCTTGTAAATACAATTTCTAGATATTGTATTTGGCTTAGACACATCATGAAAAAAATCACTTGGACATTAGTCACTGTAAACCAAGAAAGTTTGGGATCTTTGGGCTAAACAATTTATGTATTTTGGCCCTTTCTGAGATCTAGATCAAGGAAATATAAATGTTTCAATTAATATTTATTAAAGATACTATTTCAAAAAACACTGTGGTTTGTGAAATAGAAAGAACAGAGAATGTCCTCCATTCTGTTTCCACTTATGTAAGAATTGATACTCTCTGGTACTTTTCATACTTCAGTTTGTTGTCAAGAACATCAACGTGGTCTCATCTCTGCGCTCAGTCATGACCTGCGGCCTCTGTGGGTTACTGTTTGACTCACTGTCAAAGCCCTGGAAGCTATTTTCTCTGCTAGAAAACACTCATGTGGGTAAAATCATATTTACTGAATTATTGGGTGTCATTTTTCTTTCTTTCAATAATATCTTATGCCTTAGAAAGTAATGGATCATAAGATCTAGCAGTTCTAACATGTTTTTTATATTTTATTATTCCTGGCTAGTTTGTTACATAGTTGATTAAAAGCAAAGATAAGATTTAAAATGTTTTTTAAAAGGTTACTGACTGACAAATGGAAATTCAAAGTAGTAATGTGACACTTTAGTGGTTAATGCAGGCCACTTTTATTAATTAGGTACTTGAACTAATTCCCACTTCATTTTGTGAACACAGAAATAACACTTTCACTTCCTAAAGCAGTATTTGTATCTATCTGTCTTTATGTTTCAAGGGCTATGTTTGTATAGCAACATTATAGTATTACTTTGAACAAAGAATTTCAGTGACTTCTAATCAATTTTTTGCATAAGTTTGAATATATCTCACATATATTTTTAAATCCAGGCAAAGAGACAAAATAATCCTATGCAAATCAGCATTTCACCCAGAGTCAAAGTTACTCCTTATAAATGAGAGTATAACCTTTTGGAAGGTTATATTCATGTTACGCAGTTCAGAGACCTAAACATATTTAATGTTTTTGTGTTTATTTTGTTATTAGTGATTGAATTATATGACCAGGAAGATCAACTATTCAATGTATTACTCATGAATACATTATGTTGTATATAACCATATATGCATATGTATAATAAATAGGGCAATTAGTACTGAGAAATTATGCTCAACTTCAAGATGCTCAGAGCAATCAGTAAATGTCACGTTCTCACATAGACATCCTACCGGATTACCTTTGCAGTTTTGTTGCATGGCTTGTCCAAGTCCAGCTGTGAGCTTTACATTCTATTTCCTTCAGTTTCCTTTGCCTAACAATATTTATTTCATTTTCCATGTCTAATTCAGACATCTCTAGTTTTCAAAATGTCTTTATTTGGAGCTCTGGAGCCATCATTTCTCTTGATTTCTAAGCCTCTCTTGCATGTCTCCAATGCCCTCAGCTCACTCGCTCCTCCTCATCCTCAGAAGCCAGGCTACTATGTACAGAACGTTCTCTGAGGCCAGTCGGAGTGAGCAGCTGCTAAAAGGGTTGCCATAGAAGGGCGGACATGGCACATACCTGTGCACTTGACCCAGGGCTTAGGCGTCACCTTTACCAAAGAGATGTTAATCTTTCCTTTGATAGTCAGTGACAGCAAAAAGGCAAGAAGCTCCTGAGCCATGCTTTTGTTTCTGACTTGGGTGATGGGCTAAGACGATTTTCCAGGAATCATTTGTAGACAGGGAAATGTAATATATAAACACAAGTGACAGAATTTCAATGACAAAATTGTTTTCCTGAATTATTGTATATAAGAATACCATATATACAATTTGGGAGGGTAGGGAATGAAGGAGACATTATGAACTGGAATATGGAAACACTTATATCCTATATGTATATAACATTATCAGCAACATTTTTACAATTAAAATGTATACAGTACAAATTTCAAAGACACTGATGTCAAGCTATTTAGAGATATTATTTTTGCATCTAAAGTTAAAATGTTTATAGTTTTATGTATACAGTGACCATGAATTAATTAGACTGATTTTCAATGAAGCTTTGGCAGTCCAGCTACTGGCTATGTCAATGCAGAGTTTGCAGAGTGGGGAAATTTAAATATTTTCACCAGAGCAACTTGCTTTTGAATTTATTTTCAGTAAGAAATTTCAAATGTATACACACAATTTGTAACATTTATAGCAGGCAGGTTCAAAATAGGATTAGACACGAAGTAAGAGTAGGTAACAGAACAAAACATTTTCCTTTAATGCAACAGACCAGAGCACAAAGACAATGAAATAAATTAACAAATCTGAATTCTTTGTGTAATTGAAACTGAAGCTCATATTTAAAATCAGCAAAGTGCTAGAACAGTGATTCAGGACCAAGTTGAATTTTTTAGAGAGCAAAGCTAAAGAGTTTAACAGAGACAGCATACCTGTATTCATTTCGACCTTGGAGGGTTTGTTAGTAAAGTCTTCAGTTTTCCTGTAGAAAAAAAATGATGCATAATTTGTTCACTAGTATGTGGATCAAAATATCATGAAAGTGTGATTTTGTTTTGAAACAGTGTTACATTACTGTTAGACTTATTTAAACCAAGATTTAACAAGGTGGGAAACATTTATAATCCTATTCAAGTTAAAATTCACTTATTCTTGGTCCTCTGGTTATAAACTTATATTTTTGTACTTTTCTAAACCCATGAAGAGTGTGCACCAATGAGGTGAAGGAGGAAGGCAGGGGTCAGCACAGGAGCTTTGAGAAAGTTCCTTCACATGTATTTATTTTAATCGCTCAGTAGCAAAACTCCTAATACGCTAACCTTAAATGGACAAAATAAATGGAAACGTGGCCTCAGGGGATGTCTGTGACCAGGGCTGAGGCAACTTCTAAAACAAGAAGGACTAAACAATTTCCAGAAAATGAGAGGACATTTTTCAAGTTATGCCTGATCACTCCTTTTGGAACTAGGCAACACTTTATGTTTACAGAGGGTATAGATTTTAAAACTCAATGTCAGAGGCAGTATTTGGGCTGGAATAATACTGACAGACAAAGAGGATGGCAAACACAGAAGCAAGGCTAATTCTCAGAACACAACACCTGCTCTAGAAGGTTTTCATATCAAGTCAGAGAAGTTAGGATCGACATTTACTGTTTGAAAGGAAAATGAGATATTTGCAAAAGGTCTGACACTCATAAAGTAAAATGGGATTAAGGAGAACAAAGAACAGCATTACAGATCCTTGAGCTTTTTGTCTTTAAGTGATGTATCCTGTTACTTATAAGTGTAATTTGTGAGGTTTTAAAAAAACTTGGCAATGTTTTAGATGTCAAAATGTGAAATGCCTAACTTCCTAATCAGGCAAGACATTTTCCAAGTTGTTAAAAGAAGAGACATGGTGATTGAGTTCTCAAGAAGAACCTGAAACCACAAGGTTTCTTGGGTGACTAATAAAAGTGCATGATTCTATTTCCCTTATTTGTACAAAAGCTATTAACAAATTCATGACTGAGAGCTCTTTAGATGATTTAAACTAAGGCAAATCTAATCTCTTCTGTTCTGAAAAAGTGTCTTTGACTGTACTCATGTAATAAGCACAGATAATTCTGGAAAGCATCAAATTCCTAGAGGGTTTTCACCTACTGCAAGAAGACAGTATCTCAAATGTTGTCTTACAATTGAATCAGGAATGAGAATATGAAGATTGAACATAAAAATCAGACCACCCTGAACCACAGAAGATGGTCCACAGAGTCAAGTGTCTGCTGTACATTAACATGGCAAAATAATTTTTGGTAGATTGTGTGGTACTCAGTTTCCTTATGTTCAGTTCTCATCAAAGTTTATACAAAAAGAAATGTTGTATATGTTCTAATTTGTGAACAGCAAAAGATTTGTTTTACTTAAGGGCTAGAGAAATGTTTATTCTCAATGTGTATGTGACAATAGATTTTATTGGTTGTTCATGCATAGGTATCAACATGGCTTTGTGTCCACAATCTTTTAATTCTACCTGAAATTCTTCCAGTTCCCAGACACCTCACTGTTTTGTACACAGCTGAAAAGGTTTACTTCTCAATGTGCATGGGAGGATAGACTGGGTAATTTAACTTTTAAGTGGAGGTCTGCGAGGTTTGATTGTTCATCCATGGACACCAACATGACTTTGCCTTATAAATCTGCTTGAAGTCCTTTGATTATCAAGCATTCCCTTTTGAAGAAGACCATAGGCAAAATCCCCAATTTTGACCAAGAATTCTGTACAAATAATTTTATTTTTGCAGACCTGAAATGAAATATCAATGTTATCTATAAAACTAGAGGATATAAAATTGAGTTCGTTAATGTGAGAGAATTGCCCCAAAAGATTTTTTTCATGGAATAGTTTTGACTCAATAAATTGCTCAGAAATATTTGAGATTGATCTATTTGCAGTTTACATATTATTCAGAAGAAAGGGCATATAGTCTAAATGATAAGAAAACATTGTGGGATGTTAGGTCTTCTTAAGAGATATATTTTAAACATGAAAACAAAATATGGCATACATTAAGGGTATGCCTCAGATTTTAACTTGAATTGTGTATTTACTTGGAATTATGATCATCTTGATCTCATCTTGAGTGTACCATTCTTTCTGGACAAACTGCCCTGGCTAATTAATGTATGAATAAATTTCTTTTTCTCTTTGTGACCGCGGGAAGATTAGAGGTATTCATAGATGCTAAATGAAATGTGGTCAAATGACCAAGTAGTTTGTCTTTTATAGGAACGTACCTTATACTCTTTTCTGAATAATTTCTTTAAATTTGCAGCCTGTATGTGATGCCAACTCAAAGACTCCTCTGCCCTTTGTGGTACAGAAAAATATCACTATCGGTAGTGAGGCCATGCTTGTCCATGAACACTACAGGCCTTCCACTATCTTGGAACTAACCGTGCCTGAAGAGGTGCACGGTATTCAGGAGCCCAATCAACCATGGCATTTATACATGTATGCCAGAGTCAGAACACATTCAAAATCATTTCTAGGAACAAGGAGAAATTGTTACCACTAATACTAAAGAAATGAAAAACATGAGGTCATTTGTTTTTTGTTTGCTTTGTTTTATGAATCAAAGTCCCACTAAGTAGTTCAGGCTGACCTTGAACTTGCTAGGTAACCCAGGCTGTCAACAAGAAGGCTCTCGCAGGGTGAGGCCCCTAACCATTACACTCTAAAACTGTGAACCCAACAGTCTTTTCCTTATAACTTGTCCAGTCTACACATTACTAATGCAGCTAGACCATGGAGTCAGGCTCTGCCCATGTCTATGCATCTAAACACGTTCTGTCAATGCATGGCCAGCATGTTCTTCAATAGCTCTAGCAGTGTTAGGCCTGTCCCGTCTCCCACCAATAGCACCTATTCCTAATCTGGTAAATGGTATCATTTCTTTTCACCAACAGTTCAACTATTTTAGAGCAGACCTTCCCCTACGGTTACATCTTAACAAAATAACCTAGACTCTGCTGAACATATAAGGGGCATCATTGTGTTGCTTTAGATTGAAGCAAACCACATGGTTCATTATATTAATTGTATGGATTTGCCCATTTCTCAAATATCCCAACCTCAGTTTAGCAAGATGTTGAAATAGAAAAGAAATTCTGTTTCCCAGGTAGATTTTCTTTCTTCCTTAAGCAAGTCCTCCATTTGGCTGAGATTTTTTTTCCCACATTGCAGTGGGAGACAGACCTAAGGAAATAGCTGAATCAAGTACTCGCCTCTGAGCCAAGATATAGTCAAAGGTACTGAATCCAAAGGAAGATGACACTAAAAGCTTATGATGATTAATATTCTAAAAAATCTTTCCCATTACACTTGATTGCTTATAACCCAAAATGGTGGTAGAAGGAACCAAATGACTGTAAAGAGTCACATGATGAATCATGTGACATATTTGAGTGGTAGCAGCCATTTCTACATGGTTCATGAAGTCTCTCCTCTTCTTCCTTCCATTACACGGAGAAGCACAATTCCTATTTTAAGGGGGTACTTTTGCTCTTTTGGAAGAACTATCTTTTTTGAAATCATGCTTTTAACGTCCCCCATTTAAAATTTTTAAATCTTCAATTTCTATTTTTATATGCAGATATCACAAATCATTTGACATAGAAAAAATTATTTACATTAGTTTTACATATTTCATACCTAGAATTTAGGGAAAAATGTTCAATGCTCTAATAGGAATACAGAAATATCTTTTTTGTGTGTTTTATTTTTAAAATTTTAACCCTGAAATAAATCTTAGATCATGTACTTCGTTTTTGAGGTCAGATTTTTGAGGACAAGAGAAATGACACAGCAAGCATATAATAGTAAAAAGTCAACATTCAAAAGCAGGCGAGCTCTCTTGACTTAGAGAACAGGCATCTCCCCTTAAAGCATTTAAAAATATTTGCACTCAGTCCACTTTCGTAAAATATCACAGTATAGTGCTTAACTAAAGGCAGAAACAAATGACATAGGGTTTAGTGTAAGAACAAAAAATCAGAATTGTGAAGGAAGGGTAAACTATTTGATGAATAAAATTGGGACTGCTAATACAGGACCATATGTTTATTCCTCTAAAGCTAAAAAGGAGATAATGGCTGCTTGTGACAAGGATCTTTTCCCTGCCCAATTACTGCAGAAGCCTAAATGGAAGGGATTTACTCTAGATTACTGATCCCAGAGCAAAAGCTATTGCTATTTTTTCTGAAAACCTCAGAATTTTGAGAAGTATGCTTAAAGTGTTTTGATGGTGATGCTGTTTTATGAAATTACTACAGTTAAATAATCCTGCTTGTTGTTAATTGACTATTAAGAAACAGACGTGTTTTTATTCTGATTTGGTACACCTGTTTCCTGAACACCTGAAAAAACATTTATATAGCTTAGCAGTGCCAAAGTTTGTTGTATATTGCCAGTGTTATCATAAATGTGTGCTTATATGTGTCTAGGCCATGTAGTGTCAAAATCGTACTTGCTGGGTATAATTTGAATTTTAGGCAGGAGTGCAGTCAAAATTTGCCCCAATTTGGACTTTTAGTCTTAAATTTTAAATTTAAATTTCCTACAGTGTCAATCCAGACTGAAACTATATCTTAAATCACTTCATGTACAACTTAGTGCAAGTTGACTCATTTTAGACATTCCAAGGAAGGAAATAATTGGTCAATGAGAGAAAATACTGTCTTTGAAGAAATGCTGAATTTATTAAATTTTGAATCTTTTGATACTTTTGTTGAACAGCTGCTACTGGACAGATATCTTTTATTTCCACTTACAGTTACTTCTGATACCAGAAATGAAGTATTATTAGCTAACCCTAAGATACGACTGCTCTCTTAGAGTGCAAGAATGGGTTCACTAGATTTTAGCAAGCAATCTGGCAAAATTCTCTTCTATAATAAATGTGTTAGGTAGAATCACAGGTGAATGAAAAATCATGCATGAGCATTCCATTTTCTGGCATGGGTCTTTGATATTCTTATTTTAGGGAAAAATAAAATGGCATGCAACATGCTTGTTGATTCTACAGGAGGCACACACAGGAAAGAAGAGTAACAAGTAGAAATACAAATGTTACTGAACACATTAAACCTAGCTATGCTAAACAGGAAATCCTACTAGCTGGCTAAACCAAATTTCATGTTGCGACAGAAGAGAATGACTTCTTATGAATTTATATGAAATGAATCCAGGGACTCTGGTCGCTGTAGACTCGGTGTGATATAGCTGTTTAAAAATGGCATGACTAGGACAACACAAATGAAGAGAGTCTGCATAAATGAACACTGTGACCCTGCTTTGATGGGCGTAACAAGGCCCAGTTGCTTCACTTTATAAATACCTCTTGCATTTATTTATGTGCCAGTCTGTCAGGGATATGAGTCTAGCTGGGCTTTGGGCTGTCACTGAATGCTGAGGGGTCCCAGGCGAGACCGCAGGACAAGCTGGTGGCAGCATGATGGTGAGCATTAGAACAGATGAGCAGCAATAAGGACATCATTGGCTAGACTGAAATATTCCTCTCCTTTCAGAGATCCATCCCAGTGGATGGCTGCTCCCAGATAATCCACACTTGTACTCCCAGTTGACAAGGAAAGGCACAGAAAACATCTGCAACTTGATGCTTCAGTCTACCCTTAAAGGCACACCTTTATTTAAGAAATAGGACATCCAAATAAAGCACTGTTTCTCAGCGCTGAGTTTTTAAGTCTTGTCAACAACTCTCCTCAAAAAGAATATAAACAGGTTCACCCTAAAACCCAGTGGCTAACACCCCTCAATACTACAACAAATTAGGACTTGGTATCTAAGTCTCAGCAAAAAGCCAACCCCAAAGACCTTACTTTTAGTTCTCATCAGTTTATACGTTCTCAGCCTCTTTCAGACTTTATACCTAATATAGCCCTTCATTCCCCGCCACTATTTAGAGCTAAAACTTTCTCTCCACTCAATCCAACAATAATAGACAAGCCAAACAACATACAAATTTATACTTAAATTATACATTGGATAACACTGAACCTTACTGGAACAGAGTTTCTATCATTATATAACACTCCCACTTGACAGGTTGCCAAATCTAGAAGTGGTTGGAAAAGCAGATTGTTAGAAATAGCTTCACATACAAAGTTCAGTTTTCTTTGATCTGGCCATTATTAGCAATCTCTCCTCTTTTCTCTACAGAAACAATCTCAACTCTCATTTTGTACTTTTGTGGCTCTAGAGAAGCAGAAAAGACCTTCTCTTGAGTTCTCAACTTCAGGAGGACATGACCTCTTCGGGGACAACCCGGTTTCATCTCCAGGTTAGGTTTCCACTGAGGCACAGGGTCATGGATTATTTTACAGACTCAACTGAGCACGTTGGTCACAAGGGCTCTCCCTCAACAGTCAGAGATGTTTCTCCTGCAGGTGCACAGGTAGGGGCTGTATCTGCCCAATATCCTCATGACCAAATCTGATACTCTAACTTCACTATTGGTTTTTGTTTTTAAGTGATGGCACAAACCTTTCGTTGCTTATATTGGAGCACTTGGTAATAGAAACACAGAAACTGTGTGCTAACATGAACTGCAGTTTAATATGTTTGAAGAAAGCGATCACATTACCTTATAGTGAATTTCTAATATGAATTATTATTGGATGTTAACTTTTTGTGTTAGGGTTGGAGGGTAAGAATTATTATTATTTTTTTTTTTTACATTGAGAGGAAGCAAAAGATATAGATGATTCAAAAAGTGAACGACTGTCATATTTGGATTTTTTCATTTGTGTGTGTGTGTGTCGCACGTATGTTTTCGAGACAGGGTCTCACTATGGAGTTCAGACTGGCCTGGACTCACTGTACAGGCCAGGTTTGTCTCAAATTTACAGTGATTCTCCTGCCTCAGCCTCCCAAGTGCTGAGATTACAGACATGTGCCACAATGCCCACATGACTGCTTTTTTTTTTTTTTGTCTTTTTCCTTTTTATTGGTACCGGGGATCGAACTCATGACTGCCTGCTTGCAAGGCAGGCGCTTATGCAGCTGAGCTAAACCTCCAGCCCCTCAACTGCTTTTCTTTTAGGAATGGTTAGTTCTAAGTGCACACACAAGCAGCTAGCAGGAGTCAGAGTCAGGATCCAACAACTCAGAGAATTTTGAGGTACACGCTCTTAAGATTATATCACATTTTTTGTTGTCTCACTACTAAAGTTGTGAGAGTGTGCTGGGCAGACTACTTCATTTCTATGGGCCTGAGTTTTTATTTTATAAACAGGAAGACTTGTTTTTAAGTACTTTTATAGCCTGGAAGTATGCTAAATCTAGAGAGGGTATATTAGTCAAAAATATCTATTGATTTTTTTATGTGCCAGCCATCATGCTTAGTGCCATTTCTGTGCATAACAAACAGAATCCTGGTGGAAGGAAATATTTAATGACTCATTTACATGGTGAAATACGAAGGGAGACAATGTTAACGGTGCATCTTTCTCATAGTATCAGGATGTGCCTCCAGCAGCTGAAACCTGTCCTTGGAGCTGCCTCGTTTACTTCATTTCAGAGATAAGATGTAGAGATCATCTACCCTTAATATGTCTTTTCATATTACATTGAGTCTTTTCACTGAGATTCTCAACTTTACAATTTGATCATGCCTAAGATAATGTCCACTTTATAACTCAACACCCACAGAAAAATTTTAAAACTTCCATCTGTAAATTACCATCATCTTTTAAAAGTCTTTTTCCCTCATTATGAGTTTTGGTACAGACATTAGGTGTAACTAAAATTGCTGATCTTTCTGTATTCTGTTATAGTTTATAGTAGAAAAGAACTTCAGAACTGGTAAGTCACCCACACAGTTTACCATTCCAAATGTTACAATTTTTTTTTTTGCAGTAGCTCATGATTTAAAGAGTAAAGTCTATTGACTTTGAGGAAACAGAGCCACAGGAGCTAAGCACACTGTATTTCTAACCAATATTTTCATCACATTTTCTAGCAGGTTGGACCAATCTTATCATCACTTGCTGTATAGCAGCACGGGGAGTCCAATGACATTTCAGGTTATTTTTTATGTGGATAACTGCTGCTCCTCACTTTGGTTACAGGCAGAAAAAATTTGAATCATGACCCACAAAAATTTCAGTCACTCTGTTCCATCTTTAGAAAATTTGGAATTAGAATGTTTACTTCACACAGCTATAATTTAATATACTTAGATATTTTTAAGGCTGCTATGTGATAAATATATTATTTACATAAAAAAATGACTGGAAAAGACAGTCTGAATTAAGTACCATGAATTATGGAATGTTCGTGAAAAAAACATCTAATATTTTAAAATTACAGATTAACTCTAGGCCCAGACAATAATGTCCCAAAAATGGATTATAGGGTCTTAATGATCATGCAAAAATGACCTGTATGTACATCAGTTTACATGAAGTGAATGTTTTAAAAAGGTTTCTTTGTGTAATTATTTATGTCAGCATTTTGCTTCAACAATCTAGCTTTCAATATCATCGAAGACAACCTATACACTCACTGAACTATCTCAATTTCTAAAATGGTTGCATCTGTTACAATTAAAACATAATTCAGATTTATCCCTATTGTGTGTTGTGTTCATGATAGTCCCCTCTTTCCAAAATTCATTCTGTTTTTCTATCATCCTGTACCTTACAGAAGGGTATCACCTCTTCATTATTGTGTTCATTATGTACACATTTTAAGGGCCCATTTTATTCTGGGTATCGCTTAAGTCAGAACCTTTTTACCCTTGCTGTTGCCCTCTCCCTGAACTCTATGCTTTGTAAAGTGAAACACTAACCATTGTGCTCTGGGAAGAGAATTATGTTTCTGCCTTAGCCTCAATGTGCATTTGGGCAAGAGACATGGGTATGAGAGGACATGGTCCTCTTGATATTATACGGGACAAAAGCAGTTTAAGCATAGTGACACAGGGACTAATATTGTTGCTTTGTTTCATAACGACAATCAACACTATTTATGTGCCACTGGCACATAAATAGGTGGAAGGATGGCATATCGTAGTTGAAGAAAAACCACTTCTTACATTATACACAAATGCATAAACATAAACACACACATACACAGAGTTTGTATTCTCTGCCCAATAGTCTTACTTGCTACTAGATACACTTATTTTCTTGGTGGGATACCAACATTTAGATGGCAGTGTTAAGAACTCAAAGAAAAACAATGTCATTTTTGTTTAAATTTATTATTCGGTCCTGTCTTTTTCTTAGCCAAAGCATTTAGGAATATGTTAAACGAAATGCACTCTTTAAATATGTACTACATCTGTTCATTGCACGTAAGGTCTAGTTTAATATGTATGTATCCTATAGATACACACTAGTAGGGGATTTTCTCAGTTCTGTTCACTGCTCACTTTCAGCTCTTAATATTATTTAGAACATAATACTTAGAAAATTAAAATAAAGATGTCCTCCTTTATAGAAATGCAGAATAGCTGTCATTGCAAAGGAGATTATTGGGGTAAAGAGGCAAAGCAGCTTGGAGATTTCCTTCATTTGCACATTAAATTCCATGTTTTGGCTCTCACTATGCTGTGTGGGGCCTTTTTTCAGGTACTTTTTGGACACCATGGACGTGACATCATGCCTGGCCACGTACAGTGTTTTCCAGCCTATGCCACTCATGGGATCGCTGGATGACTGACAGCTGGTGGATGCTGAGGTTGGTTGAACTGACATTTTGGCATTTGGAAGGATGACTTTGTTTGAAGTGTTTTAAATGCTAAAACATAGTATTTAAGAAATTAAACTGGGCATGGTCATACTCGCCTGTAATCCCAGCATTCTGGGAGGCACAGACATGAAGATCATAAATTGGAGCCCAACATGGACATTAGCAATTTAGCAAGATTCCATCTCAAAATAAAGCATTTAGAGAGGGTCTTTGAATTTGAGGGTCTGATGTTTTTCAATTCTTTATATGTTCTGGATATAAATCCTTTGAGGGTTTTCTTTTCACTTTGTTGGTGATTTTTTTTGAAGTGCAAAAACTTTTTAGTAATATGATATCCCAGTTGTTGATTCTTTGAAGTATTTCCTGTGTGGTTTGCATTTTATTCATGAGTTCTCTGCCTATCCCTATGTCTCCAAGGTTTCTACCTACCTTGTCCTCCAGTAGATTTAGTGTTTCTGTTTTAATATTTAGGTCCTTGATCCATTTTGACTTTAATTTAGTGTATGGTTGATAGGCATGGGTCTATTTTCAGTCTTCGGCATGTGGACAGCCAATTCTTTCAACACCATTTATTAAAGAGGCTATCTCTTTTTCCAGTGAGAATGTTTAGCCTCTTTGTCAAATATAAGGTGGCTGAATGTCATTGTAGTAGTGTTTGCATCTTCTAGTCAGTTCCATTGATCCTCAGGTCAATTTCTTTGCCAGTAGCATGCTGATTTTATTACTGTGGCTTTGTAGTATAATTTCAAGTCAGGAGTTGAGATGCCTTCTGTCTTGCCTTTGTTGCCCAGAATTGCCTTTGCTATTCTAGGTTTCTTCTGTTTCCAAATAAATTTTAGGAATATTTTCTCTAGATCTGTGAGGTATGTTGATGGTATTTTGATTGGGAAAGGTAGACCTTGAGAAGAACTTGGATCTAGCCAGGTGACCCCCAGCACCATAACATTCCTTTCCTCACGTGAGCAACCACATTCTAGGATCCACGTGAATGATTCTTTTCCTTTCTTTTTGATAGTTTCACTGGATCTATAGCTTCTGAAAGCATAGTTACATTAGTTGTTTTAATCTTCATCATGATGTCATTATGCTGCACATAGTCATATTGCTAAGGTTCATTTATATTTTTGGCCATTTCTGTGGTGCATTCATTTTACTTCCTGCTATTACACTTTGTTTTATGCATATTATATATTTTACATATCTGCCTTCCTGTGTAGGGGAATTTGGGTTCTGGATTTTTGCCGTTTTCAATACTGTTCCCATGAATCTTTATATACATGTTCCTTATTTCTTTAACTTATTAATTATCAGAGAAATGATACAAACAGCCTTTATCTTAAAAGTGTCCTTTCTATGTACTGGAATTGTTCTATGATTATGTACGCATATATTACTTCACTTTAGCCTCACAATGAACAAACGAGATAAATACTGTTGTCATTTTATCTCATTGTGAATAAAAACTAAAACATAGGAAGTTGTTGGTGTTCAACAGTAATAAAGTAGCTGAATCAAGCTCGAGAACCAGGCAATGTGGCTTCAGAGTTATGAAAAAATTATTCTACAAGGTACTTATTGGAGCTAAGAACCTGAAGCATTTCAACAGTCTGAAATGTATAACTTGGTCATTTAACAAAATTTGACTATAAGAGCCTCATAATTTGGGATGATCAGGGTATAGTATGCAATATTTAAAGTACTCATGGATATCACAACAATGTGAGAAACAAATTTTATATCAACTTCCTGTTTGTTTTTGTCAGAGACATGTTTCTCTGCAAATTATCTCAGTGACACTACCACAGTGTGTAATGCTGAAGGCATCATTGCATATTTGCCTGACCCAGTGGTGAGGTTCTCTGAATTTCACACAGACACCCTAAGGAGTATATGATTCTTGAACATAAGCTGTTCTAGATCCATAGAGTCCCCTTTGTGAGCCTAGGTTTCTTAGTCCAGTATTAAGGCACAAGCTGCTTTTTGGGTGGCCTTTGCAAAATCAGATGAGTTTTAGGCACATGTGACATGGTCTTTCTTCTGCAGAGAAGGAGAAGCTTCTGGATAATGAGCAAAGACCCTCAAAATCAGTAAAATAGCAACTGCAAAAGTGTGTGGAACTGTGGCAAGCACATTAAGCGTGACGTTCCTTACATTTGCATATATTATTCCACAATAACCCAAAGTTAAAATAAACAGGTCAAAGTACAGTGTCATGGACACATGCATTGTCATGGATACATGTAAACTCTAAAGATAGGAAGCATATATGCTTTTATTTGCTTCACAAGGGCTGAAGTCATTATGAGAACCACCTTGTGTGGCTCCGTTAAATTTTGTTCATTCTAATTCCGAATACTTCATCTCAAAGGGAAGAATGAGCCATCAGATGAGTGAGTCATATTTTGGTTATAATCACAGGAACACTTAAAAATGAAATCATTTCATTCAGCTGAACAAATCTTATAAAAAGTAAATTACTTCATATGCATAGGACTAGTTAGCTATTTTGAGTTTTCCTGGGATTATCTCATAGATTCTTTCCACTTACTGTTTTTCCTGCTCTCATTTTTTTTCCTTCCCTTCCTGGTATTTTAATAAAAAGGGAAAGGTGGGAAGAAATATGTGGCTTTAATGACCTTCCAGGCAAAGGGAAAAAAGTCCCACAAAATTTTATTGTATTAATAGTAAGCATCTTTCCAAGGTGCAAACAAAATAGTTTAAAGACATCTTAATCTTAGTTTTATCTTTGCTTTTGTAGTGTGCTGTTAGTCTGAATTAAGATATTATTTCTGAATCTCCAGTCTTTGTCTGTATTTACATCTATCTCTATGTGTGCATGAATGTGTGTATCTCTCTTTTCTTTTTCTCCATACAGATTTTCAATATATAGCAATATTAAAATATAATCCAGATATGGATTTTATATAAACTTAAATCCATTTTCTTTTACTAAAAGTTTCAGTTCAGCCCCTGTGAAACGGAAAGCTTTTAAATTTTTTGTTTTTAGTGAAAGGAAACTAAACTTACAATAAAGTATCTGAAGTTTTGCTGAAATAAAATGGTAGGCTTAGAAGAAAGACAGATCTTTCGTATTAGGGTACAGATCATTATAGTGACTTTTCCTCTAATTTGCCAAGTGTTTGCAATGTATTTTGTTGCTTTTCATTTGTACTATTGTTACTTTTAAAATTCAGTGAAAATAGCATATAAATAAATTATAACACATGCACACACATACCTTCCTATCTCTATGCTTAAAAGAATATATCCTGTGATAATACAGAAAACTGATATAGTCTTCATTAAACATAAATCTTTCTACTTCCTTTAGACCATTTGATCATCTCAACGTCCTATTTCTTTTCAAAGTTGAGTTCAGTCTCCTTATACGTCCTGCCACTTGCTGGGTCACCTAAACTAACATCATTGTAAGATTACTATGTGCACCACTCACTCAACAATGAAGCATAAACTGTCACAGCATTTCTGATGTTACTGTCCTTTCCTTTGACTTGGTGTATACATACACTTTCCTGCTACAGTACAAGTCCCTCAAGAGGAGAGACAGTCAAGTAAAACTTTTAGCCTTAGTTCCCTCATTGCTAAAATTCCCAATCCTAATTAGGATTAATGCTAAAATGAAGGAGCTAGACCTCTACGTTCTGTAATTCCAACATCGGTAACTCCTTTTCTCAACATTGAAGACCACTAGTATATTTGAGCTTTGCTTTTACTTAACATTCCCCATCTCAGAGATCCTGAAACTGAAATATAAGATGCAGGTTGCTCTTTCATCTTGAGGGTTGCTGGCTGTGGGTATTTTGTTGATACATAAAATAACAGCATGATAGTGGCTAAAGGCACAAAGTATTCACACGAATACCAAGCTTAGAGTGTTCAAACTTATTACTTATATGACTCAGACCTTAGACAAGGGGGAATTGTCCTCTAGTCAATTGTGTCTGCTTCTCAAGTTTTATATTAGGTTTAGATTTATCCCAGATTTTTAGAATGGATTGTGTTTTTGCCCTAGATTTACCACTGAAGTTCTTCTCTGCCCTATAATGCCTACATGTGATTTATGGTCATTAGACTCTACCATTGAGGTGAATTTTGTTTTTGGTTTTGTTTTCCGCGTGAATTCCACAGATTCTCTCATCAAGTGGAAGCCCCTGCCTTAGCAGGTAGAGAACTTGAGTCATGCAGCAGTGGTGTTACTGATGGCTAACAGCCCATCTGCTGCCCATGCTGCATGGGGGAGAGTGAGCACACCTCCAGCGAAGGTCAGGGAGGCCGGGCTCCCTGGTGAGCACTAGTGTGTCTTCCTAGGTGCAAAACTGAGCCAAAGCTCTTAGTAAATTACAAATGAATACACCCCAAGCATAGCAAGAATCCTACTGATGAGATATTTGGAATCATTTTGGAAGCAATGCAATTGTCTTCTGCAAGTAAACAACATAGTGACAGTGTAACATATCTGAGCAATGCTTTAATACAGATATTTAGTTTCTCAAGTTCTCAGTAAGAGAAATTTGCCAAAATTTATAGACGTGCTTGTTTCTGTTAAAATGGGACTTAGCTCTACAGCACCACTCAAGTGAATTCTGAGTCAAAGTGCTTACAAACATTGCAGAGCAGGGCAGGTATTTGGGGGTTTGACTACCTTCTTTTCAGGTTTTCACTTCTCATCATCATTTTTGCAGTGTTTTCATCGCATTGCAGTATGCTTTATGTTCCTCCCAATAAACATTCTCAGTGGATGTTGGGGTTAGGGAATCATACTCAGGCAATCACAGATTGAGAAGTGAATATGCTTGGAAAAAGGCTATTTTAACCAAAATTACAGCTATTTCAAGATTCTTAAATTTACTTCCAAAACCCTGAGCTGCTCTCTGCATGCCTGACTTGGCAGGTGAAGTACTTATTTCCATACCCACTTCCACTTTGATGTCCAGTGAACACATCCCGAGGGCCTCTCGGTCCACACCACGTGACTCTCTCTGTAAAAAGCATGCTCACTCTCCAGCCCCAATAAACAGAAGTCACATTTCACTCATACTTGCTCCTACCACCCACATTTATGAGCACATCTTTGCCTTCAGCCTATGTTCAAACCTCAAACGTGCCTCATTACCTTCTGTGACTACCTTGTACTTCTTGTACATCGTAACTATTTCAGTGACCTTGCAAAGTATTCAGAGTGAAGCTCTTTACAGTTGAGAGAGATCACGGAGTCTCTATTTGAAGCCTTCTGTTAGCCTCCATCTCTCATCCTTGCCATGGTCTGCAGGGGCCCTTTTGTCCTGGATACTCACTGTCTGCAGGCTCAGGGTTACGGCTCTCTCTCCTTTGCCCTCTCCGCCCCAGTCCCCTGCTCCACTTCATTGGATGTGCAATGCAACCCTTTCCCAGGGTCTTTGCTTCTGCCTGGAGCACGTACTCTGGCTACATTCTTAGCCCTGTCCTTAATGCTCCAGCTCAACTCTCAAATGTTATCTTGTGAGAGAGCTCTTCCCTCTCCACTTCATATAAAATACCTTTATTCTTTAGAATCTTTTTCTGCAGAAGACTGTTGCCACATCTCCTCTTTTATCATTGTTTATTATCTTTTTCCCACCACAAGAGCAGGAATTTCCATCAAGAGAATGTGATTCAGAGACAGGAAATTCAGTCATGATGGAACCGACGGGTCAGCCCACATACTGGCACTGGGTGTCTCCACACGGGGTAGTCAGGGGAAGGAATGAGTATTACAAATTGCTAAAATCAAGATTTCTTTTTCTTTTAGGAAGCATAAAGAGACTGTCAACTTTATGACTTCAGCAACTGTGGAAATACTGCTGTAATAAACAAGATTGCCAGAAAAAAGCAGCAGGAGTGAGACAGCTGAGAGATCACAGTGCCTCACAGTTTGGTCAACAGAAACTCAATCTTCTTTTAGCTTCCCCATGATCATTATTTGGCAGCACTGCATGGATTGATTTTTGCTCCATGTCCACACTGAACACAATTATTTACCATTGTTTTCTTAGATGAAATCAGACAAACATCATGATCTAACTTTGTACTCTGATTATGGGCATTAATTCCAAACAATACAGAATAAATTCAGCAGAGTTGTACTCCTGGTCTTCATTTTAAATTCTATAAATGGGAAAAAATAGCATCCACTTATCCTTAAGTATAACGAAAACATTACTTTCTTGGGGGTATTTCTCATTATTTAATTGCATGTATGGTTTATTTTCTCATGTCTTGCATTCGATTTCCTTGGGTTTTATTAAAGCTATGAATGATGAAGTATTGACCTTGTCAAAATAACGTATTTGCATTTTAAAATGTTTTCTATATAATTTTTTCAAAAGAAAAAAAAAAGGATTGCACCACATAATGAACAAACTACAGAGCTGGAGTAGAGGATATTTTGAAGCTCCTTGAAGTGAGCTTCAAATGTACTGCTGGGTTCCAGTTGGCCCTCTAACTTACACTTGGTATATATCTAGATTCAATTTGAATTTTATGAATACATTAAGTTGACATCAGGTATAAGATGTCATTGCACAAGTGTAATGCTTAGCTATCTTTAAATATTCTTTTATCTTTATTTAAATATTCTTTAGGTCTCTTTTGCCCCTTCAGCACACAAATCCTGTAATCTGAAATTTGTGCAGAAATACGTTTTGCAAAAGCAAATAAGTAATATAATCTACATAAATATCCCTAATCATTTTAAAGTGTCACTTAAGGCATTTTCTTTTTTTTTTTTTTTTTTTTTTTTGTCTTTTTGTGGTTTTTATCGGTACCAGGGATCGAACTCACAACTGCCTGCTTGCAAGGCAGGCGCTTATGCCGCTGAGCTAAACCCCCAGCCCCTTAAGGCATTTTCAAAATATATGATTCTATAAAACAACAGCAAACTGTTTTATAGAACTGTAACTTAATGGGTTGTAAATCACTTTGTGGTCAGAAAACTACAATATTTTCATGACAGGTTTTAGGGCATATAAAGATTTTCTACTACTTGTATGTTGATTTGTATGCAAATAATAAAGTTTTATTTAATTAATCATCAACTCTATAACTATCATGATTAGTTTAGATAGAGATTAATGTTATGAGTAAAAGCAGATGCTGTTAATATTTATGTTTGCATAACATGGAATAAAATGGGATTATTCCAGGCAATAGGACAAGAAAGGAATAATAACAAAATTCTTTTTATATTAACATTAATTTAGTGTTTGGTAATTTATAGATTTTCTTTTTGGTCTTTTTGAGACAGGGTCTCACTATGCAGTTCAGGCTGGCCTTGAGCTCACTTTGTAGTCCAGGCTGGTCTCAAACTTACAACAATCCTCCTGCCTCAGCCTCCCAAGTGCTGAGATTACAGGCATGTTCCACCACGCCTGGAAATTTATAGGTTTTTTTTTTGTTTGAAATATCTCTGAACTCTAATAAAAAGATAACAAAATTGGGGAAAGAGTAAAAAAGGCTAGTGAAATAGATATAACAAAAAACTTATCAGCTTAAAAAAATTAATTCAGCCTCTGATGATTGAGACTGAAGAAAAATATGACTCTGGATTTAAAAATCAGAAAAAGCACTGTTAAAATTAACTGCATGTTTTTTTAGGCCATAATATATCAGATTAAAAGATAGTATATTGCGTTTCAAACAGTTATGAGAAACTAGATCAGAAAATTTCTGAAACTCAATGATTTGAAATCTGACTGAAAATGTAGATAAAATCTGAGTCCTAAGAGGCATGAGTGATAGCTCTATCGATGTTTCCTTCCGTCGATGTAGACAGGGACAGATGTTTCCACAATAGAGGTCTTTAAGACAGAGAGTATATAAAAGGAAATACTAAAAGTTTAGTAGATAAATCACATTCTAACTATCCCACAAATGTTGGACCATGTGAAAAGGCTGCTATTGTCATAGTGAGCCTTCCTGCATGGATGTCCTGGGATGCTACCCTTGGATGACACTGTGCAGACCCTCAGCTCGGTCACTTTTCTTTAGCCAGCTCAGAATGAAGGTCCCCTTTTGTACAGCACCACACAGTAAGAGCCCTATAAGAAACAGACATACTTCCTATATCATGAGAGGATTTCATAGAAAAAAATATTTCAGAATAAATGTTTATGATCTAGATGACAAGCTGTTTTGAGAAATACAGAGTCACCTGCTGCTTTTGATTTCCAGAGAGAAATGAGAGAGATGTACCATGATGCCTACTGCTGGGCCAGGCTGGTGCAGAGGCTAGAGCACTGGTGTTCGGACCAATCCAAGTTGGTGAAAAGTCCATCTCCCATATAAACATGTATGCCTTCAGAAGGTTACCTATCCTTTCCCTGAACCTTCTTGAGTTCGTCTTCTATCAAGCAATAAGGGGGACAAAAGCGCCAAACTTCTAGGGATGTTGAAATGCAAGAGATTTATGTAGAGAGAGCACCCAGAAGTGGCCCTGAGACACAGTGCCAAAATACTACGGCAACTGCTGTTAACGAGCGAATTGTTTCCTTGGTGTTGATTTATGAACAATGGCTAAATCATTTCAAATATGGATCCCTTCCTTGTTCATTCATACAAATGAATCTTCCAGTCAGGTTTTCTCTCTCTATAAACATTGTTTTAAAAGAGCAGACTAAATCTTTGTTTGAAGAGATGAATTATTCTACAGCCATATTGCACAGATGGCTGAAAAAATATGTGTTGATTGCACTTTCATTTGGTGCATTGAGGTTCCAAGAGCAGCAGCTTCCCGGGCCTGAGTGGGAGCTGGCTTTGATTGATTGGTCTCCCCAGCACACCAGACTGTTGGGGGCAGATAAGAATCCCGCAGGGGGAAAACCTCAGGGAAAGCGAGGCTGCTGGGATGCAGTCCACTCCTGTGTGACAGATGTCCTTTAATATGAAAGAGGTGGGGAACAGCAGGCCTCAAAGGGAATCAGCGCGTAGCAACCAGATGATTCCAACTACAAGTAATATTTAAATAAGATTTGATTTTTAACAACAAAAATGACAACATTTTAGTCTCGTTCATAATGAATGGCTCACCTTAATGTTCATTTTTTTCTGCAGTGGAATAAAATATAAGTTCATTGTATTTTCAGGTTACTAAAAAGTTTTACAGGTCAAGCTTATCTCAGGAGTTACATATACTGACACTCAGCTACATAAATTATTCCCTGGGGATAATCTTCAGTGAGTTGCTAGGAGATGACCAGTTTATATTTTCCTTTGATTATAGGGCATAAACATTCCACTGTCAAAATACCAAAAGAAGAAAAAAAGAAGAAGAATGATTGCCTAACATTTTTTTCCTGTTACTCACAGTGAGATATCAGAAACCAGAATGTTTTGCACCACAGGAAGGGACCCAGGGAGCCGTGAGTATCTCTGTGAGAATTATAAGGAAGAATTACTACAGGAGCAAGGCCAATATCCTTCAGCAGTGGCTCAATGTTCAACACACAGTATGTGTTTAATAAAATTAAGTTATGCTTTTTCATAATTACATATAGTTTGATGGGTGGCTTACTTCAAAATACCGTAAGTGCTTACACATACATGTGGAAGCCTTATACAGGTGAAGAGAGATAAATCATCACTAACTGAAGAATGTGTATAGGTCAACTCTCTGGACTGAGCTAAAATAGAAAGAGATATGATCCTTGTTTTCCCAGAGCAGGGTTGTCATGCTGCCTCCTTTATACATAGTTATGAGATACGTAATTCTTTTCCTGTGATAGCCAATATAGTGTGGTGACTAAAAGTGACAATTTAGGTTTTAATTAGAGCTCTATGAACTCTGTTACTTGCTAGGTATATAATTCAGAATAAATTAATTATATGCTTTGTGTCTCAGTTTCTATTATTATTAATAGACTAAAATCTATGTTAGGATGGAATGAAACTATATATGTCACAAAACTGAAAAAGTTTTCCTAAAATCTGGTCTTGTGAGTGGTTGATTAGCACTTTGTCTCAGTGATAGTGAATGTATTTCCTGTACAAGTGCTTTTAATTTCCCAAAATTTGGTACTTACTGAGCACGTGGTACATGCAGACTAAATGGGTTTATCTACTCAAGTCTTATATGGTCTTGAAGATCAAGCATTTCACTGTGAGTGGGAGGGTCTTGTATTTGGGTGACTACCTGGATGATGTCTACGTATCTTTCTACTTTTGTTGATTTTTGTTTCCTAGTTACAAACTGAGAGAGTCAGATATTTGGGTAATGTATCTATCCTCACTGCTTTTTTAAATAACTCATCTTTATAAGAGCAGCTATAATATCTATGTCCTATAATTTCCTTCACAGGTTGGCTCTAAGCAGGCCTGCCATGACCCAGTTAGAATCAGGTATGTTTCTACAGATGAATCATACAATCTACAAAGGAATTATCAGGTGCCGTTAAGTAGCAAATGTGGTCAATGAGTCTCAAGTTGAATTTGGTTTTCAAAAGATCAGTTTGTATGCTGCCTGTTATATAAAATTACTTAATATGATCATATTAGTTTGGGAACTTACAAACTTGTGCTGGGTGAGGTCCTCAAGCAGTTGCTTAGCATGTTTGGGGCTTTGGGCTCAATCCCCAGCACCACACTAAAAAAGACAACTACTTTGAAAAATCATTTTCTTAAAGAGATTACTAAGGAAAAGTCAGGCTTTCTGGCTTTCTGGCATGAAGAAGTATAGGTATGCCTCACAGCTCTGAACTAAAACTAGAAACCTCCTTGAACCATGAAGAAAGCAGACTTGCCAGTATTATTTTTACAGACACTCTCAAATCAGCATGAACTTTACACCATAATTAATTATTAAATGTGATCCAGGCTAGAACAACCAATACTCACACAATTCATTTTTTTCTCTCTCTCTGGCATTTGGTTATCAGTTATGTGGTGTATAGAGTAACACTTTTAAGGATCAGTTTCTGCAGCTCCATCTCTCACCTTGCGTTTTAATGTAAATAAACTGAGTGAGGCAGGAAAAAAGGCAAAGGATACAGTGCCATGTTCCAGGAACATTTGTCTTGATATTTTAGTGACAAGCTTAATCAAATTAATTATATTTGGCTCTGACTAGCTTAACATAAGGTGTTAGTTTTGAGCTGCAAATGAGTAACTCTTGACAAGGTGAGAAGTCTTCCTTTGCTGAAATCATCCAAGAAGCATTTCTAGTCTACCTTTGAAAACAAAAGCCCTCGTAATATGCAGTAAGAATTCTCATACAGACCTAGGTCCTGCAGCAGAGAGAGCTCCTGCTCTTTACTTACCCAATCGCTTCTTCTTGCAATATTAATAAAAAGGTTTAGCTGTGAACACGACTTTAACCAGACCAAAATTATATTTTTCAGTTTTCCTTACTTTGTGACCAAATTTTAGCCTGCAGAGGTGACAGAATAAGATGTGCACCCTCTAAGAAGCCAGTCTTAACGTAAAGGGGAAGGCCACTTTCCTCCATCGCCTTTCTTCCTGTTGTCATCTGAAATGTAGACCTCATATTAGGATCGAGAGTGGGATCTTGACCACAAGAGAACCTTGAGCGAGGAAGGTGGAGCAAAACAAGCCAAGACCGGCAATTGGAAGGCCGAGGCAGGAGGGTTTCTGGGAGTTCGAGGCCAGTCTGAACTACAAGCAAAAATCTGTCCCAAGAAACCAAAAAAAATTTTTTTTTAAAAAGAGGAAGGAGTCAAGGTCCCTGATACTTGAACTGTCTCACTGCTTTGCACTATCAATTTTTTCAACTTCATGTGCAAGAGATCTCTTTTGTTTAATCCTTTATTACTTTGTACCTCTGGCAGCAGCTGAATTTTGATCCCAATAAATGTATCACAGCTCTGGAATTCAGAAATTTGTAATAATTCTATTAAACTTATATCTATATTACATTATAAGGATAAATTTAAATTTTATATGAAATTATAATTTTATACTAAACCAGCATTTTTCTTGTAACATAGATTGGTTGAAATGTTGGCTATTGAACACGTTTCTGGTGGCCCTGTGGCCCAATAGGAGGTGCCCAGGAAGCATACTGTATTGCTTTCCCTTTGTAGTCGCAGCCGCTTTACCTGCACCATTCAAAGGCTTTATAACCCTCCCCTCCCTGCCTCCCTTCCTCCCTCTCCCTCTCTCTTCCCCTTCCTCCCTTTACTTTTCCTTTCTATTTTCATTAGACTGACTAAACGTTCCTAGAGGACAAATTTATGCCCATTATTTTCTACCCTATAGACTTTGCATGGTGTCCTAACCTAAAAAGTTCTCAATTAACCGTGTTAAAGGAATACTTAAAAGATATACATGGAGCTGATAAATTTTTAACATTACCATGTGTTTAACTGAATCCCTGAAATGAGTCATTTGCAAACAAGTGACGAAATTAGATACAAGACCTTGAGATCAGTAATTGTGTTTTTGCCATAAATTAATATGGGCAAGGTGAAAGCTTCTATACATTTTAAAAAAGCTTTTATTTTGCCAATGCAAGGTATTATCTTGGCAATTAAAAAAATCAGAAAACCATTCCATGTGTGGGAGAGGCTGTCTAATTCCACTGTCCTGCTCCTTTAATCCATTTTATGTGAAAACTATGCTGGGTGCCAGAGGTCATTTTGCTTATTAAATTTTAAATTCTGAGATGTTGAGAGCATACTTACTGAATATTTTGAGAGATATTTACATATGAAGGAATGAAGTGCTATTTTTTTTTTCACAGTGGAGTTGTTAGAGCCCATCTTTTGAAGTACGGCAATTTGGGATAAGTGATATGGAACCAGAGCCTTAAAATTTAAGAAAGACGCCAGCCATGTCTCAATTAGTTATCCACACAACTGAGACACACCACTTTGTCTCCTAGCGCTTCCCCCTCCTCGGCTTTGCCATGGGAATGATTCTAAATCTCTTGGTTAGCCTGCCTTAGAGGATTGTCAAGAGGATAATGTGACAGAAAGTTGTAACAATGTCAAAGTACAACCATGAACAAAAACTACTACCATGAAGGTATAACTTGCTAATTCCTTTTGTTCTCCTCCTCCTCCTCTACTACGACAGATATGGATGCTTGATCTGGTATCCATTAGACAAGAGTACCATAGTGATCGGATGCATCTTTACCCAATTTCCTGGAAGACAGACAGAGCAGGTATCAGGGAAGCCTTTGAAGCTCAGGTAAGCAAATTTTTTGAAATAGGCAATAAAAGTCGATCCCCTTCCCTCTTTTTGTCACTAATTCTTTTTCTTTCTTTCTAGACAGGGCTTCACTATGCGGTCCAGGGTGGTCCTGAGCTCGCTGGATAGCCCAGGCTGACCTCGAATTCTCAGCCATCCTCCTGCTCCTGCCTCAGCCTCCAAGTGCTGGGATTACAGGCATGTGCCACCGCAATTAGCTTGTCCCTTGTAATTGGAAGTTTTATCTGGATGTGAAATACAGATGGGGTTAGAAGCCAAAAATGATGGGAAACAACTTTTTTTTAGTATAACAAGACAATAAACCCTAGACCACAAGGTCAAAGAAGCCAATGATTTTGCTGTAAAGTAGAAGAAAATACCCAGGTCTTTCTGCATAGTAAAGCTGATTCTGCTGTAACCTACATTATGAAGGAGAAAACAAAAGCTGTTTTAGGAAACTATAAATCACTTGAGGAATGGCCTTGTGCCAGAAAACTGAGGTCTTTCTCTTAGAAATTACAGACTTTTGTTCCTTATAATTAGGCTTTTTTGCTCAACTTCCAAATAACTTAGAGAAAATGATCATGTAAGATTATAATTTTTCTTCAAAACAACCTATGCAGTGTGCAATAAAATTTTGAAAGAAAAAAAAATAAAAAGTTCCTTAGATTTTAGCCAAAAGAATAATGTAAGTCATTGATACTTGTTGCAGTATCGTGACTCCTGTAAAAAACGGTACAACAAATAGAATCTCAGAAAAATCCACAAAAATAAGTGAGATCATGTTATGGTCACGTTATATCACAGAGAAAGTGATGAAATAGCTATGATCACATATAAGCTTCATCTACTTATCTGGAAAAATCTGTCAGGCATGCATGGATTACCCACGAAACTCTAGCAAAATAAAAGTGCTCTTAATTCTTTGGTCTCAGAATCATTTTTCTGCCCTAATTAGCTGTGAAAAATTATATTTATTTTAAATTCATGCAGGTATTTAATTAGAAAAATAGCATTTGTAAAACTGTTTCTGCCATTTTTTTTCTAATGGAATTTAACTTGAAACACTTGCATTGCTGGCTTTCGCAGAAAGGTATTTGTAATGAATCTGTGTCTGGCATTTGACCGGTGATAAAAATAATAATTTGAAATGAATCATAAATCTGGGGAAGAACTTTGGGAATGCTTGGTGAGAAAATGGGGCTTGGACAGAACATAAAGATTCTCCTCTTTCAGTTTCACACCTCAGCCAAAGAGCTGTATCTCTTCTAACCTTTCATTAACGACTGGAGCCTTCATAAAATTGTCAACATTGAGCATCTACTAAGTAGAGGCATATGAGCTTTTCATATTGTCAACATGTTGTCCAAAATGTTGCCTACAGTGCCCAGAAAAATCACCAATTTTCTAATATCAGTATAATTTTATTTTATTTAATAGCTAAAGTGACCCAAAGTTGAATTTATATCATTACAGTGGAAAGAAAGAAAACATCTAAGAAATTAATAAACCCTGGCACCACTAAAGGTGCATTGTATGCTGGGTAAGGCTTTGGCCACAGAGGCAAGCACCTGAAATAACACAGATGCCTTCCTGCAGGGAGTGCAGTGGCAGCTTGACTGAAAACACGGACAGGATCCTTTGCTCTATCTTCCTTAAGATATTTGAAAATAATCTTCTGTTTTTGGAGAATAAGTGTCAATTTAGTGAGCTGAAACCCGGGTAACATATGTTAATAGAGTGATGTTTCCATGAGGATTATGAAAAATGAACGAGGCCTCAAGGGATGTAAAGAAAAGGTCAATGTACCAGTAAAAGTGTGTTCAAATCCCTAGCAAGAGAAGACATTGATCCGCTTTAAGCAGGAGTCTAGTCTTGGGCTACTCATTGCTTTTGAATAATGTCCTCTACAGACAACGTGTACAGAATCTGATGGCTTGAGAAAGAACATCTTGTCCACACAGACAATACAGCTCTTGGGGTTTTGGAATACTTATTTTTAAAGTGTGTATTTTTTGAGGTCTACTATCTCTGTAGAGTCAAGGGAAAAAATGTAGAGTTCATGGACACAGAATAAGACCTTGATCTTGTTTCAAGCCAAGGTTCTGGGTCATAAAGTTGTAAGAGAACAATTGCAGTATATTAATCCACAGACGACAGCATTGCAGCCGCATATTTTCAATCACTTTGCTAACCTTAAAATTCTTTATGCCACACAAAAGTACCCCAAAAGTAACAATTTTCAGAGTTTTCAGTATCCACTTGTTTTCACCTGATTCTCCAAAATATGTCAGTCTTTCTTCTGTATGCCAGATTCCTTACAGTTGAACAACAGGAAGGGCTTGGCAGGAACAATAAACCAGTGTTTCCTTGTTTAAACTCCCAAGTGGAGGTAAAAATCCAGAGGGCTTAGTATGAAAAAGATCTTATATGTGGCCTCTCTTTTTACTTCAGGTTTTGGTTGCATTTTAATTTTTTTGGATGATGTTTATGGGTCTTAGAAGGAAAAATATGTAACTTTAAGCTGTGCTGGGACAACTTTGGCATGCTTTTTAATGAACATTTTGGATTTTTTAATGGAAAGAGAATGAGAAAAGATAAAAGGACAAATAGCTAGTTAATGGTCTCCATAGATACCAGAAAGAGGCAGTTTATTTTCAATATTTTACTTATTTCCTATTATCATCCAAGTATGTTTCCAGTCCCAGTGGTTTTTGTGGGGACTAAAATGTCCCTTTGCTCTCCACCAGTACCCTCTGCTCCATGTTATCTAGGTTCCTTCCAGTGAGGAAAGAGATGCAGAGAAAACTCTGATTAGAACCTAGTACAAATGTCAGTTAAGAATTACTTTGCTGCTACCTCAGTGGGAACCACATGATCCCTCATACCCAGGTGGATATCAGTAGCGTACACACGAGTACAGGCTCATAAGTTTCCTGGATGCAAATACTCTAAAGGCCTGAGCTATTGTGGGGATCAGAATTGAGCCTACATTCAATATCAGAGCCTTTTTTTCCCAGAATGGATTGACTATTGATGCCAAATCTCTGCTGTTTATTCCTTTGTTTGCCAACTGTTCACTGCCTTCTTGATAGTGTTCTGTGACATTTGCAGAATTTGACTTCAAACGAAGTTCCTACTGAGTGAACTGATGATCAGATGGATGATTTGTCTTTCGGTACTTAAATCGGTGTATCTAACTTAACTGTCCATATTTCTTGTCATTTATCCTGTTGGGAGAGTTCAACCTAGCCTAATTAGATCATGCCCTTACTTGTTGGGGGTTCTCTGCTGCCTAAGAGGTTGATTTCTAAACAGTTACTGTGCCCTCAAGGCCATCTTATGATTTAACAGTGTGTCTCCCCAGTGTTTCCTCCACCACTTCCCACAGTTCAACCCTGCCTGCCTGCTCTTCTTGAAATTCAACATGGACTTTCAGCTGTTTCCCAAAATCTGAATATAGAATTTGTTTAAACTTTTTATTTACTCAAGTTCTACCTATCTGTCAATGTTTTGTTCTCCATGAACTAATCCTCTATACTTTTGTGTTTCAGAAACACTTTCCTTGAGCCATGCTAGAATACTTACTTCTTTCATGTTTGTCTGTTTCTCTAACCCTGATTTCTGTAAGACTAAGGTCAACCTGGTTTTCATTGTTAATTTCTTACTGCTTAACAAGTTCAACGTCTTGTAAATCTTGACGCACTCAGTGCAATTAAGAGAAAAAGGAGGATTAGAGGGATGGCTCAGTGGTGGAGCATTTGCTTAGTATGCTGGGTTCAGTCCCCAGCACTGCAAATAACAGCAGCAGCAATAAATAATACTGTGTTATCAGTTAATATTTTAACAGAGAGTATGATTTATGTAGTTGCTGTAAATCATTGACTAAGTCTATAAAAAGACTCAGACAGATTTATTTTTGACCATTTCTCCTGTTAATTTTTACATTGAACTTCAGCCTTTTATGGATCAACAATTACAGGCCATGCAAGCATCCTCTAATCCAGTAGTTGGAAAAGGATGAGAATTTCCCCACAAAATTCTAGTTTGAAATTACTGCCAGTGCTGCTGAGCGCTCTAACTACTCACTTGTGTTCAACAGGGATCAGGCATTTGGCAAAGCTTTTTACTGCGGGTTTTCAGCACTACTGTATAGAATTCTATGCCAGTGAGTCAAATATACATGTCATCTAAGGCAGCATCCATAATTAACCAAAATTCTAACTTTGTGCTGGGACTTAGGCATTGATCACAAATATTAGCTTTTATTGTCATCTTCATCATTGTTTGCTATTGTTCATATGGTGCTTACTCTATTGCTATTAATTTCAAGCCCACTATTTTAATTCCATGCTACAAAATAACATATTGTAAGAATATTTAATTGGTTTTCATGGGCCTGTTTTCTCCCCCGTCTCAGTCCAAGTTGCATGAGATACAGCTCAATGGCACAGTGCTTGCTTGGCAAGTGCTACGTCTTAGGTTCAATTCCTGGTTTTATATATATATACCACCCAAAGGGTACAGTGACTTCATATTATCTACTAGTAAAATTCCAAACCAATCCAAATACAATATTGTCCTTACTTAATTTTCGTAGCATTATATTTCATTTTCCTTCTCATATTTTGTTCTTTCATGCTTTTTACTGCCCCTTATCAAAAAAATTTATATTTTAATCCTCATTTGAGTTTAGTCAGCACACCCTAACTGGGTACCTACCTTGTAGCTGATATAATTCTGGGCCTGGCGTGTCAAGTTCATGTAGGACCTAGCAATATAATTAGTAGGGTAAAACAGCTATGATTTTATGTCATCTTTTAAACAATGAGATGATTTTACCATTTGAATTACTCCCAATTATACTTAGAATTACACACATCATTATAAGTCCCTCTCAAAGTAGTCTCTCATAAATATCTCATGAAAATTAACACAGTTCCTTGTCTGCATCTTTTGTTTTGTCTTTATTTTATTTGTTTGTGTTTGATTGAGGGGAGGGGCCTATGTTTTATTTCTTTGTTCTTCATTGTACCTTTTACATAATAGTCTTTCAATAAATATTTGCCAGACTTTTTTGTTTGTTTTTGTCTTTTTCATTTTTATCGGTACCGGGGATCGAACTCACGACTGCCTGCTTGCAAGGCAGGCACTTATGCCACTGAGCTAAATCCCAGCCCCTGCCAGACTTTAAAAGAATATAATAATGGTATCTGAATTTAAATTTTTTAAAAAATAGAAAGTTTTCATGGGCCATGTTTTGAAAATCCTATTGCACAAAGATACTTAATCCACAAAGCTCCCTTAATTAATATGAGCTCTGTGCTACTTAAGCTGAACACATGATAGCTGTGGTGACCACATATCAGGGTCACAATGAGGTGTGTGTGCAATTTAACTTGAATGAATAGATTGCTTGCCTACCTTTTCAATGCTCTTTTCTTATACTATTTGTCCTAAAATTATATAAGTATTAATATATTAGAAAACTGTGGCAACAGATGCATGAAAAACATACAGATATAAATATAGTATAAAAGTTTGGACATAGACCATGGATTTCATAAATAGAAGAGAAATGTGTCTGGGAGAAGGGCCTGTTTTTAGCACATTTGGACATGCATCTTTAAACATGAGACACAGTTCTGGGAAGGACATAGGGTCCTGAGGATGAAGTATTAGGTTTCGCTGTTTTATATTTACTTGAGGCTATTACAGAGAATCAACATTTGTGTGAAGGCAAAGTAAAACAAAATGAATTTTGTTATTGAGATGGTGTGTTTTTGATAGATTAGGAGCACCTGACAGATACTTCCACAAAAGTGGCCGCCTCTGGAAGAAGATACACACATCTCTGCACTGCTTAGCATCACTTCAGTGGTTACTAAATGAGTCACTCATTTTAGTCAGCACTGATGTGGTCTAAATAGCTTCAGCAAAAGAAATTATCATCCTTTCTGAAAAGTGGGCAGATTATTAGGGAATGTCCACAGTTTGCTTTTATGATCTTACTGCACATGTGGTCATGA